GCACACTGTGCAGCATTGGGTTTACTGAATGGTTCAATAGTCACCAGGCTGAACAGTGAACCCAGTGGTTCGTCCAGGTGAGCGGAACGAGCAGCCCCTCCTCCTCCCTCTGTGGTTTCAGACTTTGGCCGTTGGATCCCTGTATGTACAGTCAGTGGCTGTCCGTCCTGCAGACTTCCACAGACAAACGGACGACAGGTATGCAGACGTTTCTATCAGTGTTACTGTGTCCTCTGACTTTATATGACCTCTGCAATATTATGACTATAATATTGTTATTTGATGTAGAAACAGATCACTCTCCTCCTCTGTGTCATAAACACCTGTTACACCTGGGCAGTGAGACAGGCTGCTGCAGCTGGAGCATGTTATTATAGTAAATTAAGACTGGATTCCATAGTTTCATATTCCAGCTGCTGACTTTAAGAGCCTGCAGGTTATTTAGAGGTTATTTTATTTTAAGATCAGTGGACGTCCGGATCAACTGAGTCCTTTATGAAAATCACAGAGTGTTCAAATCTAGTTATAAAAAACAGTGTCTTCATTCAATGTGCCTCTTTAAATGAAGTCAGTCTCAGAAGATCTGTTACAAATTTGTGTTCACATTATTGCTCTTTTTGTTCTAAGTGAAAGTGAAACTAAACTCTGAGACAAAGTCAAAGTCAACAGTGAAGGACTCAGAGTGCACTCTTTAGTTTAACATTGGCTTCACTTCCTCATTGTTTGGGCTCCCACACACCCCTCTGCTGTGTGTGTGAGTGCTGTTCATACAGATCAACTGTATTTAACAGTTTTACAGTCTCTGAGATGTCAAACTGACTAAATGTGTCATTTTATGAAGTATACTTCAAAGCCAATCTGTACTTCAAAGCCAACAATGTAAAATCTGTTCTTTGCTGCTGAAGAGGACCCAGGATCTACAGGACCCTAAACAGAACATTACAGTTCTTCACTATTTCTATACTGTCAATGGTACCATCCTACAGTGTTCCTGTTTCTAGTTTCAGAGCTCCAGGATGCTTCCTGTGAGGGTCAGTCAGTCCTTTAACCTTCAGTCTGGGGCGTTCACTGTCCTGGTCTTCCACACCGTTGTCTTCCTCAGCCTGATACACTCATGTAGAGGTAAATGAAACACATCACTTGTTGATGTAAAAACATGTACAGCTGTATGTATGTTCTTGATAAACTGCTTGTCATCCAGATTTGGAGTATATGTACGACTGTACTGTGCCTTTACTGTAGAAATTCAGATTAAAAGCTCTTTTTCTTTTCAGGTCAGCATAAGGTGGTTTGTCTTACAGAGACAATAGTAGCAATGGTTGATGAGGACGTCATTTTTCCGTGTCACCTGGACCCTGTCATGGATGCTTTCGGTCTGACTCTGGAGTGGGGTAGACCTGACCTGAACCCCAGATTTGTCCTTGTGCGGCGTGACGGTAAGGAAATAGAGAGTATGAAGCATCCGTCCTATGAGGGAAGAACATCTCTGTTCACTGATCAACTGAAGCAGGGAAACATTTCACTGAAACTCTCCAAAGTGAAACTATCTGATGAGGGAAGATACAGATTCTTCAGTCCACAACTGGGAGAGACTGCTGTTCAGCTGGTTGTAGGTAAGTGGGAACATTTTGTCTTAAAAGTGATTTATATTTAATTTATAAAGGTGATGGTGAGAACAACTCTGATTCACTCTTACATACTGGGATATGACGAGTGCAACTTCAGCCGTCTGCTGTTGGAAGATTAATTATCTGTCCCAGTTTCATTAAACTGGAAGTTTACAGAAGTCTCCAGTGAGCTTGCTCTATGGGCCTCACTATGAGGAGGGTCCAGGTAAAGTTTAACCTTTATTGTGCCACTGAGCAGCTTCCATAAGAATGAACGGTGGCCTGCCTCCGACGTTAAGAGGAAGTTAATCAGAGTGAGTAGTGACTGTGCAGGGTGTTTGAATGGTGCAATAAATAGCAGTTAAACAGATGTCCTGGACTGTGTATCTTTGTGACAGGGGCAGATCTAGAGGGGTGGCATAAAAACACCCAGCCACTCCAGCTGCCACCCCATGGTTGGTGTCAAATGCTGTCCAATAAAATTCATTTAGATTAATTACAAAAAAGATCTCTTATGGCCACGTTTTAGACTATATTTTTTATTTCTAAGTCCACCCTTAATGTGCCACAGTGATGTTTTTGAGTTCAAAAATCTTCATTTGAGGGCTTTCCCAAGTAAATATTGATATATGGGATTATTTGGAATTAAATCAGCATATATTGCTGCCAGACTTAAAGTCTCTCCTCTTGCCTCGGACGATAATAGAGACATACAGAGCTGGGGAAACAATCGAAGGGATAACACACAGGCTAGAGGATGATGAGGAAGAAGAGAGAGTGGAGCCATGTAGACAATATTGGTAGTGAATGGACATGATATTGAGTTTGAAATAAACACTGGTTTAGACATTAGACATTCTGAATGAGGAAACACACAAGGAGACAGGAACACTCAGGGACGGCTGGTATATATGAGCTTACAGGGCTAAGCCCCCCCTATCTTTTACAGTAAAGCTGAAAAACTATTATTAAAAACCTTAGAACATATTGTTTTGAATTTTGGTAGAACCTAGAGCAGCAACAGCACCAAAAAGTGACAGAAACAACCCAGGATATATGATATATGTTGGGTTTTTTCCTGTGAATGGGGTAAATGTATTCAGCCCAAGCACAGTAGAGTAAGCTTCCATTCGATTGTGATTGACAGGTGTCGTGCCCATTCATAAGGCTGACCTCTGACCAATCACAGCGCAGTAGCTACAGTACAGTGAGGATAGTTCGTAGTATGGCGGGCGTTAGCATGAACATGAATGAGGTGGATTATTTACTTTCTAATCAGTTTTCTTTAAAGTCTTTGGAGGAAAAATTGTAAGTACAGAGATTGTGAACACATCATCCAAACGATGTTCAAATAACACAAAAGAACAAACGACAAAATCGTAGTTTTGTGTTACGTGGTTTCAGCTAACGGACTGGCTAACAGCAAGTGTAGCTAGGAATTCACTTTTCTGTTTCCATGTTTGCTGTTTGGAGGACACTCGGTTTGGACCCAACAAGGAATTGTGGATTTAAAATATTTATCTGACAAAATTAGGAAACATGAATGCAGCACGAGCCACATTGGAAATAGTGTAAAGTTGTGATTGCTGGGTAAAGTGAACATCTGTCAGCTTAATGAGGGTCACTGCATCCTGTACAGAGACACAACGAGCTGGTAAAGAAACACAGACATTCACTATCACGGACTGTGGACTGTATTATATTTTATGGGGACACCAGCTCGCCCTGTGGGGGTCCAATTAATCTCCCACTTCACTCCAGCGGCGACCAGTTCTCTTTTTTAGACAGTCAATCAGCAGATCACCTGTCAAACACACAGGTCTCAAAACGAGAGACAGGACCTGGAGAATGTTTCCTGCTTCATATCTGAACTGCTGACCACAGACGTCAATCAGCCACATCCAGATGCAGACACAGCTGCAGCCGCTGTAACGTCGCGCAGGATGAGGCGCTCTGATAATGTGTCAGTAGCCACACAGTGCGCTTTGAGAAAGCCAGGCACTTGTTGTCTTTGCATGTGCACATTAGCCAATGATCTGCAGGGAGAAACTGAAAGGTGAGCTGATGGTGAGGTACAGCAGGGTGGAGTGACATGGTGATTAACCTGTTTGTGTCACAGAAAGGAGGTTGATGTGAGCGGCGTTTTAAATAAGGTCTGCCCAAGCTCTGAAACAACTCTCTTCTACAAATAATCATTTTTTCTTTGGTTTTGTAGATTTATGGTACTTTTCTATAATGTTGTTGTAGTGCAATTGGCATGTGCTGATGTGTACAGAGGAGAGAGAGAGAGAGAGAGAGAGAGAGAGAGAGAGAGAGAGAGGAGATTTTTTTGGCATCAGGTATTTCTTTTGGGTTTGTCTCCCCAGTGTTGCCGTAGAGCCCTTTGCTATAACAAAGTATACAATGTTGTTGCTGTAACTTGATGTGCTGCTACTGTTGCTGCTGTTGCTGCTGTGTGGAGTATTAATGAGTGTAATGCATTTGTTAGCCCACCCACCCAAAATCTCCACCAGCCGTCACTGGGAACACTAATATGCTCACAATGCTAACATGCTGATGTTAGTCAGGAATGCTAATGTTAGCGGGCAAACTGTTAAACCACTTTGGACAAAACCTCTTTTCCATCTCCTCTTTAGGTTCTGTCTCCTCACCTGATATCCAGAAGACCAAAAACAGCAGCAGCGTGGTTCTACAGTGTGACTCTAACAGCTGGTATCCAGAGCCTGAGGTGGTCTGGCTGGACGGTGAGGGAAACCTCCTCTCTGCTGGACCTACAGAGACAGTCAGAGGTCCTGATGACCTCTATACTGTCAGCAGCAGAGTGACTGTGGAGAAGAGACACAGCAACAACTTCACCTGTAGAGTCCAACAGAAGGACATCAACCAGACCAGAGAGACACACATCTATGTTCCAGGTAGAAATACTATTAAAATGAACAAACTCACTTTGTTTCAGACTGATTATATCTTATATAAATACTTTTCTGTTGTGTGTTTTATTATTTCAGGTGAATTCTTTGAAGACCCGTCTGGTTCCAGTTCATCTGCTCCTATCATCATTGGTTCGGTTGTTGGCATCATCATGTTAGTTCTTGCAGTTGTCTTTGTTGTGTGGAAATGGAGACAGAACAAAATCAGTAAGTCAGTAACTTTATAAAATACCAAACTGTCACAGCTCCTTCACGTGGAGACATTTTAAGCTCTGTTCATTGTTTGTGCACACAGGGAACAAGAAGCACCAAGAGGATGAAGAAACACAGAGAGCGAGAGAGAAGAAGAGCAACTCTATAAGTAACAATTCAGAACAGGAGTCACTGATGGGAAGAGAAACAGACAGAGGACAACTAACAGCAGAGAGAGAGACAACTAACAATGTGGACGAAGAACAAACAGGTCTTCAAAGTCAAACAGTCGAGGAGACACACCAAAGAGAATCAGACAGAGCTCAGTGTGCTGTCAGTGAAGGGACAGAGCTTCAGTCTTCAGTGGAGGGAGAAAGACAGACTGACCAACCCCTGGCAGAAGGAGACAAGGGTCAAGAAGAGACAGAGACAAAACCAATCAATGAAAGAAGAGATCCTCTGAATCCAAGAGAGAGACAGACAGAAAATAATCTGCAGACAGAAGAAGAAGAGAAAATAAAGTCTACAGATGAAGTTCAGTGTTTGATGGAGGAAGAAAAACATGAAGAACGGCTGACGGCAGAAAGAGAGACAACTAACAATGTGGACGAAGAACAAACAGTCGAGGAGACACACCAAAGAGAATCAGACAGAGCTCAGTGTGCTGTCAGTGAAGGGACAGAGACAGCAGTCGATGAAGAAAGAGACGCTCCAAATCCAGCTGAAAGTGATCAGAGGAACAAAGAAGATGAGACTAAACCTGTAAGGGACAACTCAGAGCACCTGATGGAAGGAGGACAGACAGAAAATAATCTGCAGACAGAAGGAGAAGAAGAAGAAGAAGAAGAAGAGAAAATACAGTCTGCAGACAATGAAACAGAAGAAAGAGAGACACTGAATGACAAAGAGAAGGAAAACCTTCTGAAAAAGCTAAAGGCAAAAGAAAGAGAAGTGGAGAAATTTGAAGAAAGACTTTCTAGACTTAAGACACAGATAAAGGATAAGGAGGAGCAGATAAATGAAGTGAAAGAGCAGCTGGAAGAGGTAGAGAGACAGAGAGAGCAGACTGAGAGGAAGCTACAGTCAGTGAACAGAGAGGAAGACCAGATGGACCCTGAAACACAGAAAGAAGCAGCAGAGGAAGATGAAGCAGTCCTGAAAGATCTGGAGAGGAAGAAGGCAGAACTCCAGAAACAGCTGGAGAAGAACCAGAGACTACTGGAGGGAATAAAGAGTAGTGAAAGTGTGATGGCACAGAGGAAAATGAAAGCAACAAAAGAAAAGGAGGAAATTATTAAAACATTGAGTCCAGAAAAAGCAGAGAGTCAGAGTGATTCAGATGAAGACCTTTGATGAAGATGATAGGTAAAGTAGATTTTCTTTTTTAGTTTGAACATTCTTCAGTACTTTTATTTTTGACTTATTAATAAACTTTACTGTAAATATCTTTGGTATATATTTTTTGTTTATGAGTTATTAATGAACTACAACCTGCATTTGATTGTGAAACCCTGTGTTGTAAAATCACAAATAAAAGACCTTGCATATGACAAACACATACGTATGTACACACATTGAATCAAATATGTATAAAATAAACAATAATAATAATAAAAACAGAAACAGAATAAAACTGGTACGATCAATATAACAGCTGAGTTCACTGAGGCAGACTTCAAGTTCATGTCACCAGAACAGAAAAGTTGAATTAATGACATCAAACTTTGTTCATATCATATTTGACTCTACTGGACTGAATGTGATTGTCTTTGAATTGTTAATAAATAATATTGTCTCTCTAACAGTGCTGTTATTGTGCTGTTGATTAATGTTTTAGTGAAAGCAGAAATATCAGAGTGCTGCCTTCAGTTTCTGATTTAAATGTATTTTATTTCATTGTATTTGTAAAGTTTTATATTATTTATGTTTAAGAATTGACACTGATCCCTTTTAATGTGGAGTCAGTAGTTTATGAATGAATGAATGAATGAATGAATGAGTGAGTGAATGAATATGGGAATCATACAGGTCCCCAAAAGGAAATATTTTTATCTTATGCGCACAAGTTATTATCGTATGTCTTTATAGGCATATGTTTGCTGATTTCTCCACTATGTTTGAAACATTGCTGTGTCCACTGCTTTATTCAAGCAGTCCCTTTGCTATGATATTGGTGGCTGAGCTGGTTGATAAGCAGTGACGTGCGGTGAGGTTCATGGCTGGTGAGGCAGTGACTTCATCAGAATCAGATTTACAAATATATGAACACAACAGAGTAGATTATTCACCATTTGATCGGCAGCAGTTAACGCTCTCTCTCTAATAGTAACCACGGACTGTAAGATGCCAGCTCGCTGTCACTCTGCTGCTGCGGTGTCACATAAGAGCACCATGAGGCAAGAGAACTGCCTGCCTCACCTAGTGCCTCTTCACTGCTGTTGTAAGATCGCTGAGCACACCAAACAAGTTACACACACATATACACCAGCTAAACTATGGAAAGTCAGGGGGGCATATATTAAAAGTGTACGAAACATTTGATTGGCGACATACAGACAGACAGTAACACGCTCTCATTGCATGGCAGAGCACAGTTTGGGAGGGATTGTGCAATCCAAGGTGAGACTCAGCTTGCTGCTGCCTCACTGTGCGTCTCTTTCCTGTATCTAAACCAGAAATGCGAAAAATCAGCGAGTTTTAATGAAAATAATCAAAATTGTTTAAGTTAAATGGAAATTTAGTTTATAGTTCAAAGCATTTGATAAATATAACCATTTAATTTATTTTATATTTTATATTTTATTGTTTCCATCCTGACCACACGTCACTGGAGTGGAGAATGACCAGGTTTCACTGACAGCGACCAAACCACTGTCAGCAGATTCAGAGTCAGTAATAGCTGAATCCTGATAGGTGCATCAGGAGTACGTGACATTGCCTTTTTTCCAACCAACAAGGAAGAAAAGCTTTTATGTGAAATAACCAAAACTGCTGATTTATCAGTGAGGGAGAAGGAGTAAGTGTCATTTTAAGATTTTTTAACAAAGTAAGTAGTTGAACATATTTGTGGAAAAACAATATTAAAGTGAAGTTATTATTCAAAGCAGAGTATCTTTATATGTGGTTAAATATCTTGAGGGGATCTCTGCTGGTAGCCAAACCTTAATGTCAATCAGTTCTTCCTTTTCCAGGAGAAATTGTGATTATTTTATAATAAAAAGAAGAATAATAAAAAGAGGAAACAAACAGATGTTACATAAAATATTTAACAAAAAAAACATATTTTAGATTTTTGGTTTTCTTTTTCCACATCGGTGTGATCTCCCCTTTGGAAATGTTCTCTGATGTTCTGTTCCCCTCTTCTTCTTTGTCTCTGTCTGCCTTTATATCTCAGCCTTCACATAGGCCTATAAGAGAAGTCTAACCCTGCCCCCTGCTGGACATAATCCAAACTAGTATGTCAGGAAAACTTCCATATGTACTTTAACATCCTATATGTAACATAAAAAAACATTTTTTTTTCTTTCTGAACATAATAAATTAGATTTTAAATAATAAAACATTTTAATTCAAATATATATTTTTAAAAATATATTGATAATAGTCACCAGGCTGAACAGTGAACCCAGTGGTTCGTCCAGGTGAGCGGAACGAGCAGCTCCTCCTCCTCCCTCTGTGGTTTCGGACTTTGGCCGTTGGATCCCTGTATGTACAGTCAGTGGCTGTCCGTCCTGCAGACTTCCACAGACAAACGGACGACAGGTAAGCAGACGTTTCTATAAGTGTTACTGTGTTAGTGTGTCCTCTGACTTTATATGACCTCTGCAACATTATGACTATAATATTATTATTTTATTTAAAAACAGATCATTCTCCTCCTCTGTGTCATAAACACCTGTTACACCTGGGCAGTGAGACAGGCTGCTGCAGCTGGAGCATGTTATTACAGTAAATGTAGATTAAAATGGATTCCATAGGTTCATATTCCAGCTGCTGACTTTAAGAGCCTGCAGGTTATTTAGAGGTTCTTTTATTTTAAGATCAGTGGACGTCTGGATCAACTGAGTCCTTTATGAAAATCACAGACTGTTGAAATCTAGTTATCTAGTCTAGTTATGAAAAACACTGTCTTTATTGAATGTGCCTCTTTAAATGAAGTCAGTCTCAAAAGGTCTGTTACAAGTTTGTGTTCACATTATCAAAATAAGGTTGAAACTGACACTCAGACCTCGATCAGACTTTAATTAATCTGCGCATGTGTAATGAAATGCAGCCGAACGAGCAGCAGAGAGCGCCACTGAACAGGTCTGCTGTCACACAGTCAGGATGGTAGTGAATATTAATATTTGAAGTTCATAAAGTGGAACCTCTCTCTGCCAGCTGTTCTGCTGCTGCACATTCAGGTTTGTGTTAAACTCTTGTGTTCTGTTGAACTGGCTTCACCTCCTCATTGTTTGGGCTCCCACACACCCCTCTTCTGTGTGTGTGAGTGCTGTTCATACAGATCACAGCTTAAACAATTATTTAAGTAGTAAGTATGAGTATCTGAGACCTTTAAACAAAAATGTCATTTTCTGTCGCAGACTTCACACAAGTAATGAAGTATCAATCTGTTAAAACAATGTTAATTATGTTTTTGGAGCAGTTGCAGGATCTGAAGGACCCCAAACAGAACATTCAAGTTAAGCACATTTCTCTGTAATATCCTAAAGTTTTGTCGTTGTTTTACTTCCAGGTTCAGAGCTCCAGGATGCTTCCTGTGAGGGTCAGTCAGTCCCTTAACCTTCAGTATGGGGCGTTCACTGTCCTGGTTTTCCACACTGCTGTCTTCCTCAGCCTGATACACTCATGTAGAGGTAAATGAAACACATCACTAACAGTCTTCCTGATGTAAAAAACATGTACAGCTGTACGTTGTTCTTGATAAACTGCTTTTATTCATCCAGATATGGCGTTAATGTACGAGTGTACTGTGCCTTTGCTGTAGAAATTAAGATTAAAGTTGTTTCTTTTCAGGTCAGCATAAGGTGGTTGGTCCGTCTCAGCCAATAGTAGCAATGGTTGGTGAGGATGTCATTTTGCCGTGTCACCTGCACCCTGTCATGGATGCTTTTAACATGGTGCTGGAGTGGGGGAGACCTGACCTGGACCCCAGATATGTCCTTGTCAGACGTGATGGTAAGGAACTAGAGAGTATGAAGCATCCGTCCTATGAGGGAAGAACATCTCTGTTCATTGATCAACTGAAGCAGGGAAACATTTCACTGAAACTCTCCAAAGTGAAACTATCTGATGAGGGAAGATACAGATTCTTCAGTCCACAACTGGGAGAGACTGCTGTTCAGCTGGTTGTAAGTAAGTGAGAACATTTTGTGTTAAAAGTGATTTATATTTAATTTAAAAAGGTGATGGTGACCACAACTCTGATTTCTCTCTTACACAATGCCCTACTGGCAATGACTTTTAACTCAGACCGCCCCAGCAAATCAACATGAAAAATTAAATATCTTTCAACCAAAGGCACTCAATATAGGTAGAGTAGCCAGCCCACAGAGGGGAAGCCCCAACAACCCATAGTCAGGCTGCATGTGGCATTTGCCCAGTTTCCAGATTGCCGATGCGTCTAAACTGCAAAACTATCCCGGGTAAAATGTCTGACAAAGTAAGTCATGATGTTTCATGATCAATTTTATTCTGATAACAACTTTATTTCTTTAACACACACAGTGCCTGGAAGGTGCATTTGCATATTAAAGGTATATTTGTTGTGTTTTACAACCAAACCACATTAAAACACTACTTTAATTATGTAATGTGGACTGGGAGAGGACAAATAATAAATGATTCCACCAAAATGCCAAACTTTTTTTTTTTTTTTTTTGTAATTTTCTTCTAGTTTGAAGCAAAAGAAAATTGTCACGCCTCTAAAGGTTTTGTCAACATTTACAAACTATTTTGTGGCAAGTGAACAGAACATAAACCAGATCAGAGAGACACATCCATCTTCCAGAAATAAAATGAAAATGATCAACACTCTTTACTTTAGACAACCCTGATCGTATGTTGTTGATTTCTTTGAAGGCCCGTCTGGTTCCAGTTCATCTGCTCCTATCATCATTGGTTCGGTTGTTGGCATCATCATGTTAGTTCTTGCAGTTGTCTTTGTTGTGTGGAAATGGAGACAGAACAAAATCAGTAAGTCAGTAACTTTATAAAATACCAAACTGTCACAGCTCCTTCACATGGAGACATTTTAAGCTCTGTTCATTGTTTGTGCACGCAGGGAACAAGAAGCACCACGAGGATGAAGAAAGCAACTCTATAAGTAACAATTCAGAACAGGAGTCACTGATGGGAAGAGAAACAGACAGAGGACAACTAACAGCAGAGAGGGAGACAACTAACAATGTGGACGAAGAACAAACAGGTCTTCAAAGTCAAACAGTCGAGGAGACACACCAAAGAGAATCAGACAGAGCTCAGTGTGCTGTCAGTGAAGGGACAGAGCTTCAGTTTTCAGTGGAGGGAGAAAGACAGACTGACCAACCCCTGGCAGAAGGAGACGAGGGTCAAGAAGAGACAGAGACAAAACCAATCAATGAAAGAAGAGATCCTCCGAATCCAACTGAGAGACAGACAGAAAATAATCTGCAGACAGAAGAAGAAGAAGAAGAAGAAGAAGAAGAAGAAGAAGAAGAAGAAGAAGAAAATAAAGTCTACAGATGAAGTTCAGTGTTTGATGAAGGAAGAAAAACACGAAGAACAGCTGAAGGCAGAAAGAGAGACAACTAACAATGTGGACGAAGAACAAACAGGTCTTCAAAGTCAAACAGTCGAGGAGACACACCAAAGAGAATCAGACAGAGCTCAGTGTGCTGTCAGTGAAGGGACAGAGACAGCAGTCGATGAAGAAAGAGACGCTCCAAATCCAGCTGAAAGTGATCAGAGGAACAAAGAAGATGAGACCAAACCTGTAAGGGACAACTCAGAGCACCTGATGGAAGGAGGACAGACAGAAAATAATCTGCAGACAGAGGAAAAAGAAGAAGAAGAAAAAGAAGAAGAAGAAGAAGAAGAAGAAGAAGAAGAAGGAAAAGAGGAGAAAATACAGTCTGCAGACAATGAAACAGAAGAAAGAGAGACACTGAATGACAAAGAGAAGGAAAACCTTCTGAAAAAGCTAAAGGCAAAAGAAAGAGAAGTGGAGAAATTTGAAAAAAACCCTACACTTACAAATTGGATGAAGGATAAGGGGGAGCAGATAAATCAAGTTAAAAAGCAGCTGGAACTTTTTGAAAAACAAATGTCTAGACTTAAGACACAGATGAAGGATAAGGAGGAGCAGATAAATGAAGTCAAAGAGCAGCTGGAAGAGGTAGAGAGACAGAGAGAGCAGACTGAGAGGAAGCTACAGTCAGTGAACAGAGAGGAAGACCAGATGGACCCTGAAACACAGAAAGAAGCAGCAGAGGAAGATGAAGCAGAACTGAAAGATTTGGAGAGGAAGAAGGCAGAACTCCAGAAACAGCTGGAGAAGTTCCAGAAACAACTGGAGGGAATAAAGAGTAGTGAAAGTGTGGTGGCACAGAGGAAAATGAAAGCAACAAAAGAAATGGAGGAAATTATTAAAACATTGAGACCAGAAGAATCAGAGAGTCAGAGTGATTCAGAGAAGGAGCTTTGATGAAAGATGATAGGTAAAGAATATTTTCTTTTTTAGTTTGAACATTCTTCAGGACTTTTATTTTTATGACTTATTAATAAACTTTACTGTATATATTTTTTGTTTATGAGTTATTAATGAACTACAACCTGCATTTGATTGTGAAACCCTGTGTTGTAAAATCACAAATAAAAGACCTTGTATATGACAAACACATACGTATGTACACACATTGAATCAAATATGTATAAAATAAACAATAATAATAATAAAAACAGAAACAGAATAAAACTGGTACGATCAATATAACAGCTGAGTTCACTGAGGCAGACTTCAAGTTCATGTCACCAGAACAGAAAAGTTGAATTAATGACATCAAACTTTGTTCTTATCATATTTGACTCTACTGGACTGAATGTGATTGTCTTTGAATTGTTAATAAATCATCCTGTCTCTATAACAGTGCTGTTTTTGTCATTTTAATTTTATTTAGTTAATAAATATTTAAATGTATTTTATTTCATTGTATTTGTAAAGTTTTATATTATTTATTTATTAATCTGTCATATGAAATTACCACACCATCATCATCATCATCATCATCATCATCATCATCATCATCATCATCATCTTCTTCTTCTCATTTCTTCTCCCTCTTCTTCCCCAGAGTGATCAGAGTGAGTCTGTGTGAAGCTATGAACTAAAGGTCTTAAACTTCCACACTAACACTGTGTGTGTTCAGTGTGTGTGATTGGGACTAGTTGTGTGCGACTGACACAAATGTAGAAACAGACACAGAGTATTGAGTTTCAGTGGAATGAGACAGCTTGTGTCTAATGACAGAATATTGAATATTTACCCTTGATTATCAGTGAGGGAGAAGTAGTAGATGTGGTTTTAAGAATTTTTAACAAAATAATTGAACATATTTGTGGAAAAAATACAAAATAACAAAATATTATATAAAGCAGTATATCTTCATTTGTGGTTAAACATCATTAGGGGATCTCTGCTGGGAGCTGAACTATCATGTTCTTCCTTTTCCTTTTGTTTTATTAAAAAGAAAAGAAAAAACAAGAAACAAACAGATGTTACAAAAGACTGAACCCAGTTGTTCGTCCAGGTGACCGGAAGGAGCAGCTCCTCCTCCTCCTTCCTCCTGCAGACCTCCACTGACAGGTATTCAGACATTTAAATAAATGTTTGTATCCTGTGTGACTTTATATCACATAGAAAATATTATTTTTCATTTTAAATAAAAAACATCCTCCACTTCTTCTCTAAAAAAAAAATTTTTCCCCGGGGAGGGACGTACCAAAGCTGGAGTCTTTCACAATAGCATTAATAGACATGGTCAAAGTTCACAGTCCACTTTAAGAGAGGTTGTATTAAACAGCCTGTTCACCCCACTGCTTCCTTCCTCAGGCTGAGAGCTTGATTCATCCTCAGCACTAAAATAATGTTATTTCTATGACTTATTATTTACTCACCCATCATATTAAATTTTACAATGTCTATTTTTATGAGTAGCATAAAAAAAAATTGCAGAATAGGGTTTATTTTAACCCTCTCTGCTCCTTAACGTTACCCCTGAAAGCATCATTCCATCAGATAGATTTGTAATAACCTTTTGTTTAATAGCCTTTCCTCTGATGTATGAGAGCTGATTCTGATTCTAACAGTGTCTTCAGATGTTGCTGCAGCGTTCCAGTGAAACAGGAAAGTGATCAAATCTTCAGCTGAAGAAATGAAGCAGTACCTGTTCAACATTCAAGTTTTACCACAGTTCAAGGGAATTATTCTGCAGAGAAACAAACAAACACAGACACTGAGCTTACAGTTTCATTATCCAAGTGTATGATATAGACCTGGGTATGTGTGTTTGTCAACCAATACCACAATGAACAAAATACTCCATTACAAGTACAAGTCTGGCATTCAAATTCTTACTTTAGTCAAAGAACAAAGCAAATTGAACTGAAAATACTTTTGCCACTTTTATAATCTCATATATTTTATTATCAGATTATTATTATGGGTGCATTATTGTGTTGGTCAAGGCCAGGATTTAAATGCAGTGGAGTAAAAAGTACAATATACAGGTATGAAGGAGCATGAAATGGAAATATCAGTTTACATTCCACCAGTGAAGTGTTTAGGTTTAGTTTATTTCTGCAGTCCATGTATTAAAATAAGTTCCAGTCCTTTGTCTCTGAGCTTATTGAGATGGGCCTACCCTTTGGTTTCTACTTACATCATAGATACGGACTGTGTCTCTGTCTCTACTGAACACCTTTCCTTCCTTTCTTTTGATCAGATGAACATTAAGGCTTTGAACACTAACACAGGGTTAGCTGAGTGATCAGTAAAGGGATATTTGAACAAAAAGAGCATGTCATGTGGTTCCAGTGAAAGAGGAAACTGATTTGATCTCAAACTGCAGGATTGAAGTCATACCTGTTACAAACAGAAAATGTACAAACACTAAAGAATGTCCTACATTTTTCCCCTGCAGACAAACATGGTGACGTGATGAAGCTGTTTCCTTATTAAGTGGAGGTATCATGTTTTTATCTCAGCATGCAATATGAGATAACCGAGTCTCTTCAAGAATGACAACAGTCCTCCTGATTCATCTCCGACCTATGACAGTACACATGCAGAATGTTTTCTTGGGTATTTTTTTGTATTTATTTTAATTTTTTGTATGTCAATAATTGACAGAAAGATTCTCTTATTCGATTAGTAGTCGTTAGTTCAAGCTATTAGTCAACTAGTCGTCATTTATTATGATATTAACAGCAAACACGGTAATCATTCTGGCCCGACTCCGGCTTTGGTCCTCATTATGGCGCCGGGCCTGAAAACCCCCTCCGACCAGCAGCCCCGTTATTTTCTGTTTTTGCACTAAGCTAACAGGCTTCATGTTTAGCATTCAGACATGACAGTGATATTGATCTCTAAACACAAACAACCACAACAAATATGTCAAACTAGTCCTTTAAATGTGTAACTGCAGTTACCCAAGATTACAGTTCGATTAGAAGATACACCACAAGCATGCATGAGAAGCATACGTTGTAAGCTTACGTCAGAAGAAGCCTATATGAACACAAAAACAGATTTTTTTTGGTTCTGAAGAAATCATTCAGAGCTAATTCTGAAGAAGTCACACCTCCAGGTATTCAGTAGGTGTTGCTTTTCTGTTGAACAACAGGTATAAAGAGCTGGGATCCAACCACACTCACCTGGAGAGGATCAGTGGATCAACTTAATTCTTCAGGTAAATAAAGCTTTTTATTGTTGTCGGTAATATGTTCATACAAATACCTCTTTCATAACAGTCATAATAATATCTTTAGTAAGTAAGATTAAATAGAAATAAAAACCTTGTGTCATCAGTGAAGCAGCAGATGGTGATTACCAGCCAGAACATCCATAAAATGAATTAATTTAACAACTAAATCTTACTGATGCAATGCTGTGGGATTCTAACAATGCAGAGTATATTTATGGTTAATATCCCCCTACAATGTGCACTACTTTTAAAGCTTTACTGTCACATATTATGCACAGTAAAAGTAAAAATGAACAAAGGAGAACACAAAAAGACAGATAAAGAGGTCTTAGATTATTAGAATAAATAAATAATCAAAACGAGAAAATGCAAAAAAGTTATTCTAAATGTTTTATGTACTATTTACATGTTATGTTCCTCTAACTCTATTTTATTTGTGTTGATTAATATTTTTTGTACTTTTTTTAGGGCACAGGATTGGGACATTGTTTAAAAGGTACATTTTGGTCATTTCATTTTAGTTTACCTTATCTTATTTTATTATAACTATACCTCATTTAATTATATCTAGTCTTTTATATTATATTATCTAGTACATCAGTGCCAAGCCTTTAAATGTCTGTGTACTGTGACATATTGTGCAGAACTATCATACTTACAAGTAGCCGATTGTTTTAACTTTATATGCTTTGTTCAACGTGAATTGAAAGTGATTGTGGATGATGTGGTTCACAGAGTACAATGAGTCTGTGTAGCTGCTTTGGATTCTTGCTGTTTGTCCTCCACAATCTCCCAGGCACCACAGGTAAACTGACACACAATATATTGTATAAGAGTCAAATCAAATTTAAATCAAAACCCCGTAGAGAGTGGAACTTGAATGGATAGTGGAGATCTGATCATTTGGCCTATTGACATCATATCTAGTCAAGTTTTTAATGTTCATCCACACAGTAAAATCTTCACAGCTTCTCAACATTTGCAAATATGCAACCTGCCTTTCACCATTTTATATGGCCTAACATAGCTGACTTTCTTTTAAAAGCAATAATTTCACATATGGGGAAATGTGCTCACTGTTTTTTTTTTTGCAGAGGTTAGATAAGAATGTGTCTGCGCGGTTTATACGTGGATACAGCCAGCAGCCTGTTAGCTAAGCTTAGCAACACCTTCACCTGTAGAGTCCAACGGAACAGGACTAAACTAACCAAAGAGGCAAAAGTTAAAGGGAGAATTTATGTCTGAACTGTGCAGATTAAACAGTGGAAGACTAGTTTTCAAAAGAAAACGTCCTGTGTTTTATCATTTCAGAGGATTTCTTCCTAGATTCGTCTCATTCTGCTTTTCCCATCACCTTCGGTTTGGGAGTCATCTTCATGTCTGTTATTTTAGTCGTTTTTGCTGCATATAAATGGAAACAAAACAAAAACAGTAGGTCATACATTAATTGTAAACCTGTCACAGATTTAAAATGAAAAAGTAGAATAAAAGTGTTTAATTTCTCAAATTGCATTTAATGACGTATTTCAATATGGAGTGAGTAACTAGTAATAGGCTTTTACAAAAACATCTTTAATCACAAGAATGAAACTGAAAAACCAAATACCAACATGGAAATTGTGTTTCTGACTGAAGGAAACAAAGAGAGGGAGCACCTTAAGACAACTGAGAAGAATTCAATCAAGGCTTTCCATACAGGACAAAGAGACAATGAGACCAAGAATGTAAGTAAAGAAAGAGGACATTATTCCAAAACTGCATTGCTCTGTCCCTGAACCCTCTTCTGTGACACCAATTCTTAACACCCACAACACTAAAGTCACATCAGAACTGGTTGACAGTCATAGTCACTATCCTACTGATCGGTGGCCAGCCACTCTTAGATGTGCAAAGTGGGTGACTATGATGCTGGTAAGACCCTCACTCCCAGATCACATGAGAATGGTATACTGGTGGGGTCGCAATATACTAAAATGCTGCAGTGCTAAACTTGGGGAAAGACATACTGGTCTGCACAGATCTTTAATATCCTGCACAAAAAGAAAACCTGTAAGTACTGCTGCACACTCTTCCTCTGCCCTTTGAGACAGAAGATAATCTGTCAATAAGTCAATTACTCAAATGTTTAAAGGTTAGTACTACTATGAGTTTGTGACGTCCTGCAATAAAACACTCCTCAAAGATCAACATTTCTCATTTATGAGTCCAAAGGTCTCCATAAAACCTGTACAGTGAGACACAGATGTCAGCAACAGTGTGTACAAAAAAGTCCATCAGACGACAAGTAACAAAAATAGGCCCAGCATTGGTACTCTCATATATAAAGTAACAGATCCAGGGAAGGCCACAACTCAAAGTGAGTCCATATATCAGAACACCTGGTGTTATATTAATACTTACAGAAACCTTCCAGCCAGTTGATTGTTAATGAGGACAAATGCTAAGACAGACTGGATTCTTGCTACCCATTACAGTAATGAGGTTTCTACACTTATAGATAGAAATGTGACTCGTGCTCCACCCGGTGGTGAAACTAGAGGACTGCAAGGATTTTTCTTTCCTACATGTGATTTAAAAGGAAAATATTTATCACTTAAATGGCTTGAAGAAAAACAATTTCCCTATCTGATCTATCTTTTATCTTCTCTCTCCTCTCAGTTGGAGGATGAAATTGATGAAATTCAGCCTCTCCGAGACCAGAATCAGAGCATGGAGAACGAGCTGCAGACCTTGAAGAGAGAGCTGGAGACCAACAAAAAACAGGTTCATCTCTTCACTAAAATCTGCATTTTTTCACTGAGACACCACAACATCTCTCCCTCTTTATTTCTTCTCCATAAGATATGGTTTTCTTTCCAAACACCTCCTTACTGGTTGTCCGTTTCACCTTCAAAATTGTCCCACAAATGTATGTGATTATTCTTCAACTACTATTGCACATTATATTCTCGCTCTTATGTCGGCACATCGTGTCCATCTCAGTCAAGAATTGTGTTAAATGTCATATAGAACTGCAAGGTCTTCCTTAAATGTGATTTCTTTGTAACGTAATACTTCAGTTTAAAAAAATCCCCATTTGATCTATCTTCATCTTCTCTCTCCTCTCAGTTGGAGGATAAAATAGATGAAATGCAGCATCTCCGAGACCAGAATCAGAGCATGGAGAATGAGCTGCAGACCTTGACGAGAGAGCTGGAGACCAACAAAAAACAGGTTCATCTCTTCACTAAAATCTGCATTTCATCTCTCCCTCTTTATTTCTTCTCTACAAGATATGGTTTTGTTTCCAGATATCTCCTTACTGGTTGTCAGTTTCTCCTTCAAAATTGTCCCACAAATGTTTTTGACTACAACACTACTGCAACTACTAGCACTACCTTTTTGACTGCTACAGCTTTGCAAACAACGCTAAACTTCTCTTTTTGTTTAAAGCTTTGTGAGTCCAAGCTTCAGTTTGAATCTCTCATGAAGTAGAAGCAGGAGTTTACTTACTAAATTGTCCCATAAATGTATGTGACTACTACAACTACAGCTGCTATTGCTGCAACTACTAGCACTACCTTTTTGACTGCTACTGTTGCTCCTGCTAACTCATTTTTATTACTTTCTACTTTTGTCAGTCTTAAAGTTTTACTTTTAAGTTTTTTTTTCTTTTTTTTGATTGTTTAACTTTATCATGAGCCTGATCTGTGGGAGTGATAAAACAAAGGAAGCTTCCTAAAGCACCGAATGAATATGAAGCAATTGTGCTGAACGTGGTTCATTATTTCAGTGGACTTGTTGCAGTCAGAATGGTGGCATCTCACACAGGCTGGTGAGAGAGAACACTGTAAAATACAGCTAAAAGATTCACATATGTCTGTCTGTCTGTCTGTCTTTTAGCTGGAGAAACCTAAGAGTATAAGAGACACCATTGAAGGAATGCGGGACTCTTTTTCACAACTGAAGTTCCACCTTGCCAATCTCAGGATGCGGAAAGTAATACACACATATACTCATTTCTTGTTATTGTATATACGTGCACATTGTGTCTATCTCAGTCAAGCATTGTGCTGGATGTCATGCTGATTTCAGTGACTGGTGTCAGAATAACAATTAGTGTGATAATCTGTGATATGCCTGAATCTGTTCACTTAAAAAAATCAACAACCAACAGTCCAAACCAGAGAATGAAGGATACAATCTTACTTTTAAAACCTCTGACTGTTAATTTGACAAATTTTCCACTGAAAGTGTAAGTAGTGTAAAGTACATTTTTAATACATCTATCATTTGAGGCTCATAATGGGCCTCGTGACACCCTTTTTATTCACCACAAAGGTTCACACATATACATCTTTACAAGTTCAGCCTTAACTAAAGGATCAATAATTGTCTTCCACTGAGTTGTAAGTATGGCAAAGGTCTATTTATCACCAATGACTATTTGACACAAAATCAATACATGACATTGCAAAGCATTATTCACAAGTTCACCCAAATGAAATCAAGTTTATTTATATAACGTGTTTAAAACAACCAGAGTTGACCAAAGTGCTGAACACATGATAATGAAAAAAACAATATAAATATAAAAAAGAACAAATGTGTGCCCAAATGTAAAAACAGAGACAGAACAAGACTTGTAAAACAACAAAATGTAAAATAAAAGATGATAAAATACTAAAACCCACTAAGAGCAGCCAAAAGCCGTTTGAATTTAATCTTGAAAGTGTCAAAGGAGGGGCAGATTTTGAGTGAAACTGGAAGACTATTCTACTTTTGAACAGAAGTGAGACCTTGTGCCACCTATAGGTCAAAGTAGAAGCAAGTTCTAGGATTTTCATTTTTTCCTTAATGTGATGAAAACAACAACAACAACAAAAACTTAGATACTTCAGTACAAAACAATATCTCTCTTACATCTTCTCTCTCCTCTCAGTTGGAAGATGAAAAAGATGAAATGCATCTCCGAAACAAGAATCAGAGCATGCAGAAAGAGCTGCAGACACTGAGGACAGAGCTGGAGACCAACAAAAAACAGGTTCATCTCTTCACTTAAATCTTTATTTATTCACTGAGACACCAAGTCATCTCTCCCTCTTTATTTATTTCCTACAAGATATGATTCCAGTCACCTCCTTACATGTTTCAGTTTCTCCTACCCCACAAATGTGCCTACAACTACTGTTGCTACTGCTGAAAAATTCACATATGTCTGCCTGTCTGTCTGTCTGCCTGCCTATCTGTCTGTCTGTCTGTTTGCCTATCTGTCTGTCTGTCTGTCTGTTTGTCTGTCTGCTAGCTGGAGAGTATAAGAGACACCATTGAAGGATTTCGGGACTCTTTTCCACAACTGAAGTTCACCCTTGCCAATCTCAGGATGCGGAAAGTAATACACACAATGTTCACTCCGTCATACGTGCACAAGTTGCATTATATATGATACTGCATCATGTGTTCTCCATTTTAAATGCACTAGGGTATTTTATCATGTTGAGACCACTAGTGCATTACAGTCATGACTTTTATAAACTTTTCGACAGAAGTGTGACTTTGCTCCACCCATCGGTCAAACTAGAGAAATGCAAATTCTTGGATTTTTTTACCCCCTTAAATGTGATGTTTTTCTTGAATTAGATACTTCAGTTTAAAACAGTCTCACCTCATCTTTTATCTTCTCTCAGTTGGAGGATGAAGTAGATGAAATTCAACATCTCCGAGACCAGAATCAGGGCATGGAGAACAAGCTGCAGACCCCGAGGAGAGAGCTGGTGCATGACAAAAAACAGGTCAAACTCTTCACTTTCTTTATTTACTGAGACACCACGTTAGCTCTCCCTCTTTATTTCTCTCTACAAAATAGGATTTTATTTCCAAACACCTCCTTACTTGTTGTCAGTTTCTCTTTCAAAATCGTCCCACAAATATATGTGATTATTCTTCAACTACTATATATTATATTCACCCTCTTATGTGGGCACATCGTTTCCATCTCAGTCAAGAATTGTGTAAAATGTCATATAGAAGTGCAAGGTCTTGGATATTTTTTCCCCTAAATATGATTTCTTTGTAACTTAGATACTTAAGTTTTAAAAAAAATCCCCATTTGATCTATCTTCATCTTCTCTCTCCTCTCAGTTGGAGGATGAAATCGATGAAATTCAGCATCTCCGAGACCAGAATCAGAGCATGGGGAACGAGCTGCAGACCTTGAAGAGAGAGCTGGAGACCAACAAAAAACAGGTTCATCTCTTCACTAAAATCTGCATTTTTTCACTGAGACACCACAACCTCTCTCCCTCTTTATTTCTTCTCCATAAGATATGGTTTTCTTTCCAAACACCTCCTTACTGGTTGTCCGTTTCTCCTACAAAATTGTCCCACAAATGTATGTGATTATTCTTCAACTACTATTGCACATTATATTCTCGCTCTTATGTCGGCACATCGTGTCCATCTCAGTCAAGAATTGTGTTAAATGTCATATAGAACAGCAAGGTCTTCCTTAAATGTGATTTCTTTGTAACGTAATACTTCAGTTTAAAAAAATCCCCATTTGATCTATCTTCATCTTCTCTCTCCTCTCAGTTGGAGGATAAAATAGATGAAATGCAGCATCTCCGAGACCAGAATCAGAGCATGGAGAATGAGCTGCAGACCTTGACGAGAGAGCTGGAGAGCAACAAAAAACAGGTTCATCTCTTCACTTAATTCTGCATTTCATCTCTCCCTCTTTATTTCTTCTCTACAAGATATGGTTTTGTTTCCAGACATCTTCTTATTGGTTGTCAGTTTCTCCTTCAAAATTGTCCCACAAATGTTTTTGACTACAACACTACTGCAACTACTAGCACTACCTTTTTGACTGCTACAGCTTTGCAAACAACGCTAAACTTCTCTTTTTGTGTAAAGCTTTGTGAGTCCAAGCTTCAGTTTGAATCTCTCATGAAGCAGAAGCAGGAGTTTAAGAGACAGCTGACAGAACTGACAGACAAGCACAAGCGGGAGAAGTTAAAGTTGTAAAATGTTGATACAGACTCAAGGATTGTATTGTTATTAACTGCTGGGAACATTCAGACATCTTATTCACATATTGTAGATCATCTGCACATTCAGTTTGACTCCCTGATGTAAATAAATTATGATTATTCTCAGAAGTTTAACTTACTTGGTCTACTGTGACGATTAATGTATGTACAGTCAGCTGACAAGGCCAGGGGGCAGACCTTTGAGGAGCTTAAGAACACCCAGTTTGAACTGGAGAAAAAGACTGCGGAGATCAGGAACCTGCGGAGAGAGGTACCCAATGTGTCCCTGGGTTACATACAGTCTTTGCTTTCCTTAACTTTCATAATTTCCTTAGCTGACTTTCACATCTCTCTCCTCGCAGTTTGATGACAGACTCAGGGAAGAGAATCAGAGTAAAGAGAAATGCCTGCAGACCCTGAAGGAGGAGCTGGAGAGCAAGAACAAGGAGGTTCATATCTTCAGCTTAATCTCATTGTATTTATTGAGACCCTACTTGTTGGCAGCTTTTTATTAAATTATGTTTTTATTTTTGTTTATTACTTTAAGGCACACAAAAGTAAAATATTACAGTAAAACTGAAATATTTATATATATGTCCCATCAAAAAGAAAAGCCAAGTCTCATTCACTACGCATTACCCTCTTTGCTTTTGCTTTTTAGCTTTGTGAGTCCAAGCTTCAGTTCGAATCTCTCATGAAGAAGAATCAGGAGTTTGAGAGAAAGCTGACTGAACTTAGAGAGCTGCACAAGCAGGTGGTAAGGTTTACATCAACACAGTTGGAAGTTTTGTATTTTTATTAATTATTATTATTATTATTATTATTATTATTATTATTATTATTGTTGTTGTTGTTGTTGTTGTTGTTAAGCTTAAACTGACCACAATAGCTTTGTCTACAAAATGATTAATCTCACTTCGCAGTTAAAGAAGATGGTCGAGGATGAGCAGCAGAGGACGGAGGAAGTACAAAAGGAAGTGGAGACCCTGAAGATGGAGCTGGAGAAGAAGAAGGACGAGGTTAATCTTTTTACCTAAATCTGCATTTTTTAAAGTTATCTTTTCAGGCAGTTTTCATTTTTCCCACAATACCAGTTTGTCACTTTGATCAAGATGACACAAACTAAACCTCACTTCCTTTATCTTCAGCAGAAAAGCCAAGCAGGGGAGTCAGATGTTCAGAAATCTCTGATAGTATGTGACAGCTCTGGAGAAGAACATTTAGTGTCAGAGGAACAGAGTAAAGCAGCGGAGATGGCTGAAGAATTACCAAATGTTGCAAAAGAAGTTGTGAACTGACAATCTGTACAACAAGCAGAATCCAGTGATTTGTTTGATTTGGAGCTATTATGTACATATTCAGTGCAAAAGAAGTAGTGTGATGCAGTTTGGGAAGTTTAAATTGTTTGATGACTGACTGCACTAAAAGTACATAAACAATTCTGAAAAAAAAATAAAAACATACTTGTATTTATACCTTAAACAGCCTTTTAATATATATGACTATAATATAATATTCATCACTGCTATTTTTAATTGCCTTACTCTATGTTGTTACTGTAACAGTTTAATAAAATAATTACTTCTGTGTATTCAGATCCTTTACTTGCACTCAATTTAAAAAAAAATTCACTGTTCAGTTGAACCTGTCAGTGTTTTATTTTTAGATCTTTTGATTGCACTGCACTTCTCACATCCCATTTTGTTTTTAGACGTCCTCTGTTTTTCACTTCTTAGTAACGTGAAACATCTTAAAACAGAAGTGTGCACAGGGAGGTCTTTAATATATTTAAGTACGGTAGTCTGGACGGGATGAAGGTAATATTGTATGTTTCTCTTCTGTTAGTTAACTGATGTAAAGCTTGTACCGAGCGACTGTTACCTTACATCATTATTTATGTATTATTGTTCTCTAAGGGATATCGGAGTAGTCTATAAATACAAAAAGTAAAAGTAGCATTTGTACAAGAAGTACTATGTCCTGCTGTTTATGGAAGATTTGTTTTTATTCCTTTATCCCACAGTCACACACAACATCTGTTTCATTGTGATTAACATTACATTGATCATGAGATTGATATCAGATGGAGAAACTACCCTTTCATATTTATTACCTTGTTTATATCTGTTTTTTATTGCTGCTGCTGGTGATGAAGTTTCAAGCTGCTGACATAATGGTAATTGTGTATTTTGTTTGTCATCTGTTACAGAGGAGCTCTAGGACCCCAAACAGAACATTAGAGTCTATGAAGTATTTCTTCTTCTTCTTCTGAACTTTTCTTTTCCAGGTTCCAGAGCTCCAGGATGCTTCCTGTGAGGGTCAGTCAGTACCTTAACCTTCAGTTTGGGGCATTCACTGTCCTGGTTTTACACACTGTTGTCTTCCTCAGCCTGATACACCCATGTGCTGCACAAATAACATCATCCTACCACAAGGCATATGACTCTAATATGTCCATTTCAGCGTTAAGCCCAGTTCAGACCAAAATGATTACTGAAATATTACTCAATTGTGACTGAAAGTACTGGTCTTAAAAAAAGTACAAAGTTTTCTTCTCAAAAACGACTTTTACTTTTTAGCCGTTGTTGTTTAATGCATTATCTTTATTGCTCTCAAATGTTGGATTTTACCAAAAACATCTGTGCTGAATCTTGTTACCACAAACCAAGTGCTACTTAAAAACTAAAGACAGACATAACTTTTCCCTGTACAAACATGTCTCTACAGAATCTGTTACTCTTGAATGAAAGTAACAGTGATGGTGTATATATATTGATGGATGAGATTATGACATGTTGGGATGTGCCACTTAATGACGAAACTCCTCTGTGGACAGTCTATTTTGGATCATCATTATCTGATGAAGCAACTGCACGCTACCTACAGCAACAGCAGAGTGGAACAGAAACAGAAACTACTTTTTTCTCTGGAGTTGGTGCAAATCAGAGCTAAAGGGAAGGTAAATACTGAACACAAACACAACTCCAATGTTGCTCTGCCTGCTGGGTGAGTAAATTAGCCAAGTTTTTGCTAACCTGTCAGTCACAATAACTTGATTAGGTGATAATATGCTTTCAGTTTGATCAGCCTCCAACCACAGGCATATGACATTAATCTGTCTGTTGAAGCGTTGAGTCCAGTTCAGGCCAAAGATTCACAATGAGACAACAGTTTTAGAACACTGCATGTAAAAGTTGCTGTGGTGTGAACTGGTTGTCTCAGCCCGACTCATGCCGGCAGGTGGCTGGATTTCGAACATAAGGCACGTGTTTCGACCAAGCGGCTCGTTGCAAAGTCATCCTGTCAAAATGGCAATTTTGGATAGACGAAAGAGAGAATCAGATCATCAATTAAAATGTGCTGTATCCATGCGCCCATGGACGGCTCCAAATACTCACATTATTGAGCATTTTATTGTTTCATCAATAAAATGCAGCCGTCGCAATCACTCGATCACGAAACCCTTATTTTATATTTTAAGATGCTATAAATTATTTTACAAACAGTTACAAAAACGCTTGAAATTGTTGCAGTTAGAACAGAAATACAGATAATGATTGTGATGGAGATAATATACTGATGATATAGTTGCATTGGCTTGACCTGGCAAGATTTCAGAAAACTGCTGAAAATGTGTTGAAGCAGCCAGAGACAAACAGACTGCATTCCTATTGAACAGATTACCCTTCCTTTCTTTCGATCAGATGAGCACATTAAGGCACTGAACACTAACACAGGGTTAACTGAGGACTCAGTAAGGTGAAACACCAAGGAATGCCCCACTTTTTCCATGGCAGAGAAACTGAGTAATGTGACTGATGTGACTGATGATATATCTTGCTGAATACATCCAAGTCAATTGTTTCCCATTGATGTCAGTCTTTGTGCTTTGCATTGTAGGTAGAATTTAGCATATGTTTTATTTAAACACACACACATTTTCCATGAAACTCATTCAAAGCTCATTCTGAAGACATCATACCTCCAGTTGGTGCGTGTTGCTTCTCTCAGAAACTCAAGACTGTATACCATCCACCCACCCCACCCCCCCCACTTGTGGTTGTCTATCACGTGCTTCCTCTTTCTGTTCAGTCTGTGGTGGTTAATATATCTCAGCCAATAGTGGCAATAGTAGGTGAAGACACCATCCTTCCCTGCCACCTGGATCCTGCCGTAGATCCTGCCTCCACGACTCTAGAGTGGTCCAGACCTGACCAGGGACACAGATTTGTCCATGTGAGGCATGAAGGCGAGGACGCACTGACTGATCAAAACCCGTCTTACAAAGGAAGAACGTCAGTGTCCAACAACACACTGAAGCAGGGAGACGTCTCACTGAAACTCTTCAGAGTGGAACTCTCTGATAACGGGACATACAGACGCTATATTCCAAAACTGAACAAAGAGTCTTTCATCAGTCTTGCTGTTGGTAAGTGAAATGCTCATTGTTAGGGAAAATGGATGATCACATAGTGGAGCTTTAAAGAATGACAAACAAGAACAAGGTGTTCACTTCTACATAAACACATTGCTGTTCTGTGTTTTATCGTTTCAGGTGACATGTCGCTTCCACCTCATAAGATTGTTCTGGTGGTGGCAATACCCATCATGATCCTTTGTTTGATAGTTTTCTGTCTGGCCTGTGACAAAAGAGCAGATGATGCTGAAGGTTCTGGTTCTAGTGGAAGTGACGAGAGTTTTGCTGAGATTTGTTATAGTGTACATTGGTTTCCTGATCTTTATTGTGCTGTGTAATCGCCTGAATGTAGGAATCTTTGTGTTTTTGTTGGCTTAGAATGAGCTGTTTTTATCAACAGAGGGAGCGGGTTCTCTTCTACTGAAATCATTTTGTTGTTGAATAAATACAGAAAAAAGTACAACATGCCATAATGAAGCACTGTACCCACCCTCACATTGTGCCTCAGTTACTTTCTCTTCCTGTCAGTGGTTTCTTTGTTTCTGCTCTGAATGTCTCACACTGTGTTCAGATTACAAACTTTCAGTCGTGCTGACAAGCTCAACAGGAAGTGCATAAAGAACGCCAGCTCGTAATGGTCTGAACACACAAAACAAGTCATGGTAAATTTTTTGTAGCTTTAATTTTATGCTCCAGTCAGAAGTCGGAATTTAATTTTGGCCAGACTTGATTTTGATATTTAATGTGTCCAATTTGTGTGACCAGGAACTTTCTGACTTCTTCATGTCTTACACTTAATAAACTTGCATGCAGTAAATACACATGGGTGATTCTGCTACATGAGTTTTTCAAAAGGCTGAATGCACACAGTGAAACTCGCTGGGACAGCACTTGAGGATCCCCCATTTTTTAAGATTTCTTCAGTATCAAACTAATTCACTGACAGTTGTCAGTAAATCCAGTGGTACACAGCAAAAATCAACTGTTAATGGTTCATTTTTGGGGAACTTCATTTTTTCAAAATGTATACAAATATAAAACGGGGCTCATGTTGCTGCTCAGTCTACACATTGTGACTGTAACCATTGTAACATTAAACTCCCTGTTTAGTTGTTTATCTGGTCACACCAGTGACATTTTAACATAACTCATATTAACGTTCAAGTTTATATTTGTAACATTAAGAAATCTGTAACCTCCTGACCTAACCCTACATTCCTAGTCACACACACATTGGACACAATGCATTTTTATTTTTTAAAAAAAATTTTGTGTTGGATTCATGAATGAATAACAAAATAACTACTTTTTTTTTTTCATTTTTCCAACATTGAATTCTTTATTAAACGTGACAAGAACAACTAATACATGGATCAGACAGCCTTCAAATGCTATTTTTGAATTTGAATTTTTACATGAATTAAAAAAACAGATCCGTTTTTTTTCCCCCAGGTTGGCATCTAGTGGCTCATATGGCAACACCAACTGTTGCCATATGAGAAGATATTATTTTACCATGCCACCTGGAACCAGCCATGGATGCTTCAGACATGACTGTAGTGACTGTGATGTGGTTATATAGTGTGAGTCTAAAGATAGATAGATAGATAGATAGATAGATAGATAGATAGATAGATAGATAGATAGATAGATAGATAGATACTTTATTTATGAAAATTAATAGAAAAAAAAAAATACACATAAAAACACATACATTAGCCATACATTAAATTGGATAGATTAAACTTTTGCAGAAGAATAAAAATATGTGCCGAGAGAGAAAATAAACTAGAAAAATAGAAATGAAACATGTGCAGGTAAATTAAGTGTTTAGAGTTTAATGTAAACTATGTACAATTAAAATTAGGCTGTGGACCAATGAATGAAAGTCACAGCATTTAGCAGAGGTCGTGCAGATGGAGTCTGTTGTACAGTCTGATGGGGGACGAAAGAGTTTTTGAGTCTGTTGGTGGAGCTGGACTGGGACAGCAGTCTGCCACTGAACACACTCCTCTGCCTGGTGAAGGTGTTGTGCAGAGGGTGGTGGGTGTTGTCTAGTATGGACAGCAGTTTGTCCAGGGTCCGTCTTTCTGCCACTGTCACCAGAGAGTCCAGCTCTGTGCCCACCACTGAGCCAGCTCTCCTCACCAGTCTGTCCAGTTGAGCGGTGTCTCTCTTCTTGCTGCTTCCTCCCCAGCAAACCACAGCATAAAAGAGCACGCTGGCCACCACAGCAGTTTTTTAAAGGCTGGTATCCAGAGCCTGAGGTGGTCTGGCTGGACGGTGAGGGAAACCTCCTCTCTGCTGGACCTACAGAGACAGTCAGAGGTCCTGATGACCTCTATACTGTCAGCAGCAGAGTGACTGTGGAGAAGAGACACAGCAACAACTGATGTTGTTAGGTAATTACTGATTAGTGGTACTTCTGATGTTGTGCTGCCATCTTGAGGACAAACTTTGACAAAAAATTACACCAATATCACAGTGACTCTTATTTGTCCTCAGTGAACAATGAAATAAACAATACATTTGATAAACCTCATTAGTGGGAGCCCTCTCATTCTGTGGAGCATTATATTTAAAAAAAAATGAAGGGCAGCTCTGCTGTCGGAGCAGGGATCACAGGGCAGATGACCATCCTTGCAGTATCCAAGTCTGATGAAGGCCTCTACATGTGCGTGATCACTGAAGTCAGCGCGTCAGCAGAGAGCTGGCTCACTGTCAGAGGTGAGAGAAAGTCATAAGTGGTTGCACAAGCACAATATAGTGACTACTTCAGTGGAAAATCATCAAATTTACTAAAACTTTATTCATCCCAAAGAAGCATTTAGACAACTTGTTTATGCTTATTATAGCATTTTATAGTATTAAGGCCCATTACAGTGACTAGATTAGAAGTTTTAAGAATTCTAGCCAAGAAAAACTGTCTTACCCCATTGGCACCCTTTTTTTTGCTGAATACAAGAAAATGTTTTGTTTATAGAAGGGTTGTTGTTGCAGTGTAATTACACAATTTAAACTTGACCCCTCTTCCCACGCCCAACTAGTGAGAGCAAAGCAGTGAATCAGAGAAATGAAATGTAATTTATGTGATTGTTTCTACCGCGGTTACATTGTAGTGGTGAACATTATCTGTGTGCAGAAGAGCCAGTGTGAAACCAAACTGCATGGTGCAAAGATGGAACTCATGGAGCACAGATGGGTCTTACACATATTGCCAAGTTGGGCCCACCCTAACACCTTGTGCTATTCATGATGGAGTGTGTTGCACTTTAGATTTTTGTGTTTATGGTTACACTGTCAAACATTATAATTATATGGACACTTTTATTTACAAATCCATGTCTGCTGGCAAATAGCTTCATCCTACAACAAGGCATATGACAGTAATCTGTCCATTTCAGCATTAAGCCCAGTTCAGACAAAAATTTTAATGTATCCATGCACCCATGGTTTTCATTGTTTCATCAATACAACGCACCTGTAAACTCACTTTTACTTTAAATATATCCAGCTCCAAATAAAGCCTGAAAAACTGGCAGTTAGAACGGAAGAGTTGCTGTTGTGGAGATGATGTGCAGGGCGGGGCGGCAGGATTTCATAACGGCAGCAGCTGTGCCGAGTTGCAAGTCTCAACTTGTCTCGTTATATCATACATATCATACTGTAACTCTCACCAAAAAAAAAAAAATAAAATTTTCAAGAAATGTCAAACTGTTCCTTTAAATATGCAACCGCAGTCACACTATATATATATATATATATATATATATACATGTATATATATATATATATATAATATGAACACACACACACATAATAATTTATTTGGTTTTGTAGACACACAAATGCTAAGCTACATGAAACACAGCAGTTGAACCACCTTTTGAAGTATTCAGTGGTTGTTGCTTTTCTCTACTGGATGTTCCCACTTGTGGTTGTTTATCACATACTTTCTCTTTCTGTTCTGAGAGGTGACTACTGTCAGGGCTCACATGTTAACCTCACCTGGACGGTCGAGGGATCGTCTCACTTCTTGAGGTAAACTTTAGTAATATCTGTGGTCAGAATAATAATACTAAATATTACTAATATCTTAAATTACAGCTATAATAATAATATGTTTACACAGTTGACTTTATGACTGAACAATATTAAAACCCTAATTGAGTTTTTGGCAGTGATATCAGTGATGCAGCTGATGATGATTACTAAGAATATCAAGGTTAAAATTAAGGTTATTCAAATCTGTATAAAATCTGTAACTCTCTATAGATGATTCATTCGCAACATCATACACACATACATATGTTGTATCATTCACATTATATATAGTGTGTCTCACTGTAGTGTTTCCTAATGTTTTTGTTCTCTTTCTTAGGGCACAGGATTGTGACTGTTACGGCCCTGGCCGTATTATTAGTATAATGTTATGGTATTGGTTCCGTCTGTGGTGTGTGTTGGTGTTTGTTTGTCCCTGTTCCTCTGCAGGAGTGTGCAGCCTGTCGATTGTAGATCTTTGACGGCAACCCGTGGGTCAGCGCTGACTGGTCCATGCCGTGGGCTCGGCTGGTGGAGTGTCGCCTGATGGTTGGTTCTCCCAGCCGCAACATCCGCGGGGGTTTATGTGGCGCTCCTTCCCCCTAGACAGGGGCGTAACAGTGACATTGTTTAAAAGGTACATTTTGGTCACTTATACAATATAGTGCAAAACCAACATCCTGGACTTATTATTAGCCTATTTATTTACTATAAATACGGAATACATTTGTATTGTGGTGTGTCAGCCACTGGTGCAAAGACTTTCACACAACATGAATCATGTTTCTATCACAGGTCATTCTGCAATGGTTAATATATCTCAGCCAATAGTGGCCGTAGATCCTGCCTCCACGACTCTGGAGTGGTCCACACCTGACCAGGAACTCAGATTAAGAGTCTTTCATCAGTCTTGCTGTTGGTAAGTAGAAATATCACAATGTGATGAAATGCTCATTGTTAGGGAAAATGGATGATAACATAGTGGAGTTTTAAAGAATGACAAACAAGAACAAGGTGTTCACTTCTACATAAACACATTGCTGTTCTGTGTTTTATCGTTTCAGGTGACATGTCGCTCCCTCCTAATATGATTGTTCTGGTGGCAATACTCATCATGATCCTTTGTTTGATAGTTTTCTGTCTGGCCTGTGACCAAAGAGCAGATGATGCTGAATGTTCTGATTCTAGTGGCAGTGGAACATTTTTTTCCTGCTGTGTTGACATTTGTTGTGGTGTACACTGTCGTCCTGAACTTTGTTGTGCTGTGTAATCGCCTGAATGCAGGAACCTTTCTGTTTTTGTTGGCTTAGAAAGAGCTGTTTTTATCTACAGAGGGAGCGGGTCCTCTTCTACTGAAATCCATTATGTTGAACATGTTTCTACCTGCACGCTTGGAAGGGAGGGTGATGCGAGTTGTATTTAGTTTGTAGCAATATGCAACCTCACCACTAGGTGCCACTTAATGTTTCACCCTTGTCTTTTAATATGTCATTTCACATGCTTTTATTATGTCAATTATCTTGTATTGCATGCATACATACCATTTTTATATATATCTAAAGACTCTTTTGGTGCTTCTTCTTTGCTCTCCACACTTAATTGAGGTTTACATATGTTACAACACTGACACATGTACTGTCTGTAATGTCATCCATATGCACCACTGACTCTTCCATACCTCCACACCTCTTATTTTTTGTATTCACCAAATAAACTATTTTTGGTTTTTGTGACTTTGTGCGTGGCCTTTCTCTTGTTACGGCCCTGAGCCAAGTTTGTAACCCCTGTTTGACAATACGACATACCTTTTGAGACAATAAGTCTCAAAATCACCTCCTTCTAAAGTAAGAACTATGAAAACTATAAAATATAGAAACATGTAATTAGAAAAATAGAGAATAAAATAATGAATTTCATGAATAAAATTAAAAAGGAAGCACATAGCCGACCACATCTCGCTCTCTATGTCACATAAATCTGTTTCAGAATGAAACAAAAAGGAACGTTAATTTTATGAGTCAGCACTGAGTCATCTAGGGATTTAGAAATGATTAAAAAAACATTCACTGTCAACGTATAAAGGGCTGAGCCTCTACAGACTGGTGTATGAGCGGACATACAAACTGAACTCCCCCATACATACATACATACATACTTACATACATACATACATACATACATACATGGAGGATTCAAAAAAAGTATAAAGCAAAATGTCAATACATGTTTTCAATGTTAAACTCTACGACAGCAAATAAAATAAAAAAGATTTTCACTCTTTTAAATTGTTCATTTTTTTTTTTTTTATCCAGGGAAATGGTTAAATAAGTCCCGCAATATTGTTGTTGTATTAATTACAGCTCACTTATAACATTTCAATCAGAAGAGACTTCCTTTTAAAATAATGAATGCATGTAATGGATATATGCACAAGAATATTGAAAAGAATAACTCAATCAATCTAAAGCTTTTAATATTTATTTAACTGTGATGATTAAATCATTTTATTATACCCTATAATCCCTATATCATCATAAGCTAGCACATGGTCTCTCTTACTGAGTCATTTCCTTCTTTCAGAAATAAGTGGAAGAAGCTAGCTGTTCAATTGTGTTCTGTCTTGGTTCATGAAGACTCAGAGGAAGGTTGTGGAGACGGTTTTAAGAAGACCATCGCTGTTCTAGCTTACCTTCTTTTCAGGTAGGAACTCAGAATCAGTGTCAGCTTAGTGTCAATATGCTTAGGAGGTGGTGTATGGACTGATCTCAGATCAACAATAAATGATGGCTTTTAAAATCCATCCCTCACTTTAACAGTAACCACAATATTAGTAACCACAATGTGTACTGCAGTTGCCATGTGCAGATATTTTTGGATTATATATACTTTACTATAAAGCTTGAGATTTAAATGTAATCAGTGATTATTACACAAACTTGACTAGCTTAGTTTTGCTGTTGAAGATGTCTCTTGAACAAATCTCATTAGTTTCAAATATTGATGTATCACACATTTTCTTTTCAGAGTCTGTTTGAAAATGGAGATTTAGCTGATGTTGAATTCAAGATCTGTGATGGACTATACTGAAAAACTGTCACAAAATGCATTTCATTAGAATTGTGAAGGTGTCAAATATGAAAGCTCTTCACAGAACATTAATCCTAAACCTCAACTGTGACATGTGATGGTGGTTTATGGTGTAACATCAGCCTCATAACGGTAACCTTTTTTTATTTGTCATTAAAGATTTTAATAAGTTTTACTCAAAATCAAAACATGTAACTGACCTTCCTGACTTATAGTGGTCAGAGGTCCACAATGTGAATCATCTACAAAGCAACATACCCAATAGGTAACAGAGGCAACCATTCAGTGAACTCATTACAGCCTCTTCCTCCATTAAGTAGGAACACAAACGTTGATGGTTACATGTTGATTGGATTGCCCTAATAACACATAAGAGGGTGTTACAATCAATCATGGCAGCTAATTTTGCTGAGGACTATGGGTACTGATGTGTTGATTCACAGTGAGATAGACCATGTGTTCACACCTTGCTTAAACAGTGGGCAGGACATATTACACTGGAGGACAGTATGTCAGTTTATTTTCACCTCTTCAGCCAGGTGTAAGTAATCAGTGTTAAGTTATAGTGGATTGTGCCAGAGAGATCTGGGAAACTGATTCATTTGATAAACCTTCAACAGAAATCTGCTGATTTACAAGATGTCATGCTTTTTTTTCTCGGTTCCTGTCTCTAAGTTTAACTGAGGTGACAGAGTGAATAACATCAAGAAAGCACTGACTGTTGATAACTGCTGCTGTTATGACTCATTTCTGAACTACTAAGTACATTTTTTAACTGAAGGCGTTTCTGTGATCTGCTTTCATCTTTTCATTTTTCTAGAACACTAGAATGATTCACCTAACTGATGGTCTGACCTTCAGAGCCTTCAGAGCTTTGCTTTTCCATCGTACTGTTATCTCCCTTCTTCTAATACAGTCCTCTGCAGGTAATACATGTTCAAACCGAGTGTAACTTTACGTTAATTTACTTCTGTTGATATTTGATATTGTATGAAGGGAAGCAGACTTTGACACAAGACTGGCACTGAGAGCAAAGGCAACATGTATTCAAGTGAAGTGGAAAAGACTTTACTCTTCATTTTAATAGTGTGACATCGCTTCTCCTCAATACGGCTGATCCGATCACCGTGACCCAAAACATCTCCCATTCACTCATATTGAGCCTGAACAACTCACAAATTCAAGCATGTGTTCCCTGTTTCACTGTGCTCTCTGGTGGATTCCCTGCTCAGAGTTCACCTTTGCTCAGCTCTGACCATGTGATGTGCTGAGCCGGTCAATAGAAACACTTCTGCACTGTGTTTGGGAATGGAGAAGTTGTTATATATAGACAGAAAGTCAAAGGACTATGTAAATAATAGTTTACAATACCAATACTTTTTTATAACCTGCATCAGAAATGTCCTTTTTTGTAATGTGGCCATCTATTAAAGGAGCAGTATGTAGGATTGAGAGGGTTCTAGTAATAACTAATAACTGAACAGCCTGGGAATGACAGGGAGGCCGCAGATCTAGCCGCGATCTATAGCCAGTATTTGATTTGTCCTCTCTGGGCTACTGTAGGAACTTCCACATGCTGGACTCCATAGAAGTTGACCCACAGTGTCTGTAGATGAAACTGCGTCATTCTGAGGCAATGAAAACACAATAATTCCGATATTAAAGTGATTATAAAACCTACATTTGAATATTAGATTCCATTTCTGTCAATAGGTCCTCCTAAATGTTACACAGTGGACCTTCAAGTCAAAAGAGAATTGAGGATAGAGACACAGCACAACTTTTTACAGGAATTAAAAAAACAGATGTTTCTTCCTCAGATTTACCTGCGGCAGTTGGTCAGTCTCATCCCATTGTGGCAATAGTAGGTGGTGACATCATTTTACCATGCCACCTAAAATCTGCCACGAATGCCTCGGACAAGACTGTAGAGTGGGCGAGACCAGACCTGGACCCCAGATTTGTTTATGTGTGGCGCGACGGTGTGGAACTGGAGGGTAAAAAACATCCATCCTACAAAGGAAGAACATCTTTGTTCATCGACAAACTGAAGCTTGGAGACATTTCACTGAGTCTCTCCAAAGTGAAACGCTCTGATGAGGGGACGTACAAATGCTTCAGTCCAGGACTGTATGAGTCTTTTATTGACCTTGTTGTTGGTAAGTAGATAAAGATAATCTTTATCTATCAAACAAGATTGACTAATTCTGAATTCTTTTGTTTGTTTTTTATTTCCTGCCCCATATATTATAAATTGTGAAGGATTTAGTTTCAGATCACAACTCCCTTTCCTTTCCCTCCTCTTCCAAGCACAAAGGTGGACTTATGGTGGATGTGAAATGCCCCCATCCCGAGTTAGTCTTTAGTTTATCCCTTCTGGGCTACTGTACAAACATGGTGGTTCAACATGGTGGACTCCATGAACCCCCAACCCACGATGTCTGTAGATAAAAACTAAATTCACTACAAACATTATACTTACTACAGTATACATTTCTGGTAATAGATCCTATCTAAATCTAAATTTGTCAAGGTAAAATAAAAAAATGCATCTGGGATCAGATAACAGGAAATGCTATTTTGTTGTGTTTTTTAGTTTAGGTGTGTTCACCAAATGTTTCTCCTCTATTTCAGGCGCTGTCTCCTCACCTTTCATAGTGAGTATTAACCAAACTAGAAGTGGAATGGTTTTAGACTGTGGTTCTAAAGGCTGGTATCCAGAGCCTGAGGTGGTCTGGCTGGACGGTGAGGGAAACCTCCTCTCTGCTGGACCTACAGAGACAGTCAGAGGTCCTGATGACCTCTATACTGTCAGCAGCAGAGTGACTGTGGAGAAGAGACACAGCAACAGCTTCACCTGTAGAGTCCAACAGAAGAAGACCAACCAGACCAGAGAGACACACATTCAGATTACAGGTATACATGTGTATAAATGAAAAATTCCTGATCTGCTTACTTTGTTGTTATTTATATAAATGCAGTGCTGTTTTATGTTTTATTGTTTCAGTTGAAGACACCGAGGAGTCAACTGAGTTTCGTTCTCACTGGATCACTCTCTTTGTTCACATCGTTTTTGTGATTACACTTACAGTTATCTGTATTCTAAAAAATTAACAACGTCAGTTGATTCAATTTGTGAGTGAGGATTTAAGTTTGAATCTTGAAAGCTGCTATAATCATGTAGTGGAGAACCTAAAAGAACCTCTGCAGGCTCTGCACCTACACAGCACTATAAACCTCTGCATCCTGTTCACACACTTGATTCTCACTACATTACATTACCTTGCTGCCACTGAGGAAATTACGCTATATAAAATATTTAACAATAATAATCGTATAATAGTCAGAATTTCACCTTTATTGGTTAAATGATGTGCTATAGCCTGTAAATATCTGTATTCATTCAAAAGATTCCAGGCTTTATGATGACTGACAGCTGCTGATTGATTGTGTTGTGTGATTGGCTGATTGATTTGACGACCTCCAGCACTCTGGTGCTGTGGATGTAGTCCTTCCATGCTACCCCCCAGTCCAGCTCTGTGTCCATGTTTTTAGTCAAATGAATGATCAGAGACACTTTATTTCAGTCTAATGACTATGATGTTTAGAATGTTTACTCTGCTCACTGTCAACCACCGGACGGCTGCTGTGGATTCTGACATACTATTAAGCCAGCTGCTATTCAATTTGTAATGCCTCTAACATTTACAGTAATGCTGCTAGACTTCTTGCACAAATACTATGTACTAATACTACACTATTTTACTGTGTAGTTTATAAGTAATAATGATAATAATAATTAACTATTATTCCATCTGAAAGGCACACAGTTCTATTGTCCTAATGAGTGTTTGCACTTAATAACAGAATCTGATTGGTCTGAACCACTGATTCTAGTACATAGGATGGGTGAAATGCACAACTTTGACTCTGCATTGTACTATGTGTATGATTGTATATGTTAAATTCAAATTATGGCACCAGGTAAAATGTGAAAATCAATTTGATTGAATTAAACGAAATTGACATCAAATATGATGGTTGAATGTGTTCTTGAATAAGTGATTTGTTATTTCATTAATACTGACCCACATGTGAAATGTCCCTATGTGCTGTTGGAGGAAAATACTGTGGATGCAGCAATTGACGGGGTCCAAGCAAACTGTGAACATCTGTTTGTATGTTTTATTTAATTTTAATTGACAAGAAGCACTTGAAAACACATAACATGCACATACAAGAATGGCTGCATTGGTAGAAAGTAGGAATTGAACGGCTGGGAATTTGAATCCTGGACTTTTGTAAACTTAGAAAGGGGTTAAAACTGGGCAGACACGGTATTTACAGACACTTTCTCACAAGCTGAGGCAATGATATATGTGCAAAACAACAGTCGGATTGTTGGTGAGATGCAGCACAATCCACTTTCTAAACACAAAAAGAAATGAAATTTCAATTAAATATATATATATATATATATATATATATATATAATTATACATATGGGTATGTGAGTAGAATAGAAAATGTCCCACGCTGATGACGACATACTATCTGTACCTCGTGTGGGTGGGTTGACAAAGTTTTGATCATAGATGTAGTTTCCATTTTTGACCACAGGTGGGCGGTATCACCATTCAAAACATCTGTGATTCCACCATCTTATTTCAAATCAGAAACCTCACCACTAATACAGCATCATCAGAGTCAATGTAGTATGGGTATTGATTGTATTCTGCTGTAATAATGAATTTAACATTATGATATCAGAATACAAAGGATATTACATCAAAATACAGGAAAAAAATATGATAATGAACAGATGCCACTGATGAAAATAATAATAAATTGCACATTCTTTTTCTGTCAAATCAACAATAATATTATTAATAACGGTAAACTAAGATAATAAAAATGTATTATAAATGTGCGTGTAAGCTCTGTGTGTCTGCTTGAGGTCAAACTGCTGTTAACAGCATCACCTTAGTTGCTGACCAGTGAGTATACTTAGACAGCTGTTCTTAGAAACTGCATCTTCAGACGTGTGAACAGATCAGATAGAACAATGTGGTTTAACTGTTCCACTCTTTTAACCGGCTCACCTTTTAAAATACACACTGATGACGTGACTGAGACAGAGACCCCAGACTGAGAACCACCCGATGAGTTTTAAATAAGCAGCTTGACTACCATATGTTGTTGAACTGAAAATCCAGGTCACCTGCGATTACATCCACCTGTTTTTATTTAAATTCACACATTAAAATGACCAGAATAAGTGTAACCAGCTGTTCATCTGCATGCCTCAACTTCTTATATGCACATAACAGTAGTGGATGGAAATACACATTCATTTGCTTTTGTTCTTTTTGCAGATTTTTTAGCAATTCAGTTATTTTAATGATTTTGCCATCTTCTCATCTCTTAACCTCACCAAAGAAATAGAAAAGACAGGCTAAGTTAAATGTGTGGTAGTTCCTGTAATGTCTTAACAAAGTTCAGGTGACAGTGCCGCTAAACCGTGGAGCTCAGTGCCTCTGGATATTAGAGTGGCAAGTTATCTCTGCATTAAAAAACAAACAGAAAAAGTAATTAAAGAGAAAAGATCTTTTTAATCGGGCTTTTAATTTGGAGTAATTCTATAAACTTAGACTTTTAAGTTTGAATCATTATTATTATTATTATTATTATTATTATTATTATTATTATTATTATTATCAATAACCCTGGTTACCTTGCATAATTGCATTTATTGTTGCTTTTTGTAAGCACTCTGGGCTTCATGTTTATATGGAAGGTGCTATATAAATAAAGTTGAGTTGAGTTGTACAATCATCTGTGGCTGTACAGAGAAGAACTTCATTCTTTGACCTGGAGGAACTGACACTAAAATCTGACATTTATTTATTATTAGGGAAACATTTTCTGCTATCAAACTGTCTTGATGGGATTTCCTGTCATCTGTATTTGAGAAACACGGGACAAAACAATGACATGGACTCACGTTACAGCATGTCTTTGCTCTTATGCACTGCTGACATTTACTGATACTGTATGTGGCTTTATAAATCATGAAACTAAAAAAAAAATAATAATTTACATCTTGACTCATTTCATTAAAAATACTGCATCTCTTTAAAGTGATGCAAAATAACATGTTTAGATTAAAACTTTTTTATAACAATATGAAAAGATACAAACACACTCGGTCACAGTAACATCACCGTGGCTGCTTCTTTCCTTCAGTCCGATGTCTCTGCTCTCAGTGGTCTATAAGACACATTTCCTGCAAGGATTTACAAATAAAAAAAACATAAACTGCAAAAGATGTTCATGTTAATAAGTTATTTGACCTCTTACCTTTATTAATATTTAGTTTTACTCACACAATATAATCAATAATTTACTCATAGACTAATTCGTATACATAACATAACATCCAGGAAGCTAAGCTGACAAAGCATGTGTCTTTATAAGGCTTCTCAATGTATGTAACCTGTTCAGACCTCATAAAATAAAATAAAAAAAAAAAAAATAAAAAAAATAAATCAGCTGTATCAGGTAAACCTAAAAGTAGCTGTGTTCAACTTGTTTAGACCTCCAAACAGACGCTGATGGCGTGTCTAAAGCAAATTTTTCCTACTGTACTGGACTCTGCTGTGCTTCCAGTCTTGCAAGTTACTCCTTCATTGCTGCAGCAATGCCATTGATACAGTGATTAAAACAGAGGCTATATCAGCCATAGCCTTACCTGCAGTATAGTAGACTGAAGAATAGACTTCTGGTAGAAATGTCTTGATTCTTGCTTTGGACAGTTCTGATTCTGTTTTGGAAACAAAGAAAATTATATCTTGCTGAGAATTGTTCATTTACCTGAAAAATAAAATGTCAACTGAATATGTCAGTAGAAGTCTTTGGGGTCCCTCATTGCAGTCGGTTGGTACTGTAGCTATGAACGAACATCACTTATTAGAACTCGCACTGCAATCTCTCTGTAGGTCATGTTAAGTTCAGTCAGGTTTTCTTCATTATAAACTATGGAAATGTTGACTTTGTTGGATCTTTGTATATTGTTCAAACCTCAGTTAAACCAGGTTTAACCTCAGATACCTTAGAATACAGTTACCTTTGGCGGTGCTTCCTTCAGTTTTGTCCTCTGTGCCTTTGTGTTTCCTGCAGTGGATTACCCCCAACACCAACAGCAGCAGGGGCAGCAGTAAAAGCAGGATGAGGAGATTAAGGGAGTGACTATGAGTTCCCCATTGTCTTCATGAGGTTCTTCATGAGGTTCTGAAAAGACTAAAGAAGTACAGACTTACAAATCAGTAACAAAATACACGCAGATTTTGCAAAAAACAATTCAGGGACCTAGCTCAGTTTTGAAACTCTGTTATGTCTGACCTCTGACAAGCAGTCGGCTCTCTGGTGATTGTCCAGCTCCAACGATGTTACACTTGTAGAGTCCTTCGTCTGATGTAGAAACATTGTAGAGGGTCATGCTTCCTTTATAGCCAGTCTTGATGCGGAGGCCATCTTTATGGAAATCAGCTAAGAGGTCAGAGGAACTTTTCTTCTTCTGACAGTGCAGAGTCACATTGTCTCCCTCCTCCACAGGCAGGACAGGGCTCTCCAAGATTACTGAACCAGCTCAACAATGATAAGAAATATTATACTGTAAGCATTTATGTTATCTATTATTTCATGGAGACTTGAGACTTGAGGCTTGACAAAGCCTGTAGCTGTGGGTCGGCCATGTTGAGTTTATTGTTCAGATTCCTAAACTTGCTCAACTGTACTTTTGAAATGTGTAATATCTGTTTATTTATGATTTTTTGAATCCTAACATATACTGGAATATGCATAGATTGAGTTACCAGCTAAACATACCAGTGACGGTGATGTTGACAGCATTGCTCTTCAGTCCATCTCCATCTTCACACCAGTATTCTCCACTGTCTGATGAAAATGCAGGTTTAATGGTCCCAGATCCTGCTGATGTCACCCAATTAGAAAAGTTTGTTGGGATAATGTCCTGGAGTGTCCTCATCACTCTCCATTCAGCTGAGTCATCAAACTCACAGTTCAAAGTGATAGACTCATATTCAAAAAACTGCAGTCTGTTTGGAAGAATATGAGGAAAAGCTGCACCTGAGACACAGAATGTAAGAGGTCAACTCTGATGGTTCTGAAACATAATTAAATGGAAATAAAACATACGATTTGACATCCGTCCTTGACATTAACATAGACATGTACAAAATTCTACATGTACACTATTAGAAAATACATATGACCTGCAACTCCTTCTGTTTCAAACATGATTAATCTCTAGTGAGAGACAGAAGTTAAGCAACTGAGCTTAAATTGAGTTTAAATAGAGCCTGCTTGATTTAGAGTAGCAGTTCTACAGCTTTATCAGGGTTTAGCGGTGCAGCAGTGCAGCAGCAGATTCAGTGCTCCATCTGTGTCTACACAGGACATGTTAAGGCACAGTACTGAATGTAGCCAACAGTGTTTTGGCAGCACTTAGAGCCTAAAGTGCACATACTCGTGCATGAAAAAAAAAACCCTTGACGCTTCAACGTTTCAGGTCGTGTTTACTTGCTAACGTCTGAGTAAAACATGAACAGCCGTATGATCATAATATGTGCATATCTGTTCTATAGACACGCATTAGACCTGAAAATTTGTCATATACATTTCTTTAATGTTTCCTGCTCTGTAAATGAGAGTAGCCAGTCTGGTGCTATTAAATCAGTTTGTTTTAATTTTGCATTATTAATAATGTCCTTGATAGAAATATGTAGATATTTATTTTAAGAATAAAGCCCTGCAGCTTACCATCTTTTTGAGCACAATGAACTTGTGCAACCTGCCCCATCAACACATTCATCACTGGAGAGACGAAGGAAGACAGCAGTGCATCTGATGAGTTTACATGAATTCATTGCTGTTGCAAAACTATACATTTTGCTGTTGTGTTAATTTATCTGACAGTCTCAGCCAAATTACAAAGTATCTCCATGTTCTAACTTTACAATAACCTTTCAATGCAAATCACAAATGTATGTTAAGTTAGTAAATGTATTAAGACATCAATGAAACATTTTAAACAGAGTAAAGGTAACACTTAGTCTTGTTTCTATCACTGCCAGAATGTCTGTTCTGTTGCTAAGAAAAGAAAACATAATGCTTAAATAGCTGCCAAATTCAGATGTATGTATTTATGTGTTATTAAAGTCAGTCAGTACTCACACAGTCTGATGCAGAGAGCTGTGACCTCCATGTTTTCTTGCTGCTGACTGTCTGAACATCAGACTGAAATACAAAGCGAAATGTAGATGAGAACGTCCTCTTCCTGTGGAGCTTTTTTTTTTTTTTGCTTGATGCGATGTCAGGTTCGGGTAATTTCTACAAACGTGACGCAGACAGACAGAAATATAGGTGTGAAGCCAAAAAAGAAACACGGCCTTTCAGTGCACAGTTAAGTATAGCCTCACAGACCTGCTAGAGTAGACTCTTATTCTGGTTGCAACGCTGAAGTTAGCGGGAGTTGTGTGAACTTGGAGGTCTGTGGGTTGTTCAAAGTAACATAGCACATTTCTTTTATAGACAGACATCTCAAAACCAGGCCAAATAAAACCAAACTTGCGTGACTAGATGGAACAAGAGGTTAGTGAAATATTTTCTTCCTCTAACCTTTATGCAGTTTGTGTCATATTGACACATAGTTACTTACATTTATACCTGGGAGCTGCCTAGTTCTACTGGCCACTGAGCCACCCCACTGGAGCAGTTTAGAGCCTTTCTTAATTTTCAAATGGATAACATTTCTGTTAAACATTAGACAGACAGGAAATCTTGACGTGAACACACCTTATCTCATTACGTTTGGCCTGGGTCAAAGTACTTTAATGGAGGATTTTGACTGTGTCGCTTTGGTGAGCTTCTCCTTGAGGCACACAACAGGTAGGTTCAGTTCGAATCTTAATTTCTAACATTACTGTAGCTCCCACTAACTTCTCTATTTAAGGATAATGTTCATGTACAGTATGACAGTAAATTAATGTTTAAGTATGCAGCTATTTGATGCTTTACCAGCTTTACCGCTGCTTAGAGAGTAGGCTTGCATTTCACAGTTGCCAATTTAGGGGAGAGACACTCACACATATATTTGCACTAGATGACACAAGATGGACACCTGAGGAATGGAAGACACCCGTTTGGCTATACATGCATATGGGGAAGTACCAGAAGTAAATAAGTCTCCATTACTGCGGTGGTGTTTCCCTACAGTATGTTTGAATGCAAGGTGTCCTAGGAAGTATATTAGTATATAAGTATATTTTATACATATATTTTATATTATTTACTGTTACAAGTAAAGTGTGATGTTTTGTTTAGCCTCTGCCCTATTCTGTGTGGAAATCATGAAGAACCTGTACAGTTATCAGCAGATCTAACAGTAGTAGCGGACTTAAGCTTTGTAAAAAATCTGAATGTGAAACACACAGGCCGTTACTTCATGAGTGCCTCTGTATGTAATGTAATGTATTTTCTTCTTGTTCTAAAAGACAAGCTAGAGACTTGTCAATGAAATGTCTTTCAGTGAAATAAAGACAAGTCTCTTACTCTGAAATATAATTCCTTACTTGTTTTAAACTTGAACAAGTGTGTGTGTGTATATGCTGTTGAATATTGGAGGCCCGAGTATCAAACCCCTGCACCTGCTTGTATTTATGTCTTAAAAACATAGCTCCAGACAATCTGTCCCAATTTACCACTTTTTTAGTTTGTCTTTAGGAATAACTGTTTTGTAGCTGGTTTATTTGAATTTTATTTGTCATTTATTTGTTTTAATTTTACAGAACTGCATGATGCTTTACTTGAAGAAGAGGCTGTCTAAATCTGGGCTCACTCCTTTCAGTGTTTTGATTTTTTATCACATTGCTGTTCTACTTCTCCTAACACACTGCTGTGGAGGTAACTCACACACAGACACAACAGAAACAACATGGTGTGAGTCGAGTGTGGCAAGATACTGAAACTGGTACATGCTTATTGTATGGTGTTACTGAGGAAGGTTGATCTGCATCAGATTGTCTGGTCTCATATTCTGATTGACACCAATAAGGTAAAGCACATGCGAATGTAAACAGTTAGCAGACGCAAAAAGCCCCTCATTGAAGTGAATATTCAACATTACAGATATGAAAATGTCTGACTGCAGGATGTTTATTTCCAGGTCAGTTTCAGGTAGTTGGTCCATTACAGCCAGTAATTGTAAAGCTTGGTGAAGACGTTATTTTGCCATGCCATCTGAAGCCGGCTGAAGATGCTGCTGGTATGACGTTTGAGTGGGCGAGACCTGACCTGAACCCCAGATTTGTTCATGTGTGGCATGAACGTCAAGACCTTCATGTTAACCAGCATCCGTCCTACAAAGGAAGAACATCAGTGTCCATCAACGGACTGAAGCAGGGAGACATTTCACTGGCACTCTCCAAAGTCAAAATCTCTGATAATGGAATATACAGATGTTACTTTCCAGATGTGGAAAAAGCCTCTACTGTTCATCTTATTATTGGTGAGCATGCATATTTCCTTTTAATTATTGTGCCCATTACTTACAGTGAAGAGTCTTATTGGCCATAACTACTGTAAATTTCATATTCTTACAATTAAAGCTGCTTACACTCATCAGTAAAAAGTCCACCTTAAACTACTGTTGTTAGCTGTACTGTTACTGATGTCTTACTCTGCTCATCAGGGACTGCTTCCTTTCCGGCCATCGGTTTAGCAGGGATTGACAGATCCTCCAGTGGAGTAGTTTTACAGTGTGAGTCTAAAGGCTGGTATCCAGAGCCTGAGGTGGTCTGGCTGGACGGTGAGGGAAACCTCCTCTCTGCTGGACCTACAGAGACAGTCAGAGGTCCTGATGACCTCTATACTGTCAGCAGCAGAGTGACTGTGGAGAAGAGACACAGCAACAGCTTCACCTGTAGAGTCCAACAGAAGAAGACCAACCAGACCAAAGAGACACACATTGATGTTCCAGGTAGAAATATTTTCTAAATGTTTGATGTGATCACTGTTTCAACTTCAAACTGCTGGTTTGTAATTTTATTTAAATAAAGTTGACATTTTTTGTTTATTATTTCAGATGATTTCTTCGTGGCCCCGGCCAGTTCTGCTGCTTGTATCAGCATCAGTTTGGTTGCTTGCTTCACATGTGTTCTTGCAGTTGTCTTTGCTGTATGGAAATGGAGGCAAAACAAAACCAGTAAGTCATAAATTAAGTAATTTTAACTTCTGTCCAAGATAATATCTCTCTAGTGACTGAATTCCTTTGCAGAGTTTAAATGGTTTTGAATGAATAGTTTTTTAATTGTAATTGGACCATACAAGTCAAGTAATTAGTGCTTTAGTTTCATTGTCACATTTCACTTCATCTGTCCTGTTCAATAACACTCATGCATAACCAGCACTGCATTAAACAAATAGAAAATGTAACTGTTTCCCTCTGTTTGCTAACAGAAACCTGTATGACTGCACTAAGAGAAAAGGAGCAGCTTATGGCAGAGAGTAAGAAAGTAAAGGACACTGAGAAGAAAATGAAAGAAGAATTAAGGAGGAAAGAGGAACAACATAAAGACATGGTTGCTACACTGATGACACAGAAGAAGGAACTGGAGAAACAGAGAGATCGACTGAAGGAGCAAAAGGTGAAGGTAGAGGAACAGGTGGAGGAAAACGAGAAGAAACTTCAGTCAATGGAGAAAGATACAGAGAAGGATGAAAATAAAAGACTCACCAGTGCACCAGCATACCGAAATCTGAAAGAATTAACTATTAAATACAAATGGGAGCTGAATGGCTCACTGAAGGTATTTGAGGAACTGTTACTGGACACAGAGAAACTATTAGAGAAGACAGAGAGTGTGATTGGTAGAACAACGGAAAATAAGAAGGAAGCAGAGAACCACATGGATGAACACTAATGTGAAGCTGAAGGAGGTAGCATCACACTGAATTCTCAGGTTTAAGATGTCTATATATATAAACAAGAATAAACACAAAGCAACAAGACTGACATAAATCAACTAATAATTATTCTATTATTTAGTAAAAGCAGTCACCTGCTTTCAGTTTCTTATTTTGAATTTTTTACCTTTTTTAACTTGTCTATTCTGAAATTACTCTACCATATTATAGCAATAAAATGTCCCATAATCCCTCATTGTATCACAGCAGTACAGATTAACAGTGCCCTCTGGAGTTTTCCTGCAAACAAACAACATTCAGTGTTACACTTTTGTGCTTAAACAAACATGTTGAACTTTATTATATATTTACTTTATCAATGTTACTAGCATATGATGCTATTCTTCCTTGGTTTAGATCGATATGAGAACTAAAATGGAGAAAAAAGGTTGTGGCAGTACACATAGTAGAGCATAAGCGCACAATTTTCACTTGGGGAACTTCAGTTTCCTGTTTTGCATATAATAAAATAACCTTTACATATATATATATACATAACTACATACATAACTATGAATATTGGAACAGAAACAGACGCACGTTCAGCACTGCTTTTTCTACATCAGTCTTTCCAGCTGTGTTTTTCCATGTGATTAACTAATCGGGGGTTAATCCCCTCTTCTCTTCCCCTTTCATTATAGAAAAGGCCACAGACTACATGTACCAGAGCAAAAGCAATACCTTATTGGTCATAGATTCTTTATTTCTGGGATTTTATATTTTGCCTTGTTGCTTTTTGGAATGTTTCCGACCATGTAAGGCATTGTGTAACTTTGTATTGAGAAGTGCTGTATATATATTATTATTATTAAAACATATCTTATATATAAATTAAGGTCAATGCTATCATTGTTGAAGGAAGCTGACTATAAAGGCTGTCATACTATGTCAACCCCTGTATAATATACTGCATAAGGCATGCCAATAACATTAAAACATTAGAGGGCAGCACTGATGTTACGACCTCAGTTGTGAGGTCCAGGGGAAGAGAGGCGCAAAAATGAATAATTAACTGGGTGTTAAAGAAAGAGAGAAAACTGAATTTTTTGTACTGGCAAACTGTTTATTTAAACGTAAATAGTTCAATATTAACATAAAACAACTTCCTGAAAAAAGAAAGGAAGTGACAACCATTTAAAGTAAACAAACCAACCACTGGTCTAACAAATACATATAAATAATGCTTTCCCTCCACTGAGGGAGTACTGAGACAATAGTACACACACAAACGACACACAGCTCTGCTTCACAACCGTCTGAGCTTCTCGTCCCAGGCCTCCTCTGCTTTTAAGGCAATCGGCATGACTGTTAAAACTACTGCAGGTGTACCCGACCAGTCAGAGGGGAGGGCGGTACCTGGAACAGGACACAGGACAGAGCAGAGGCAAAACACACTATACACATAACAACTGAACTATCAATAATCCTTCATTTAACGTCTTGGAAGTGTGTATTCAGACACACAATGTAACAATTTTAATTTTTTTTTTTAAAAAATTTTTTAAAATTAATTTAAAAATTTTTTTTTAAAAAAAAAAAAAAAAAGTTTTTTTTTAATAATTATAATATTTATTTTAATTTATTTTTATTTTTATAAAATAAATTTTTTTTTTTTTTTTTTTTTTTTTTTTTGGGTGTTTTTTAAAAAATATATTTTTTTTTTTTTAATTTATTTTTTTTTTTATTATAATTTTATTAAAAAAAATTTTTTTTAATTGTTTTTTTTTTTTTTTTAATGGAATTTTTTTTTTTTTTTTTAAATTTTTTTTTTTTTTATAAAAAATTTTTTTTTTACCTTTAAAAAAAAAAATAAAAATTTAATTTTTTAAAAAAAATTTTTTATTTTTTTTTTAAATGTTTTTTAATAAATAAATTTTTTTTTTTTAAATTATGGGGGTGGGGGGAGGGAAAGTTTTTTTTTTGAAAAAAAGGAAAAAATTATGAAAAGAAAAAAATTTTGAAACACAAAATCCAAACAAAGTAATATTTTATTTCAAAACTTCATTTAAAACAATATCAGGGAATTCCCAAAACCTTAAAAAAAATAAACACCTTTATTTAAAACTGTAATAATGAGAGTGATTAATCCATGTATGGCTTTAGTGCAGTAATACTCTCCATGACCTGTAAACAAACCATAATGTGTAAAATCTGTGTTCCTACTTTAAACTGTTTTATATGCCTTTAGTGACAGGCTGTAATAATCCAGTGAACAGACAGTATTCTTGTTTACATCAGATAAACAAATTATTGAGCACAGTATTAATACATTTAACATTATAAGTAAAGCCCAAAATGTTCACAGGCAGTTTGAAACTGTCAACTTAATGTTTTTTAGTGTAATGTAAACCCTGCCTATAATCATCAGTGTAAATCTTTAACCTGGCAAATTCTGGTCAGAGTGAGGGCTTCTAATGAACTGAGCTGCTGTGACGGGGCCCCAGAGGTAGTGTCAGCGAGGAACCATGTGAAGGATGTCAGTGGTTTGATATGATAATGGAAACGTATTGTCAGTGTGTCTCTTTCAAGCCAAACCGCTGTTAACTGAATCGTGTGGTTGTCGACCACAGTGAGCGTATTTAAAAGCAGCAGCGTTTTCAGACGTGTGAACAGAGCAGGCAGAACATTGTGGTTTAACTGTTCCACTCTAATAAGCTGCTCGCTCTTAAAAATAGACACTGAGGACGTGACCAAGCCGAAGACCCCAGATACAGACTGAGGAGGACGATGAACCACATGACCATTTTCAAATACTGGAAACAGCTTGACTACTTCAAATTGTTCCATCAATGCACAGTTCAATTTGCACATAAAAACGTTGTAGAAGTAAAAAAAAATATCCAAATCCAAATATTTTGGAGTAATGCTTAAACTTGGCTCAGGTGGAAAAGGTTGGTACAAATTTTCTACATTTACATGTGAACTAGGCTTGTGATTATGAATGTTTACAGCCTTCTTAATTGTACAGAAACTGCTGTTGATTATAGTATGTAAAAGGCTCTGTCATTATGAATGTATATAGAGTCTAAATGACGCAGTGAAATGTACAAGATCTGCAAACAGCTTAGTTCATTTTCTGGTTTCTGTTCCTAAGGCAATACAAGTACAAACATGTTTGCATTCAGTGAGTGGGTCTGGTACTGAATAGAATAATCTATAAACTATGAACTTAAACATAAACTAAAAATGATTTTACAACATCAACAGAGCTTTATAGAAAATACAACAGTATTTATGACTTAGAGTGAAGAATATTTGCCGAAATGTTCGTTAAAAGAAAAATCAATCCTCTGTAGGTGTAGACATGTCTCTGTGCTTCCTCTTGCCCAGTGGATGTATCCTCATTCGGCTGCTTTAGAAAGAAGATCTCATTCTTTGACCACAAGGAACTGACACTAAAACCCAACTGTACGTGTTGACTTTTAAGAGAAGTGAAACATTTCCTGCATTAGGTGTCTAAGGAACACATTGTATCAAAAGCCAAGTCTGGTTTTAACTTCATGATTTTACTTTATGATTATTATTGTTTGTTTGAAAAAAAGTTACATAAAAGTCACATGAAAGACATTTATCTCATTGAGAGGAACAATAATGGAGTGGCAGGTTATGTACTGTCACTGTTAAGTCCCACCACTGCACATAAACACTGGTTAATACTTAATATCAGTGAATGCATGTGAATGTGAGTTACCTCACTAGTACTCAACCAAACCTGTGCTTTTCAACGGATGTCAAACATTAACAAAATACGACTTTTGTACATTTTTACATAATATCTTTAAACAGTTTTTACAAATTTACATTATTAAAGATTATTTATATATAAAAAAGTTCCCTTGCTAACTAAAATACAAAAGTAGAGGTTTGAACAGACCATCTCCTCAGTCCTTCAGTCAGTTGCAAGTGGCCTGTAAAACACAGAAGATGTTCAAGAAGGAAAATAGCATGCATGCACTTTTGTTTGGACCTAATGTTGTTAGGTTTGTCAGAAAGGGTACAGGACGAAGAGTCTACAGCTGCGCTAGAGGCTCTGTTAGGCTGCATGCACGGCCGGTAAGGGCAGTGAGTTCCCAGTGACAAGTTTAGACAGTGACAGTGACAGTGACTTAGTTTAGCATGTTAGCATGTTAAAATTAATTTGTAATATTAGAGGAAAGTCTCAGACTTACCTATAGTTGATACAAGCGTAGGTGACAGACTCATCTGGTAAATGTGGCTTGGTACCACCCGGCTCTGTTTAGGAAACAAATAAACTGATCTCTCTAATCCACAATATTCAAAAATATGTATTATTTATTTTATATTATATATATATGTGTTGAGCATTTAATTTTCCATACTATAATTTTTTCTATGTAGCATTTGTGTGATTTGATACACCTTAGGTTGGGAAGAACAAAGAAAAAGATGAAATGTGAGAGAAAAACTAAATGATGCAAAAGTGAATCATTAGACAGTTCAACATTTCAAACTGTTCTATATGGTCATGTTAAATGTTTTTTTTTTTTTACTTTCCATCTCATATTGACCTCACAACAACCTTTACTGAGACGCCCTTTGTTTCAGTCTGTGGTTACCTCGCGTGGTTTCTAACCACACGAAGACAAAATTATTACCAGCACCTACAAGACAGAGGAGTGTATCACCCCTTCACACTGTTGGTAAAAGAAGGTTGCTGGTAAATGTTGCCTTTTCTATATATAAGACAAAACATGTTGCACTGCAGACTTCTTCTGCAAGGAAGTAACAGCAGTTAACAGTGAAGTAGAGGTAATATAATAGAAACTACCTTTCTTCTTCTTTTGCTTTGTAACAACAGCATATGTCACGTTGTCTTGATCAACTGCATTGTCTCCAGCTGACACTAAATAAAAAAATAAAAATCAGACAGTTGTTTACATTGTTCATTGTCGAGCTGTCTTAATAAAGGGGTTAAATGTGTGCACACGCAGCTATAGCATTATATATGACTACAAATATTACTTAAAACCACATTTCTAATTGGAAGTAGAAACATTTAATGATGTACCTTTCTTCTTCCTTTGTTTTTTGACAACTGCATATGTTGCAGGGGGTGGATCAACGTCATTTTCCTCTCCTGAGACTGAAACATAAAAAAAAAAGAAACAGACATCTGCTGTCATGCTGTATTTTATCAGAAAAAGCATCATAGCAAACAGAGGCAGATTGGTATGCAGTAATTGCACACACACATTGTTTTTTTCCAGAGCTGAGTTCAGTTGGCTGGAGGTAGAGGAAACTCCAGCTATGCATTGCACAGTTTGCCGCATCTTTGAGAGCAAAGCAGATAAAATAAGGGTACTGATCGTGGAAAAGGACGGCTAATCATTAGTCTACGTTCCTAGAATAACTTGCATAATAACATTAATATATCAGTGCAATGGTACGTAGTTGGTGTTACTCACCGGGTTGACCTTCATGTGGCTGTGATCCTGGTGTTTGTTTTCCACATGAACAAAAGACCAATACTGGAGAGAAAGAAAAAATGTCATATCATAAAAAATTGAAAAGAAGAGGAACTTGTGCTGGTGGTTTTAGAAGCAACACTGACGATAATACAGGATGAAGAGCAGAGGAGGTTTGGAAGCACACCACTATAAATTAATTTACTGATGGGTTATTGTCTGAATTCAACCATGTCTCCTAGAAATTACATTCATATAATACTAATTTGCAAACCCGCAAATTTGTTTTGAAGGAAATGTTATGTGGTAATTGTGTTTTCTATTACCGTGAGGAAGTTAATTAACATAGCAACAAGTAAAAGACTAATGATTTCAGTAAAATGTTCATGGGCAACATATTTGGTTTTCCACCAAAATATCCGATGTACTTATACTTTTATGTTATGTTTAGGTACTCAAACACTTGTTTTATTTGTTTTATCTATTAATTACCATTTAAACAAAACAACTATTTTACCTATAATCTAACCATAGACTTCAGTGCACAAACATTGCTTATGGACGTAAGTCAGCCAGAGTTTACATTTTCCACAACGACATGATCAACAGAACACTCAACAAATACTATGTAAATGTAATTTCTATTGTGGCAGCGTTGCTGTACCTCTGTGTTTTCTGCAGAGAAGTAGTCCCACCACCAACAGCACCAGAGCCACCGATAAAACACTGCCTACAATCCATAGCAGGGAGGGAAGATGAAGGGAGGGAAGATGAAGAGAGTCACTGTCAGAAGGACGAGTCTCTTCGTAAGCTGTTTCATTTTGATTTAAAACAGACAGCCAACTCTCTGGTGATTCTCCAGCTCCAGAGATTCTGCACTTGTACAGTCCTTCATCAGACTTGGAAACATTGTGGATAGTCATGTTGTTTTCATACCAGGTCCCTAATTTGACACCATCTTTGTAGAAATCTGCAATGTGTTTTGCTTGAGTTTTCTCTTTCCTGCAGTGCAGAATCACATCATATCCCGCAACCACAGGACGGGTAGGAACGTCCAGGATCACAGAACCATCTGAAAAATGAAAAAATAAATAAAATAAATATATTTATGTTGAACATCATTTATATTTTCGTGGCCCTATTTTAGCTGCAGAATTGGTCTAATTTCCGGTCCAACTGGCCTAATTTCTGACAGTGCAGTTTGAGGGGGTCATGGCTGTTCTGTTGTTGAACTACAGACGTCTTCCAACAAGTTAAGCTAACTGTGTCACTGCATCAAACAAACCTGAAAACTTTTGATTTATTATTTGCTAAACATACCAGTGATGGAGATGTTGAGGACATCACTCTGGTTTCCCTGTGCATCTTCACACCAGTATTCTCCGCTGTGTCTTTTAAAGGTAGGATGAATGGTGCAGGAGGCTGCTGATGAGTTCCAGTTGTAAGACTCTGTTGGAGTTGTTTTGTTGAGCTTCCTCATCACTCTCCATTCACTCAAGCCTCCAAACTCTTCACAACTTATAGTGAGAGTCTCATATTCAAAGAACTGCAGTCTGTCTGGAGAAATCCGAGGAAACGCTGCATCTGAGACTGAAATCAAATTAAAGATGTCCAAATGAAATTCAACAAAAACACAAAAAACAGACAAATACTTCAAAAATGTGTCAATACTTATAAGTTTAAGTTATATACAAACTGTTGATAGTTTTGATGGTCTCTTTTTTTAAACTCATTTGTTGGTAAGGTATACACATTGCAAAGATGATCAAGGATATCACGTGGCCAAACACGAGAGTGTTACAGATTTTATCCTGACAGCTGATTAAAGGAATCTAACTTACCAGCTCTCTGAGCAAAGTAACTGTGGTCAGCATGTGCAACCAGCAAGACAAACACATCCATCACTGCAGAGACAAACAAAGAGGGTTGTTTATTAAATATAATGCATAGATATCTGTCTACTGACTAAAAAGACACATGAATAATAGAATAGTCTGAGTACTCACACAGTCTGATGCAGGGAGCTGTAATGTCCATGCTGTCTCGCTGCTGACTGTCACAGCATCAGACTGAAATACAGGGTAATGTAGAACCTCCTCTTCCTGTTTTAATGATACAGCAGCACGTTCCAAATGCTGATCTATGAATATCTATGTGAGACAGAAGTACTGTGGTGGAAACCTCACTGGTTTAATCCCCAAAGAGACAACATGTGTGAGTGCTAAAGATAAAAGCTAGGTGATCAACCTTTAAAAGTATAAGCAGCAGTTCTCACAGTATAAAAAGGTGGCCCACCATTAGAGCTGTTAGTGTCAACCACTTCCTTTCTCAAAGCCATACATATACATATTATATTAAGCCATAGCATATGAAGCTGAACCACTGGCTGCTTTAAAGGACAGCCCACTTTGTCTATTTTGAAATATTGTTGGTTTTGTAAGTGTTAAATGGCCAAATTATTTTATCTTTTAAAACAAAAACCTGATATCCTCAATCTAAATGAATGAATAAAGAAGCAAATAGATACAGAAATAAATTACAAAACTACATTTGAATGAGAATAATATATTTATATATATAGAGTTGAAACATTTGCAAAAAGACTGCGTGGCTTAATAAAGGTTTTCACAATTCTGAAGGAGTTTCCCAAACTAAATAGCAAACTAAATATATTTCATCATGGCTGATTTAGGGAACGATCACGGTCTGTTTGTTGGTAGGAAATGGGAAATGAAAAGTCGCCTCCTGTATCGAAGGCTTGACACCTTTTTGACCCCTCCATCCACATACATACATACTTCCTCACTAAAATGATATGGAGGCTCTGTAACAATTTCACCCTACTTGTCTTGTTCAAGGACAGTTAGACAGACCACAGTACTATAGATTGTTGAGAGGACTGAGACTGTAATCGTTTGTATATGGAATGATCTCTGTATTTCAGTACACCCAGAATTGATCCTACAGGACTCTGAAAGGGTAATGTTTTCCACAATATCTAAAACTAGTCCTGTTCTGCCCTCGGCAGTCAGTCAGCCACTTTCATCTCTGCCTGCCAAATGGCAAACCTCGTCAGAGCATATTTTTTATTGTCTCAATGGACTTTCCTCCTCATAAAAGACAGGTGTGATAGTGATATAAATTCCACCAGTAGACTGATATTTTATATGACTGTAACTCAACAGAAACTTAAAATCATTGGCTATCAGAAAACTTGAATGAAAGTTTAAATACAATAGAATAGAATCAACTTTATTGTCTAATACAACCACACACAATACAATGTATTGTGACATTTGTCCTCCACATTTAATCAGTCTTATAGGAGTAGTGGGCAGCTGCTGTATACAACTCCAGATCTAAGCTGGTGTCTTGGTCAAGGGAAGTTAATGGGGAGAACATGCAGACCCTGCACAAGGCACACCTGCCCCTGCCAGGACCTTCATGCTGTGAGGCGACAGTAACCACTGAGCCGTGTTGCTGAGTGTGTAACATTTAGGGGGATCTCTTGGCAGAGTATATTATTATTCAATGAAGAAATTTGAAGAGGAGGGGTTTAGCAGTGAATAGTATACAAGACCCCCGATGGAGTCTAGACATTGGTGGTGGTGATTAAAGAGGAAGTGACTGAGACTATAGTAAAGTGATTATATAGTAAATGTTAATAGAATTGGACACACCATTGTCCATGCAGTGAAAACTCTAACAGACAGAGCGGCAGCAGACGGAAACCCAAGGTGAACACACATTATCTGATTACAGCTGATCAATGTCCAAATCATTTTATTTTCAGACTTTGTCACAGAGAAGAACTGACTTGTTGACCCACACGACAGGTAAGCTGTTAGAAAACTACATTTTTAGTGTTAGTTTTAAGAGGTTTTAAGATTCAGCAGCTATTTGTGAAACAAAATCATGTCTTCATTCACTATTCCCTGAATTACTATTTTTTAAATAGTTTTGAGTAGCATGGAATAATTCAAACTACATTAAAAGGTATAGTGAATATTTTACACAAACAGCTGTTTGTTGTTGGTTTACAGAATATCATTTTTCAGAACTCTAGTATGCTTCAACTGACAGATGACCTGATGAGCGGTGAGTACTTTATTCGACTCAGAGCAATGTTAGCAATGATATAATTGTTGACTAACACACACATCAGTACAACCATGGTGCATGTCACAACTTTTTTGATTTTGTGCAGCAGTACAGTTTCATTTTTCATCTTAGGTGATTTAATGTGATTTTAGCATTTTAATATCCAGTTGTTGTAGCACAAGTCTTACTTTATGAATTACACAGTCTAAGAGATTTCCTTGCTTCTTCTTTCAAGTAAAAGTTGCCGGCCTGGTCGTTGGTGGTTTGATAGTCGCCGCCGTCTTGTATAAATGTAGACGTAAGTTACAGCTTGTTGATTGTTACAGTAATTGCATATTTCACCACAAAATCCAAAACTAGTCTTACTTCTAATGGTATTAATGAGTATTTTATTGATGTTGTGTACAGTGGGCACACTGAATACTACATCAGGATTTTTCTTTCATCATTCAATCCATCCAAAACATACAGTACAAATGCTATGAGGAAAGGAACTGTTACTCTAATTTACTTAAATGTAGTTTGCTGTGTAATAAGACTTTCTTTGTGTTTCTGTGTTGTTCAATATCACATCTTTTTTTTTTTACTAAAGGTGCCAAAGCTGATTTGCAGAGGAAATTTGAACTGCTTCAAATTGAGATACAAAAGAAGGAGAAAGAACAAGATGACATGGTTACCACACTAAAGGCGGTAAAGACTGAGGTAGAGGAACAGGTTGATCAACTCAGAAGAGAACTTGAGGAAGTCGAGACAAACAGGGAGGAGAATAAGAAGAAGCTTCAGACAGTGGAGAGAAAAATAAAAGAGAAAGAAATGACTTTTGACAAACCAGAGAACTTACTAAGAGAAAAAGAAAACCTGTTAAGGGTTCAGTGGCAACTGGACGAGAAAAAGAAAAATTATGAGCGACAGAAACTGAACATAGAGAAATTGCTGGAGTCCCTAGAGAATCAGTTATCTAGAATTAACAGGAAGGGGGGTGTTCGAATCTGCATGTATTAGCCATTTAAATAAAATGTAGTGTAAAGTGTTTCAGTGCAAGTTTGTCTTTTTTTTCCACTTACCATTGGATCACACTACTTTTAAAGCTATGTTCTGGGAAATATTTTCAGTCCACAAGGAAGTTACAAAGCGCTTCACAGGAGTATGAACAATGATAGACGAGATGAACTCGCAGTTGAAAAAAGCCAATGAAGTGGCTTTTAAAATGGTGCTTCCAGAGACTTTGGGATGTGGTCCAGATTCAAGGATCCCTGCTTGGAAGACCTGAGGAAGTGTCTGATTTACATGACTATTTTTTTATCTGACACAACTCTGGTTAAAGTTTAGTTCATTAAAATTTGTTTAGGTTAAGATCCTGTGAATGTTTAAGGTTAGGGAAACGTGCTGACCCACCCATCTACCCAGATTTTCAGTTTTAGTTCATTTGGGTTTGGAAGAAGGATGTTTCAATCTGAATCAGTTCACAGCTAATCAAAGTCACTAGAATTAAAACAGGAGAACAAATAAAGTTCACAAAAATGTTATTAGCACAGCAGGGAACTAGCTTAAATGTAAAAATACATATGAATTGATTAATGCCTGCTGGGAATGTTATAATGGAAACAAAACAACAGGAAAATGAAGTGTAATTTGAGATAGTGTAAAATATGGATAATAGATAATAGAGTATATGGGGGGGGGAGCTCAGTGAAAACAAGGACAAAATGGATAAAAAAAAATGCTTTGTGTTCAGTTGTGATTGACACTGTCTGCACTGTCTGATTCAAATTATCTGATGATTGTAAATATTTTTGAAAAATGAAATAAAAAAGGTTTTGTGGAAATTTTTCTTCCCACTCTGACTTTTCATCACTGCTTGGTATGACCAATCTATTATCTGACACCTGGTTAAGTATGTTTAGGCACCAGACCTCCCTGCAGGGTTTTAAAGTATACTGTATATTGAGTCCTAATTAAAAGGAGCCATAATTTGCTATCATATATTATATATTATGTAGAGTCATGTTCCATGCAAGCACGTACGACCTACAGTAATTCAGTATTGCCAGAATTGTTCCTCCATCCTGCAGGACTTTAAAAGGAGCATGTTTTCCTTGAATCTGTTAAAGTTGTCCTAGTCTGCCCTCTGCAGTCTTTCAGACACTTTTCCTTCTGGGTGATATTGTGTTTCTTTATATAAAAAAGATTATCTCTAATAAGCGAGAGGTAACTGAGAAATTGAGAGAATTCATTTTATTGTAGACATATTGCCTGACGTGTAAATATTTATAAAAGGTTTCAATAATCTTTTCAGCATAACACTTTACAAAGTGCTTTACAGGAGGGAGAACAGAAACAACTTATTATAAAACGAATAAAATCCAAAGAAAGTGAGTGAGTCTGTTCAGAAGAGAAAAAGTTTGAAATCTGTTCGGGTCCAAGTGATAGGGAGCCAGTGGAGGGAAGCTCAAACTGGAGTACATTGTGATCTATGTTTAATTTTCATTAAAGCTATTTTCATGCTGTCTAATATACATCTATGTAAAAGCTGCAGCAGGCGGGAACAATCAGGACACACCTTATCTGATTACAGATGTATTCGCAATTCACATTCCTTACATGTTTTTCTTACCTTGACTTTTTCAAAATTGGCAAAAATATCCTTGAAAAACCACTTGTGGGTGTCTGATTGTAAACATCAGGTTTTTCAGGAAAGAAATATCACACTGATGATGTAGAGGTCTCAAAAACTCATGTATTAAATATAATACACTTGGTGTCTACCCAGATTTTCAGAGTTTTAAGTGTCTAAATTGAGTCTTAATTGTACAGAGTCAACTTGCAACCCCCGGAGGTTTGAATCACATCAATGTAAATATACATTATTTTTAAGCATTTGTAGAAACATTTTTTTCTCTTTGGAAGATAGCATGGGATCATAATGTTATTCCCAGTTCCAAACCTGGTATAGAAGGACATGCAGACAGACCATAGAAGGACGGATTGTTAAGGGGATTGAACCTGTGGTCCTTCGATATGAAATGCCCTCTGGAGTGATGATGGTATATTTTGATTACATGGAAACAGTGTGCTCTGTAGCAATCTAGCCCGAATTGATCCTCCATCTTGCAGGACTGAAAAGTCATTCAGCCACTTCCTCTTCTGGCCTGCTAAAGTTGACACAGAGAAAACCTTTGTACTGCTCAGTTTTTATTGTCTCAGTGGACCTCTTATAAAATAAAAATGTGACGGCGATACAATTGTAGGCTGATATGTTATATGATTGCAACTGCCCTGTCATGCAGCTGGTGATAAACACACAAAGGTCAATTTAATCTCCTGAATAAGAAGTTGTTCAGAAACCTGAATTATTTGGAATATTTATCTGGAAAAAGATTGGACAAACTTTTACTTTGCACACTGAGCTGAGTTTGGCAGGTGAATATAAACAGTAACTGTAAGTGTCCAATGAGATTTACTGTCCCATGATAAGATAAAGCACCGAAGCAATAATTCATGCATGCACACTGAAAACTCTAACCAACAGAGCTGCAGCAGACAGAAAACAAGGTGTACACACATCATCTGATTACAGCTGTCCAATGGAAGGGCTAAATCATTTTATTTCAAGACTTTGACCCGGACACTTACTGCAGACTGAGGAGAGCTGACTTTCTGACACACACAACAGGTAAGCTGTTTCTATTTTTGTGTTTGGAGTTTTAACAACAAAATATATGAAATTTAAATAAAAGTTAATCACCATTGTGTATTTGTGAAATAAAATAAGATCTGAGATGAGATTTGATCATTTTAATATTTAATTGTTGAATTGCAAAAACCTAATTTAATAAATTCTGAATTATCTGACTGACTGAATTTTGTACATCCGTCATCCACCTCAAACACCCCCTTGAGACCCCGGCACATTACATAAACAAATTGTAACATACAAACGTAATTTTGATAAGACAGGGTTGTATGTGTATTATCCACCAATGTAAGTGCATCTTACTATCTGAAAAAGAAAGAAATAGGGGTAAATCAGTGTCAGCCTCTACTCAAGAGGACAAACCTGACCTATACAATTCATATACAATAACCTTATTGAATCACATATTTCTGACATCTGTCACTGTTTCTGTCGTTTGTCGGCTGTCCAATGTGACGTTACTGTAAATGGATCACACCGCTGAAAGCGACCTTTTACAGCCCAGACAAGTAGAAAACAGGTTTAATAATGAACCTTGTAAACAACATAAAGCAACATAGTGAAAATGTTGCTATATGCTGTGCAGTGCATTGTGCTGTGCACTGCTTTGCACCTGGTGTAAGATAGGGCCCTTAATGGCTGCTGATGTTGCCAGATGAGACATTTTCCACTGAAGCCAAAATTTAAAAATGTCTTCTCTTCCTCTTAGGTGCTGCATCCTCAGCTAAAATGTTTTTTTCTGTTGCCTGTGTTCCAATGGCTGTGGTCTTTGGCTTGGTTGTTCTGGTTGTTAGTCTTGCAGTCTGCGCTGTCATGTATAAACGTAGAAGTAAGTCACAGCTTGTTTATTGTTACAGTAATCACACATTTCACAAAATCCAACAGCATTACTTCTGGTGATATTAATGTTTGTGTATATAAACAATCATTCAATTATGTGTTGTTCAATGACACATTTTCTTCACAAAAAGGTGACAAGAAGAAAAATGCATTGCTTCGAAATGAATCACAAAGGAGTGTGGAAAAACAATATGAGGTGGCACAGGAGGCTACTCAACTCAGAAGACAATTTGAGGAAGTCAAGAAAAAGGAGGAGGATGACAAGAAGAAGCTTCAGTCAGTGGTTAACATACTGAAGGGACAGAAGAAGAAAAGTGAGGAACAGAAAGATAAACTCAAAGAACAACTTGAGGAGAACAAGAAGAATCTTCAATCAGTGGAGACAGAAATAAAAGAGAAAGAAAAGACACATGACAAACCCGAGAGTTTATTAAAACAAAAGGAGGACCTATTACAGGCTCAGTGGAAATTGGACGAGAAAAAGAAAAACTGTGAGCAGCACATACTGAACATAGATCAACTGCTGGAGCTCCTAGAGATTCTGGTTACTTAAACAGGAAGAAGGGTGTTTCAATCTGGTTGGATTAGCAGATTAACAGACAGAAAGGAACTAACAATCAGAGCATATCAAAGTCACTAGAAGTAAAACAGGAGAACAAATAAAGTTCACAAACATTTCAGTGAAAATATAATATAATAATAATATGAAATAATAATAAGAAAAGATAATATAATATAATGGAAAATTGCTTTGTGATTAGTTTTGTTTGAAATTTAAAACTCTGGCTGCTTTTTGTTGATGATGATTGTAAATATTTTTGAAAAATAAAAAATAAAAAGCTTATGTGGAAATCTTTTTCCCACTGTGAGAGCTTCTACTGCTGGATTCTACGTTGATCTTGAGAAGCCACAGATCCCTGCTCTAAAGACTTCAGTCCTGTGCCTTCGGAAACTGTTATAAATCGCTTTTTCATCAGTAGTTGATATGACCAATCTATTATCTGACACCTGGTTAGGGTCTGGTTACGCACCAGACCTCCCAACAGGGTTTTAAGGTATATATTTAGTCCTAATTAAAAAGAGCCATAATGTGCTATCACATATTACATATCATGTAGAGTCATATTTCATGCAAGCACGTACGACCTACAGTAATTCAGTATTGCCAGAATTGTTCCTCCATCCTGCAGGACTTTGAAAGGAGCATGTTTTCCTTGAATATGTTAAAGTAGTCCCAGTCTGCCCTCTGCAGTCTTTCAGACACTTTTCCTTCTGGGCTGTGAGAGACGACAAAGATAAAACCTGTGGTCCCTGCTCAGTTTTTATTGTCTCAATGGACTTCACCATATTTAAATAGAGGTGTGGTAGAGATACAATAACACCTGTAGGCAAAATGACAGTTTGGAAATTTTCTTCACTGTGCACATGCACCAAAATTAAGATAAATTGATTGATTGTTTTTTTGTGTAGATCCAGAGAGTCCTATATACTAAGCTTAACAGTGGGCTTCTTCCAAAAAAATAAATAAAAATGTGCACTCTCAAAGACAATATAACCTCGTTCCAGTAGTTACTTTGCATTTGTAAAAGACTAGATTGTCTTTCTCTCTCTATTGCATGTTGATATTCTGTTTCTTTATCTATTGCCACTTTACGCAGTGAACACCAAGAGGCACAAAAAACGATTCTCTCTGATAAGCAAGTAAATATTTATAAAAGGTTTCAATAATCTTTTCAGCATAACACTTTACAAAGTGCTTTACAGGAGGGAGAACAGAAACAACGTATTATAAAATGAATAAAATCCAAAGAAAGTGAGTGAGTCTGTTCAGAAGAGAAAAAGTTTGAAATCTGTTCAGGTCCAAGTGATAGGGAGCCAGTGGAGGGAAGCTCAAACTGGAGTACATTGTAATCTTTGTTTAGTTTTCATTAAAAGCTATTTTCATGCTGTATAATATACATCTATGTAAAAGCTGCAGCAGGCGGGAACAATCAGAACACTTATCTGATTACAGCTGTGTTCACAGTACAAGTTGTTTTATTTAAGGACTTTGACCGGGCAACACGCAGCATGTTACACTGAGAGGAGGCGGCTTTGACACAAACAGCGGGTATGTAAGCTTAAGATAGACATTGTTACATGATTGAATATGTATTGGAATACATAACTCTATTTCTTTATAACTCAAGCTTTAGGTTTTTGTCTCCACAATGTTTGCGTAGACCCAAGACTCCAAACAAAATGTAATTTAAGTCAGATTTTGAACAGCGTGCCGTCTGCTGCAGGAAACACTTTCAGTTTTGTGATTCTGAATCCAAAAATGACTCTCAACCCTTTGCTACACTGGAATTTTTTAGCATAAAGAATTTTCTATAAGAGCCATATACAATGACTGTAATTGTTTCATTGTTTTGTGTGTTTTTTCCTTCCAGCTGATTCTGTCTCATTCAGTTCTACCTCCATTGTTCTATCATCGTCATGCGTTCTTTCCTCTTTCCTGCTCTTGTGATTGTCTTGGCTGTTCCATCATGGAAATGTAAGTCACAGCTCTTGATGATAATGCTGATGTTCATAAAAACAATAAAGAAATTTGCAGACATGTTCATTGTTAAAAATATTTTTTAATGTCTGGTTTTGAACATCCTATTCAATCATGTTTTATTATCACAATTCTGTTGTGTCTTGTTTGATTTTAGACTATTTCCAAAATGATGAGAAAATAAACCATTGCAAGACAAATTTACTGGAGGAAGAGAAAGAAGGGGAAATAATGAATTCTATGGATCAACCTGCAAAGGTCAGAGTGAGAATGTGTTGCATGCTCCACAGACACTGAAGCAGAAAAATACAGTAAAACTGTAACAGCACATGAACATGTTGCCAAGCTCAGAAAGAAATTCTGAAAATACACTTTCAGTTTTCAGCCCATTAACTAGAGATAAAAGCTATAACCACATGTTTGTGTTGCAGACGTGTCACACTAATTTCTGAGGACTTGCACAACTTGTAGTGTTGTTAAAAGCAAGTACAACATATATCTGGGTCAAGCGTGTAACATTGAAGAGAAATTGTCAGAAATTGAATAATGATATTAACATATTATGTGTATGACTTTAGTGTCTTTGCAGTTCTGTAAGTTTTATTATGAGTTTTTTTATCCATATGCTCCTTTTTTATGGGATTTATGTCTTTATGTTGTTTAATTTTTCAGAATGACACAAATCAGAACCCGCAGGACAGATTGTTCATCAAACCCACATTCTTTATCTTCAGCCATGACACTGTTTTGGTTCTTCTCCTTATTCACACGATTGGAGGTAAATTACATACTAGCTTTACTGCAATGTTCAGTTGTTGTATATATAGAAACTTTCTGTCTTAAGTATTAAGTAATGGCCTAATGATTTTTAGAAGATTTTGGCATTTGTAAAGCATGTTTCTGTCCAGTATTTGAGAAAATGTATACAGCAGTAGTTTCTCCTATAACTAGCTTTCTAATAAATATAGCAATCAACCCATATTAATTTCAGGCTCGAATGAACAACTTTTGAATAACATTGCACACTTCAAATTTAAGCGCCACAGTTTCATTGTTAACTGATTTGTGGTTCTGCTTTCATTTCAGCTGAGCGGATTGGATACATTTGCACAGTGGGTTGTCACATGAGCTCGGCTGGTGGACTACTTGAACTGGCCATTAGTTTTATTGCCGTTGGTTGTGCCACGTATAAATTGAAACGTAAGTCACAGTTCATCCACTTATATTGATATGCAGTGTGTTTCATCTACAGTAATGAATGAATACTAACTCAGTGTTCATCACTGAAAATACCATTTGTCATATATCTTAACATAAGAAGCTGCTATCAAAGAAGAGTTATTTTCTATTGAGCAGATATTTTATTTTAGACTGGGATTATTAAAGTATTTCTGATTCTGATTCTGATACATTACGTCTGTACATTAAGTGCTCCTTTCGCGGCTCCTTTCACGGTTCGTACAATTGTGGCATTGCAGTCATTAGGAAATCAGATAATAGACAGATACCTAAATAAAATGACACATAGATTAAATAGAGAACTATCTAAATACCAAAAGTCAAAAGGGTTAAAATTTAAAAATAAATTATTGTGGTAATAAAATAAAAATAGTTGACCAGAGACCCTCCAACTTCCCTCACCTTCACCAATTACTGTCTTTTTTTTCTCCCCTCTTCTCCAGGCACTACAGAGTTCAATTAGCTCATAGCTAACTCTGGTGCAGCTAAGTCTCTGTTCACAGTGAAAAAACAAACAAACAAACAAACAAATAAGAAAAAGCTAAATGAATTACATTTAGTTTAAAGTAGTATTTCTGTCTCTTATGTTGAATTTTCACATTTTTTCTCCACAAAAGGCGAGAAAGCAGAGTTGGTGAAAGAAAACATACAGCTTAAGGAGTCACTGGACAGAGAGAAAGACCGGGAAGATTTTGTTCCAATACTGAATGAGGTGAAGACCAAACTGGACAACCAGAGGCATCAACTCACACTGCGACTGGAGGAGGTGGAGAGGGAGAGGGAAGAGAACAAACTGAAGCTTCGGGCAGTGGAGGAGGAAATAACAGAGAAAGAGAGGACATCTGACAAACCGGAGGAATTATTAAGAGAAAAGGAACGTTTATTGCGCGAGCAATGGAAACTGGACGAGACAAAGAACAATACTCAGGGACAGCTACTGAACATTGAGAGACTGCGGGAGCCAATAGAGGTTAAGTTTACCTGAATATATTGAAAGAAAGAAATGACTATGCAATTCTGACTTTTTGTAGAGTAGAGGATGGAAAAAGGAAAACAAATATTTATTTTGTGGCACTTAAATACACCAATAATCCAAAAGGAGTAAAAATTCTAAACTATTACCAGTAATACACCAGGGAACTTAATTGTTCTCTGACTCAGTGCTTTCTAGAGATACTGAATGAAAAAATAACTATAATCTTATATGTTATAACAGGCTTTACAACTGTATTCATGGTTCTACAATATTAGATCTTACACATTAGAAATCCACACATACAAAGTTCAACATTTATAGAAGAGAACAAAAATACAAAATAATTTGTAACCACATTGGTAGAAGTAGTGCAGGTTTGACTGTAAGGATATCTGGGCAATAAGTTAGAGCTGAATAAGACTTAAAGTGTTACTTGACAAAGTATGTACAATGGTGTGAATGTGTTACTTGTTTGTTTTTTTACTTTTGTAAGGTATCTTGGAATATGCAAACATTTACAAAGTCAAAGCATTCTGAGGATCTTGTGATATTCCTTTAAGAAGATTTTGTAGAAACATTTTCTATATAAAAATGCTTTTTGCAATAAATGTCTGCTGTTTCTGTTTCTGTACTGTCTGCTCTTTGGCCAATTTATTAACTGTCTTTGCTGGTGTTCTTTACTTGCTTTCCCCCTCTTGAACGCAAGATGAACAGATCGGTTAACCCTCATAATACCTTACCATTGACTATGCAGTTGTGTTCCTCCATCATGAATTTGACCCCAGTCTGGTTTGGCTTATTTAAAAAACATAGGGTATGAATTATGATCCAATACAGTGTGTCACCTTATTAGTCAACTCAATGCCAACTCATTAACACCAAGCTTGACCCAAATTTCTATAATTTAGGGTCAGTAAACTTCATTTATGCGAAATTATATTCATATATATTGTATTTTTTTGTTTTAAAAAAAGCTAAAAATCTGAATAATTTTGACTATAGTTAATATAATAGGAATATATGTTTATTGATAATCACAGTCTGGTACATGTCAAAGTTTAGTCAGGACACTGTTTTGAAAGCATTTAATTTTTTTCAATGGTGACAAATAATGACACCTGTTGTCCTTTGGGGTGTGTGTATGTCTGTGTGTGTGTGTATTTGTGGTGTGTGTGTGTGTGTGTATGTTATATGCGTGTATGTGTGCGTTATATGCACTATGTGTGTGTGTCTGTGTGTGTGTTTGCACAGTGTAACCTAATGGCCATTCTGGGGTCAAATTACGGTAGGGAAGAACACAAGTGTTCTAAAGTTCCCCAAAACACCCAAAATTCAGTGAAAGTGGTCAAAATTGATTTTATTTGGAGCTATGGAACAATCCATGTTATTTTGGTGAAATTCTATTTAAAAAGTGCCATATTTCTGACATAAAGAACATTGAAATGGGGTGAAAAATGACCCTGAGACATTATGAGGGTTAAAGACTGCAGCTTGAATAGGTGGTGGGCGTTTTTTGATGCAGCCTAACTAACTCTTGAATAGAAAACTAATTTGAATCAGTATGGCAAGGTGTTGCGTGCTAAAAGGAAGCAGATGTCGAACTCCATTTTATATGGCTGATTAAATATTAACCAGTGTTATTGTCTCTAAAAAAACAACCAGCAGCCTCAAAATCCTCACATTAAATCTGATGTTCAAACCTTGATGTTCAACCTTGAGGATTTCCCTAAACTGTGAGTAAGGTTCAGTTATTTGCAAGCGAACATACATTCTCAGAATTTGTGATTCCTAACTTGATCTAAATAGGTTTTTATACACACCTTGTGAACACACCTCTTCTAATCATACCAGGTCATGTTCAAAGTACAAATCCTTTTATTTGAGGACGTTGATCGTGCAACTTAGAGTGAGTGAGCTGAAACACACAACAGGTATGTGAGATTTTCAAATTTAAATTTCATCATAGGACATGTCCAGAGCATACTTGTGGGTAGTTTGTCATCAGCTTCCCAGTAATAATTACAGCCTTATTACCTACTTTTTTTAGGGGGAACTAGCTGGTCCTCCCATGATTCAATTCTTGTTCAGATTGACGTCCATTTTAGGTGGACTTTCTTTGCGTTAAGAGCTACTTTCCTTGTACTTAAATAAAAGTTCATTGTAAGTTGATATATTTGCCAACCAGATAGACAGAAAAGCTTCAGATACCTTTTTTTTACTAATTAATATTTCTTAACTGTGTATTTGAATTTTTAGCACTCCAGGATGATTAACATTAAGGATGGACTTCTCAGAACCGTCTTTCTCCTAACGCTCTTTTGTGGAGGTACCGTACACATTTCACATATGTATTTCTTTTTTTTCTCTGCGCTCTTCTCACTGGTTCGAAGTGCCCCGGACTTGCCTACGTTGCTCGGCCCCTGTCAGTCGAATGTGATCTAACCACACAGTACTGGCAGATTTTGAGGGTTTCTCCCCATTGACGAGTTGGTTTGAATTATTGTTTAAAATAGAGTACAACTGTTTATCTTAAAACCTGCCTGTGCCTGGAGGGGTTCTTTGACTTTGATTGTTGCATATGTATTTATTGGGGGCATTCATTAATTTTATTTAATTAGAGAGTAGTGACCTAACTCTACCTGGGTTGTTATAAGTTAATTGTCAGCATCTCAAACCACAACTGTTGCATATTAAGTTTAATTATGAAATGTTGCAGATAAATACTTAAGATACTGAAGAAAAAATCATGACCAGTTCATGTTTATGCTCAACTTTACTGAGGTTCTAATACCATTGAACCTATACTTTTTTCCAGGTCAGGTGCAGCAGATTGGTCCACTACAGCCAGTCGTAGTGATGGTCGACGATGACATTGTTTTGCCGTGTCAGCTGGAACCTCCTGTTAATGCTGTTTCCATGACGATGGAGTGGGGGAGACCTGACCTGGAGCCCAGATTTGTCTATGTGTGGCATGATGGTCAAGAACTTCTGGCTGACCAAAACCAGGCGTATAAGGGAAGAGCGTCATTGTCCATTGATAGACTGAAGCTTGGAGACCTTTCACTGAACCTCTACAAAGTGACCATCTCTGATAACGGGAGATACAGATGCTTCATTCCAAAACTAAATAAAGAATATTTTGTTGAACTTCTTGTCGGTAAGTACATTAACTGTGCAATTTTTCTACTTTGGTGAAAGTGCTTTAAATATCAGTCATATCGGGAGCAATTTAGGGTTCACTGTCTTGAGAAGATGTTGCATCATTCAAGGATTGAACAAATAATTTGTGTTTCCACTGTCTCCTCTCTTATCATCAGGTGCTGTCTCCTCACCTGGCATCAGCTTAGCAGGCATCCATAAGGCCAACAGTGCAGTGATGTTAGACTGTAGGTCTAAAGGCTGGTATCCAGAGCCTGAGGTGGTCTGGCTGGACAGTGAGGGAAACCTCCTCTCTGCTGGACCTACAGAGACAGTCAGAGGTCCTGATGACCTCTATACTGTCAGCAGCAGAGTGACTGTGGAGAAGAGACACAGCAACAACTTCACCTGTAGAGTCCAACAGAAGGACATCAACCAGACCAGAGAGACACACATCTATGTTCCAGGTAGAAATTGTTTCTCAAACCAGAAGTTTCAGCTTCAGTGAAACACACACAGACCTTCGGTTTTCTGTCAAACATGTTGTCTAGCTATAATTTGTTGTTCTCTTCTAATATTTCAGAGGATTTCTTCGTGGCCCAATCTAATTGTGCTGCTTCTATTACCTTCAGTGTGTTGTTTGGCTTCATGTTTGTTCTTGCAGTCGCTCTTTTTCTTTGGAAAAGGAGACAAAATGAAATCGGTGAGCCAAGAATGTATTTGACTTTTTTAAACAATGCATTTTCAAACTCTTATGCTGTGGTCATGATAAAATTAAGCCAGTCATCACAAAACGATATAAAAGTAAACCCAGTTTTCATTTATTAATATAAAAAAAAATTCTGACTTTCTTTATATAATGTAGTTTTAAAACTTGCCATGTAGAGTAAAAATGAAATGATGCGTCCTGAAATGTTTGTGTCTTATTTTAAGAGTAAGTACAAAAAAAAGTTAAATTACATGAATGAACCAATATTTCTTCTTTTAACATTTATGTTTTGCTTTTTTGTCTAATGTAGTTTCACATATGTTTTTCTAAAAAAAACTACACTGCCTCTGTTCACAGAGAGAAGCAGAGAGGAGCTCTTGGAAAATTTGGAAAATATGAAGTCAAGACTTACTGCAGAGTTGGAGAGCAGAGAGGAAGAACAGAAATGTATGGCACAGGTTATTGAGACACTGAAGGAACTGAACAATGGACTGAAGAAGCAGAAAGAGGAACTCATGGTCCAATCACAGGAGACAGGGAGACTGGTTGGGGAGAATGAAAGCAAGGTTAAATCAGTGGAGAAAGAAGTAACAGATAAGGAGGGAGATAAAACAGCTAACAAAGCACAGGGATACTTAAAAATCAAAGAAATCATTACACAGACCAACTGGAACCTGGAGGAGAGAAAGCGAGAACATCAACAACTGCACATTAACACAGAGAGACTGATGAAGAGCACAATGGATGAGGTTAAAATAATAACAGAAAGGAAGAAAGAAGTAGAGAAACAAATGAAGGATATAGAGAAACAGAGAGAGGAGATTGAGAGCAAACTTCAGTCAAAGAGAGGAGGGAGATTATTGTAACACTGTTATCTCTGTTAACATTTGTCAGTTTTTTATCTTAGTTATTTTTCAATATTGTGGTTTTGTTTTTTCCCCTCTTTAATATATATATATTCTTCACCTCTTTAGCCAGAGGATAATTCTCTGATGGGTATTTGACTTTCCTGTGTGAGCCCTTTTTGTACGTGGCATTCTGTATATATTGTTAATATTTCTACTTCATTGCAATATTGTTGGACATAATTCAGGCATAGGCTGATTATCCATTAAAATTGTGAGAGGCTGCACCTGTTGTATTAAGATCCGTATGCAAGATTCACATTATTATGTCTATTATGTTTTTGCTAAACCAATCAATGCATGCATGCAAAAAATAAATACACTTTGCTGGTCATATTGTCTTTTTTAAATCATGTTACAGTTTAACCATCATGAATATATTCAAATAATAAACTGACCAAAATATTTTGCTGTACTTTCTAACCAAACATTAGATCATTAGATAGTGAGTGATGAGGGGGCTGCGGAGAGCCCAGAGGATACTAAAAGACAGCACTAAACCCGATCTGGCAAATGATAAAAATATATCTGCTGCGGTACAGACTGCAGATATATTCATCTATTTAATATTCAATATTTGAACATGCAGCTTTATTTCACAGTAAGCTCACTTCGAATTACACTCGAATCATAATTTTACACGGACACTCAGATGGTATTGAAATGATTGCACTTCGAGCTGATACTTTTATACAGTCTTTGTTGTTTTATACTGCCTAAACCAGTAGGAGTTAGAGAGAGAGGGGGATAGAGAAAGAGAAAGATACACAGCAACAATAATATAAACAATAACAATAAAAATAATAGCAATAAACAGCAATAATAACAAACATCCACACCGCGGCAGTAGGCACAACTATGATCCATGGGAACCTGCAACAAAAACTGGGAACAGGGTTGAAGCTAGGTTAGTAACACTAATGTACATTAATGTCTACGGATAGAGAGGGAGAGGAGGAGCTCAGTGCATAATGGAAAGGTAACAGGGTAATATGAGATCTTTAAGATGTGATGTTGCCTGACATGAGGAGCTTTGTAGATGAGGACGATGATTTCAAAGGTCCAGTGTATAACATTTAGGAGGAGGTATGTGCAGAAATGGAAAATAACATAAGGTTTTCATTAGTTTATAATCATCTGAATATAGGAATGTTTCTATATGTTTCTACAGTAGCCAAGAAGAGGCAAACCAAACGCTGGCTCAAGACAGAGCGAGGGTGAAGAGAGTGAGTTGTGATTATCAACTACACCGCTAGATGCCATGAATTCCTAAACACTAACCCCTAACCCCAACCCTTTTGAATTGTATTGTAAATTTTACAGGGATCCAGTGCAGAGAATAAGCTAATGCAGGAGAAATAGGATCTATTTTCCTGTCAGTACTTTTGCTGCACCATTTTGGATCAACTGGAGAGTTACTTTACAAACACATTTATTATATAATAATAATTTCATTCATAAAGAACTAAAAAACAAAACAATAAAGAAGTAAAAGAAATATGCAGAAATATAGAAAAGAAGAAAAAACAATGTCACTACAACATGTTTGGAAAACATGAACGGTATAATCATTAATTTCTTTAGTCATTCATTTTTATTTGTAGGTGGTTGACAAGTTTTTATCATAGATGTAGTTTCTATTTTTGACCACAGGTGGGCGCTATCATCGTTTAAAACATCTGTGTTTCCATAAACCATAAACCATTCATAAACCTCACCACAAAGACAGAATTTGCTAAGGTTATGGGTTGGGTATTGACTGTATTCTGCTATCATAAATTAAAACTAAAAGGAACAGAAACCACTGTGGTATCGTAATAATAATAAATTGCAGATTTTCTTCCATCAAATCTATTTTTTCTCCTTATTCAAACTCAATATGTACAAAAATATTAAATTGGTAACCCTTCACTTTGCCACAAATTGAACATTTGTACAATAATAATAATAATAATAATAATTATAATAATAATAATAATAATAATAATAATAATATCTGAAATAATAAATAATAATGTGTCTGTAAGCTCGGTGTGTCAAACTGCTGTTAACAGCATCATGTTGGTTGCTGACCACAGTGAGTACACTCAGGCAGCTGTTATTATAAACAGCGTCTTCAGACGTGTGAACAGATCAGATAGAACAATGTGGTTTCACTGTTCCACTCTTTTAACCTGCTCAACGTTGAAAATACACACTGATGACGTGACCAAGACAAAGACCCCAGATACAGACTGAGGAGGAAGATGAACCACACGATAAGTTTCAACCACGATAAACACACTGGACATGAACACTGTAGTTCATTTCTCAATTCAGGTCAACTGCAGTGTGTTTCCGTCCACCTGTTTTTATTTTTTAATTTGTGCATTAAAGTTGCCAGATATTTGATCAAAAAGGCTGAAGGACGGACAACAAAACAAAACTCTCCTTTAAATCAAAACTTTTTACAACAATGTGAAAAAATAGAAATGTACTGCGTTGCTGTAACATCACTCTGTGGCTGCCTCTTTCCTTCAGTCAGGTGTCCTCTCACTGGCCTGTAAGACACATTTCCTGCAAGAAGGTACAAATACTATGAACAATCTTGCAATTTGACCTCTTATCTTCTTTAGCTTTTTTTGCTCAGCAAAAAACATGAATTCCTATACAGGAAGTAATATAGGAAAATCTGTAGAAAAGGGCTGTCCATGAAGCTAAACTGACATAGTATATAGTATAAATCAGCTGCATCCAGGTAAAGGGATAAGGACCTGTAGGGAATACTGATCAACTTGTTTAGACCTCCAAACAACCACGAATGTAGCGTCTGAAGCTCATCTTTCCCACTGTACTGGACTCTGCTGTGCTATTTTTCTAATCTCTACAATGCTAAACATTTTGTTGAAAAACAGGAAGTTCAAGTTATTGCTTCCCTGGTGCAGGAACGCCATAAATACAACAATTTCTGTGAGCAAAGAGATGCCGTATCAGCCATAGCCTTACCTGCAGTATAGTAGACTGAAGAATACACAGCACTCTCTTCTGGTAGACATGGCTTGATTCTTGCTTTGGAGGCTTTTGATTCTGTTTTGGAAACAAATTAATTATTATTATTTATTTTATTTATTTCTAAATCACATTATTGTATTGTAGCTATACAAGATGTTATTAAGGGTATGCCGGGTCAAAGTTGACTGCAATGACAACAAAGGTAGTGAAGACAACAACTCCCATGATCGCACACTACTGTATTATATATACATATATATATATATATATATATATATATATATTTAAGAGGCCCCCTAGTGGCAGAAATTACATATTGTACCTTTAAGTTGCAGACTGCTACCAAATGAAACCCATTCACTCAACCTAGTGTGAAGGAGAAACTATGGTGGCCACAAAACCTGCAAACTGTGAAAGGCCCCGCTAATCTTTTTTTTTGCACACCTTTAAACCAATAGTGCATCAGTGAACCATTACCTCTGGCGGTGCTTCCTTCAGTTTTGTCCTCTGTGCCTTTGTGTTTCCTGCAGTGGATTACTCCCAACACCAACAGCAGCAGGGGCAGCAGTAAAAGCAGAATGAGGAGATTAAGGGAGTGACTATGAGTTTCATCCTCACTATGAGAATCAGTTTCTTCACGAGGTTCTGAAAAGACTAAAGAAGTGCAGACTTACAAATCAGTAACAAAATACATGCAGATTTTGCAAAAAAATAATTCAGGGACCTAGCTCAGTTTTGAAACTCTGTTATGTCTGACCTCTGACAAGCAGTCGGCTCTCTGGTGATTGTCCAGCTCCAGAGATGTTACACTTGTAGAGTCCTTCGTCTGATGAAGAAACATTGTAGAGGGTCATGCTTCCTTTATAGCCAGTCTTGATGCGGAGGCCATCTTTATAGAAATCAGCTATGAGGTCAGACGGACTTTTCTTCTTTTGACAGTGCAGAGTCACATTGTCTCCCTCCTCCACAGGCAGGACAGGGCTCTCCAAGATTACTGAACCAGCTGAACAATGATAACAAATATTATACTGTAAGCATTTATGTTGCCTGTAGCTGTGGGTCGGCCATGTTGAGTTTATTGTTCAGATTTCTAAACTGTCCATACTAACATCCTTGTCTCAAATCCTAAAATACATTGGAATATATCTTGAGTTATCAGCTAAACATACCAGTGACGGTGATGTTGACAGCATTGCTCTTCAGTCCACCTCCATCTTCACACCAGTATTCTCCACTGTCTGATGAAAATGCAGGTTTAATGGTCCCAGATCCTGCTGATGTCACCCAATTGGAAATGTTTGTGGGGGTTTCTTTGAGTGTCCTCATCACTCTCCATTCAGCTGAGTCATCAAACTCACAGTTAAAAGTGATAGACTCATATTCAAAAAACTGCAGTCTGTTTGGAAGAATATGAAGAAAAGCTGCACCTGAGACACAGAACACAAGAGGTTAATTTAAACAGGAGTGAATAGAAGTAATACATACAATCTGACATCGCTCAAAGTCTCTTTTTACCGGAGCAGTGGCATTCACCATGGAAATCAAGTTTTTATTGTTTATTGATGGTCCTTGACAATAACATTACAAAATTCTACATGCACGAAATTTTGCCCTGCAACACCTTCTGTTTCAAACATGAATAATTTCTACTGAGAGACAAAAGCGGAGCTGTCCCAAGCCCTGTGTTGACAGCTGCATGGATTAAAATAGGAGCGGATATGTTCGGTAGACACCTGTGAGATGGGCGAACGAAAAACGCAGCACATACATTAAAAATTCTGTTTGTTGCAGCTGTAGAGTAGCAAGCCTGTGGTTAACATTGTGTACACTTTGTTGGCTTTTATAAATTAAGAAGTGCATTCGAATTAATTTTGTAATATTATTGTGGTTTTTAAACAGTGGTATTGGGTTTAAGAACAAATCCTAACTAGTAACTAACAGCAGCTTACCATCTTTTTGAGCACAATAGCTGTTCTGAACTTGTGCAACAAGAACCATCAAGACACTGATCACTGGAGAGAAAAAGGAAGACAGCTGTGTGTCAGACAGATGTATTTGATTCTGTTGGAAAATACTATGCATTTACCTGTTTTCTTTATCATCTCCATTTTAGTATATAACTAAATATTATCAGGCTCTCACGTCTGGGTGTCCGTTACAGTCAGCAAAACACAAATTACCTAGATAACAGTGTTCTGTTACAGTAACTGACATGGAAAGATCAAGAGATACTTGGTCTTGATCACTGCCAGAATTATTGTTGCAAATAAAACCTAGTTTGATTTGTTCATTTTGAAATCTTACACGGGAACGGGGAAACAGACTCAGTGATACTCACGCAGTCTGAAGCAGAGAGCTGTGACCTCCATGTTGTCTTGCTGCTGAATGAACGTCAGCCTGAAATACAGATGAAGTTGAATGTAGGTGAGAACCTCCTCTTCCTGTGGAACTTGGTGTTGATGCAATACGTTTATGGAAGCGTATTGCATTCACTTGAGAAAAAAAACACATATATTTCCCCTGTTTTTATTGCATTAACAAGATTATTATCTCAGAATTCAGAGAAAGGTTTGGTGGTTGTAAAACTGACAGTAACATTAATCTCAATGATCACACCACTCCAACACAAATTAGTAGTGATCTGAACTCTAAACCACAGGGCAGAAATGATCATTAACTTTTTTTAATCAACCATTTTCTTCATTGATTGTTTCATTCATCTCACAAAGTCTGTAAAAAAAAAAAAAAAAAACATTTTAAAAGTTTCCAGCTTGTGAAATGGGCGCTTGTCTTCATTCCTTCTTCATTTTTCTTCCTCTTGTACATTACTTTGTAACCTGTGTTCTGAAAAGTGCTGAAAATATTTTCTATAGCATTACTTGTGTCCTTGATAAAGAACAATGAAGGCCATTCAGTTGAGATTGATGTTGTTTACAGTGGAATCCCATAGTAGCGGTGAGTAGTAAAATAGTAGTTTTTTTAAAAGTAGGAATACTATAAGTACTCCAAAAGATTTAGAGAGAGAGACAAAATAAAAAAAGAAGAAAAAGTTAAAATTAAATAAAATACCATACAACCCAAGTTATAAATCATCAAGAAATAGAAATAGAATTTAAAAAATGAAGGGGTTAAAAAAGTGTCAACTTCAACAAGGTCATGTTCAACCATGACCACAATCGTTCTTTAAATGAATCAAGTGGTTATTCTTTTAATCGTGATGAGGCAGGCTGTCAAACCTCAACGAAGCAGTTTCCCAGGGTAGTTTCTGTGCACATACCCTGTGTGGTTGTGTAAGATCAAATAATGCACGCACACTTGTTGTCTATTTTTGGATAAAACCAGTGAGATTATTTCCACACTAACACTTCAGCCTCACATAGATATATAGATAGATAGATATTTGTAGATATACAATTCAAACCTGCTGCTGCCTCAACACCAGACAGGAAGAGGAGGTTCTGACCTACATCATGTCTTAGCTGTATTTCAGTCTGATGCTGTGACAGTCAGCAGCAAGACATCATGGCTGTTACAGCTCTCTGCATCAGACTGCGTGAGTACTTTTGACTTTGTGTAACTCTATTACTCAACAGTCTTTTTAGCCAGTAGACACATATCTGCACACTATAATTACTATTCATTTGGATCCTCATTAGCTGGTTGGTTGGGAGCATATAACGTAACAATTAATTTTTTCATAGACTTGGTAGCACCAGATGACCAGTCCTCACTTGACGTGTATTACCCATTACAAAAAACAGTATGCACAAATTTTTCATTAAGGAATATTGGATAAACAGTTCTCTTTGTTTGTCTCTGCAGTGATGGATGTGTTTGTCTTGCTGGTTGCACAAGCTGACCACAGTTACTTTGCTCATAGAGCTGGTAAGTTTATTTTATTTAATCAACTCCCTAACACTGCTGATCATTATCTTTACTGCTGACATGTCTTTATTTAAACCGTTTTTTCAAATTAGTAAAAAAAAAGAATTAAGTTGTAATCATGTGACCTGTGCAAACTGTGACAGACAATATAAGTACACTTCAAGAGCCCACTAACCAGGTTACCCAGATATATTTGTGTTAATGTTATACTATTAATACTTTAACATCAACATCTCTTCTTTCTCTGTCTCAGATGCAGCGTTTCCTCGTATTTCTCCAGACAGACTGCAGTTCTTTGAATATGAGACTCTCACTATAAGTTGTGAAGAGTTTGGAGGCTTGAGTGAATGGAGAGTGATGAGGAAGCTCAAAATAACTCCAACAGAGTCTTACAACTGGAAGTCATCAGCAGCCTCCTGCACCATTCATCCTACCTTTATAAGACACAGTGGAGAATACTGGTGTGAAGATGCAGAGGGAAACCAGAGTGATGTCCTCAACATCTCCATCACTGGTATGTTTAGCAAATAATAAATCAAAAGTTTTCAAATTGTTTGATGCAGTGACACAATGCGCTCAATGTAGCATATTGGAAAAGATCTACATTTCAACAAAAAAACATTTGGATTTTGTATCTAAATTTTATGACAAAGTATAGTTACACTATGTGATGCCTGTCTCGCTTGGCAAGAGTAGAAGGCGGCAATGTGGGAGATTGGATTATGTAACGGGACAGAGCCAGTGAGAGATGATCAGGCAATGTATCCGGCGTTGCAATCTTCCGTAAACTGCACATCAAACAGCAATTGATTATAAATTGAAATGAGTCTGAAATGAGTAAGGTGCAAACTGAAGGAGTTGGAGAAAGCCGCACACTCATAAGTCAAATAAAGTTTTATTTTAAAACATATGAATTTAATATTGATTTCAAGAAAACACTTCTGAGTGACTTACACAGGGCATTTCACAAAGTCTTCAACATTCCTATGCTCAGATTCTAAAAACTATGAAAAACACATAATATACTAATAATATTTAAAGTGTAGAAAATGAAAAGAAAACTGGATGCATAAATTCAAATTAAAGAATGCATCCACCACATATTGCACACAGCCCAGCAAAGAAAGAACAAATATTGATATTTTTGTATAAAAAAATAAAATATAAAAAGTAGTATAAGCACTTTCTGAAATAAAAGTCCTGCACAAATAAAGTAGTAGTAGTAGTTACTTACTGTTAAACCCATGTTGTCCCACATCAAACAAAAATCTGATATATGGCCACATTTATAGTATAATGCATGTCTCACACATATATGGGAACTGTTGGGTCTCTGTAGATAATGTTATAAGCAGTACGGTCAGACCTGCTCTGAAAATTGTCCTGAGATAACTTCTGTTATTATTTGGCGCTATACAAATAAATTTTTTACTGAAAATTGAATTGAAATATATGTGTAAAGATGTACATATAATTAATGTTAAGTTACTAAGGCTGCTTTAAAATAAGTCCCATATATTATTCCAGATATACACATATATATTGAATAAATGTCTAATGCATTAATGTAAATATTTGACATTTATATACTTTTGTATACATTTGTAACTATATTTCTACTGCATAAATGTTAATGCATGGTTTAATTATAAGTTCTTACACTCTTATTAAAACGGATATGCATTTGATTGATTCTTCTAATAAACATACATAGAAATAATATTTTTATCACATTTTTCAGATGGTTCTGTGATCCTGGACGTTCCTGCCCGTCCTGTGGTGGCGGGATATGATGTGATTCTGCACTGCAGGAAAGAGAAAACTCAGGCAAAACACATTGCAGATTTCTACAAAGATGGTGTCAAATTAGGGACCTGGTATGAAAACAACATGACCATCCACAATGTTTCCAAGTCTGATGAAGGACTGTACAAGTGCAGAATCTCTGGAGCTGGAGAATCACCAGAGAGTTGGCTGTCTGTTTTAAATCAAAATGAAACAGCTTACGAAGAGACTCGTCCTTCCAACAGTGACTCTCTTAATCTTTCCTCCCTGCTGTGGACTGCTGTGTTTGCGGCTTTGGGGCTGTTGGTGATGGGACTACATGTCTGCAGGAAACACAGAGGTACACCCACACTGTCTCCTAGAAGTATCATTTACATTTTGTTTTTTTCAATCATGTTGTAATGGCAAATGTAATCATTGGCAGACTGTTCACAGGAAATGAGTTCAATTGAGTGAATGAAGTGCACTGAAGACATAGGGATGATGAGAATACAAAGCACAGGACCCTGACACTAGAGTCCAGGATTCACATCCACACACCCATCCGTGGTTGGGTTTAGGGAGCAGATGAAAAAATCCTCACATATTTGTTCATGAGGCAGGTGTGTAGGAGTGAGATGAGCATCAGAAAGTAGCAAAGATAAATTCCTACATGCTGCCTAAGTTGCACTGAACAAAAGCATTTTGGTAATGTTTAGGTAAAGCAGTGCATGAACTATAGGCCTGTATTTATTATATTATATATATATTATATGTATTATAGGCCTGTATTTATGATATTAGGAATGAAATGTGTGTTATTTGGAAGAAAGTCGAGGTGTGACTGACATACAGTGGATGCCCCGTTTCCCCCCTTGTCTGTTCCATAGGGAGACCCAGAGGTGAACTGTCCCCCGCCCCCTCCCCCTTCCCACACAGCTTCTGTGTACGGCACCTTCTCAGCAAGCAGGGGCTCTTGCAGCTGTAGGGGTCGCCAATTTGCCAATTCCCCATACAGTGATATGATAGAACAGATAGATCATAGAAAAACGCTTCGCGGCGCAGAGGATTATTATTTTTTTATTTAAGTGCTCGTGCTGCCCCCCGTGTGTCATGAAAAAATGCTGCCCTGGGCTGCTGCCCGCTTCACCTATGCCCAAAACCACTACTGAGTTAAAGATTGTGTTTTTGGTTGGATGTAATGTTGGTATTAGGCCCATTTACTTACCTGTCCTTCAGTAAAACTAGTGAGTGCCAGTGTTTTGTCAATACTCAAAACTTCCCTTCTCAGAAAGGCCAGAGCTACTATATAAAAACATCATCATATAAAAATACTAATAAAATCTGTCAAAGATCCAGTTTGTAATCTTCTTCATACAGACAGTGTCCGTACATCTGTCCATATATCTGTCTGCATACAAAGATATCACCGGTTTGGTTACCACTTACCATATTTATGTGCATTTATTCCAGTGTAAATGTAATATAATGTAAATTAGTGTCACATTAGTGTTGCAATGTGTTATATTTTAATTACTAAACCGTCACTGACAACATATTTTCAGATATGTCTGCAGAATACAGTTTCCTTATACATAGCAGGTGCATGTGATAGCCTTGTCCTCTCAGTTTCAAACCACACGTAAAAACCACAAACTGAAACAATGGGCCCCTCAGTAGCTTTAATATACTTGTCTAAGAGGTTGTGAGGTTTTTTTTTACATCTACAGCTGCATTAAACACACAAAAAGACAATGCAACGTTCTTAACCACTTTAAGAAACAGTATTAAATTACAAAAATGCTACATAATTTATTTATGATATGTATGACAAATTGTGAATTCCAGAGATACATTTTGTTTCCCAATTAGAGCCAGACGTGTCTGGAGCAGATACCAAGCCACAATTACCAGATGAGAGTGTTTATTCTACAGTCTACTACAGGTAAGACTGAGGCTGATACAGAACCTCTCTCTTTATATTATTTTGTTTGTATTAGTTTACGTGTTCAACCATGTTACAACAAGTTTAGCAAAACGCCTATGACTGTATTAGATTACAAAAACAAGTGTTGCACTAGAAAAAGCTTTACAGTGAGTTCAGTGGTCTGGAAATAAACTCAGAATCACTTATTTGGAGGTTTAAATAAAGATAAACCATGACACAACAATTATAGTGGACTTACTGTTCCTGATGATCTATAATATTTTCATTCATACTGCTGTTTTATTCGCAGTGAACTTGAAGTGTAATTGCTCACATTATTGTGAATTCTTACTGAGAAAAGTCATGTTGACTTTATCATTTTTAACTTTTTGACAAATCTTTTATTCTTTGTCCATCCTGTGTGTTTTACAGGCCGATGACACCTGACTGAAGGACTGAGGAGATGGTCTGTTGTATTTTTCTTAGCAAGAAAGGAAGTCATACTGTAAACTCACAGTACCATCTTTATTATTTTCAACTATTATTGCAAAATGTTAATTTTTGTTTGGATTTATGTTCACCTGGTAACAGTTTTCCCTGTCCAAGAAGTGTACAGTAATCTTGTACCACACAGAAGTTGTAGGGTGATGGTTGGGGTAGATGATGGGGTTTGTACCAGACATTCATACCAAAGACCAGGGTTCTAGGTAGTAACCAGTCTGATGTGTCTAATGTTTCAATTCTTTAAAGAGTTTTAATGACAGTTCTTCAGTCAAAGAACATAGAACCCTTCCATTATACTGTGAATATCAGAAGGTCAACAGCCAGTGACGCTTATTCTCCAACTGCTGCCATGAAAACATTGCAGAAGAAGAGAGAAGAAAATGATGAAACAATAATAAAAAATGTGAAACTTGACATTTGTGTTTGTGTTATATATTCACTTGAGGAACGTTACAGTCCAACTTTTCTACTACAAAACTTCTTGTGATATTTAAAGGTTGTTTTAATTGCATTTATGTTGCTTTGAATGTGCAAATATAAAGTAAAAACTAAAATAGGTGGATAAAGATGCACTCACTAGCATTTGACCTGAATTGCCATTAAGCCATTTAAAGTAGTCATGCAGTCACGCATTTGAAAAGGCTTGTGTGGTTCATCGTCCTCCTCAGTCTATATCTGGGGTCTTCGGCTGGGTCACGTATTTTCAAGAGTGAGCACTTTATATGAGTGACAGTTAAACCACATTGTTCTATCTTATCTGTTCACACGTCTGAAGATACAGCTTCTAAGAACAGCTGCAGCGTTTAAATACACTCACTGTGGTCAACAACCAATATGATGTTTTTACCTGAAGTCGACACACTCAGTTTACAGACACGCGTATAACAAGTTCCTATTAACATACTAAACCTCTGACATCTGTTCCATTCACAAAATGTGTCTGTCCTGTTCTGAGCAATGTGATAAGCCGTGGGCGCCCATTTTGTTTGTATTGTGCATTCACAGCAACACAATAACACAATAGTCGGGGCTGGTAATGCACAACGAAGCACAGAAATTGTTACAAAGAAAGTAAACATTAATATAAAAAAGTACATTCAAATAAGTTATCAGAAAGTTCAACAGTTTATTATACTTCAAGCATGTACACTAAACAGAACTGTTGTTGTTTAAAAGAAGCTGTTATTGTGACATACGGTGAAGGAATATAGTAAATAATATAAGAAATATATGACACAGTACTTTTAAAAAAGACTAGATAAAACATACAGAAATATGAAACTGACACAGGTTCTTACTTTCACAAACAAATGGAATACTGCACTTAGTTGCAGTTCTATGCTGATCATCTTTCTTTCTTTCGTTTATGTTTTTACTTAGCATTTTAAAATGGAGTATTTAGTGTTAAAACTTCACATTAGTGTTCATCCATGTGGTTCTCTGCTTCCTTCTTATTTTCCGTTGTTCTACCAATCACACTCTCTGTCTTCTCTAATAGTTTCTCTGTGTCCAGTAACAGTTCATCAAATACCTTCAGTGAGCCATTCAGCTCCCATTTGTATTTAATAGTTAATTCTTTCAGATTTCGGTATGCTGGTGCACTGGTGAGTCTTTTATTTTCATCCTTCTCTGTTATATCTTTCTCCATTGACTGAAGTTTCTTCTCGTTTTCCTCCACCTGTTCTTCTACCTTCACCTTTTGCTCCTTCAGTTGATCTCTCTGTTTCTTCAGGTTCTCCTTTTGTGTCATCAGTGTAGCAACCATGTCTTTATGTTGTTCCTCTTTCCTCTTTAATTCTTCTTCCATTTTCTTCTCAATGTCCTTCCCTTTCTTACTCTCTGCCATAAGCTGCTCCTTTTCTCTTAGTGCAGTCATACTGGTTTCTGTTAGCAAACAGAGAAAAAAAACTAACATTACTATTTGTTTAATGCAGTGCTGGTTATGAACGTGTGTTATTGAACAGGACAGATGAGCTAAAATGTTGCAATGAAACTAAAGCACTAATTACTTCACCTGTATGGTCCAATTACAATAATAAAAAAAAACTATTAATTCAAAACAATTTAAACCCTGCCGATTAATACAGCCACTAGAGAGAAGTTATAATTTTTAATTTGTAACTCACTGGTTTTGTTTTGCCTCCATTTCCATACAGCAAAGACAACTGCAAGAACACATGTGAAGCAAGCAACCAAACTGATGCTGATACAAGCAGCAGAGCTGGCCGGGGCCACGAAGAAATCATCTGAAATAATGACAAAAGAAAAAATGTTAACTATATATAAACAAAATTACAAACCAGCAGTTTGAAGCCGTGATTATATCAAACATTAAGCAAATCATTCTACCTGGAACATAGATGTGTGTCTCTCTGGTCTGGTTGATGTCCTTCTGTTGGACTCTACAGGTGAAGTTGTTGCTGTGTCTCTTCTCCACAGTCACTCTGCTGCTGACAGTATAGAGGTCATCAGGACCTCTGACTGTCTCTGTAGGTCCAGCAGAGAGGAGGTTTCCCTCACCGTCCAGCCAGACCACCTCAGGCTCTGGATACCAGCCTTTAGACTCACACTGCAGAACCACTCCACTGGAGGATCTGTCGAGCCCTGCTAAACTGATGATCGCTGAGGAATCAATCCCTGGTGAGCAGAGTAACACATTTCAACAGTAGCTTTGATAAATCTAATACCATGATAAAAAATATGATGATATATCGCAAACAACACAAGTAATTATATTATAACTAATGTTAACTAGGTTGTTGGTTAGCTAACTGTTGGTAAAGTTGCAGCTGAGTGTGTACTGTATGGATTATGTCTGTGCATCTCTGGAACGCATCCTCCAGACAGACTCCAAAAAGAAGTATAAACCTAACTACTGCACATAGTTATATGCACTGCGCATATAAAGCATGCAGTAATAATGGCTAGTAAAATCATTTTTTTCTAAGAAATGGAAAAAAAAAAGATTAGCAAAATAATCATAATCATAATAATTGATACATGCTTACCAACAACAAGCTGAACAGTAGAGGCTTTATCTACATCTGGAAAGTAACATCTGTATATTCCATTATCAGAGATTTTGACTTTGGAGAGTGCCAGTGAAACGTCTCCCTGCTTCAGTCCATTGATGGACACTGATGTTCTTCCTTTGTAGGACGGATGCTGGTTAACATGAAGGTCTTGACGTTCATGCCACACATGAACAAATCTGGGGTTCAGGTCAGGTCTCGCCCACTCAAATGTCATACCAGCAGCATCTCCAGGCGGTTTCAGATGGCACGGCAAAATAACGTCTTCACCAAGCTTTACAATTACTGGCTGCAATGGACCAACTACCTGAAACTGACCTGGAAACAAAACATCCTGCAGTCAGAACTTTGCTTCTTGTGTCTGCTAACCACAGCAATTGAACCAGTTCCAGTGTGTTGTGATACAAATGTAATATATTAGTGTTGTGGTGCAAGATGTTGCACTAATTTAAATGTTTTACTTTAAATGCAAACTGTGTTGTTTCTGTTGTGTCTGTGTGTGAGTTACCTCCACAGCAGTGTGTTAGAAGAAGTAGAACAGCAATGTGATAAAAAATCAAAACACTGAAAGGAGTGAGCCCAGTTTTAGACAGCCTCTTCTTCAGGTGAAGCATCCTGGAATTCTGTAAAATTAAAATAAAGGAATGAATAATCAAGGTTGAGAAAGAAAATCAGCTACACAATATTAATTTAGAAATATGTTTTTCTGGTATGACATGTAATTGCGTCCAGCAAAAAAACATCTGACACAATATTTATAATTCAGCAGGTTAGTGAGTCCAATAAGCCAAAGGACCATTAGAATATAGTTTAAGGACATTTAAATGTAATGTCATATACAGTCATTATGGATAACTGCACGAGTTTGCATAACATACTGAATATATTGAGAGAGAAACTCAATTTGAGCGAGCTCAACAAGTAAATCACAGTCAAATAGGTGTCTACAATTCCTTAAGGTGTCCATCTTGTGTGGTCTACTGCAAATACTTGTGAAGGTGTTTTTCCTAACATGGCTGCCTGAAACCGTCGGTAACTACTGTTGAAAGACTAGCGCACACTCTGAGCGGCAGTAAAGCCGGTAAAACATTAACTGCATATAAAAGTTCTACAGTGATCAGGTTATCCAATGATACAATGCCAACAGGTTGAATAAATCATACATGAAGATGAATCAATCATCGTTTTATACATAAAAATTGTAGGATTTCAATACATTCCTTAATGTTGGGATTGTAAAGCCTCTATAACATTAGAATTAGTTCCTATGACATTTGTCCAAAGAGTTTAAAAACCCAACATTGCCCCACGTTGCTGTATTTGTTCTAGGACCTATAAGTAACACTGAAGTCAACACAGTTACTATTAGGTAAACTGGGAACAGTTATATATTAAAATACACTGATTGTTTCACCATTTCACCATCACCATTTTAATACAATTTTCTTTGTTAACACTTAAGATGAAGATGGTTAGTTGTGAGAACAGACCTGCCTTTCTGCAGACACGTACACAATTATTATTGTAAAGTGAAAAGTCATTATAATATATTAGAACATATTAGAAATGAACAGATAGGAATTGATATAAAAATGTAAATCTGTTACCTGTTCTGTGCCTCAACGATCGCCTCACTGCAGTAAAGTACGCTGCACGGTCAAAGTCCTCAATAAAAATACTTTGACCCTGGCTACCTGAGATAAGGTGTGTTCAGCTACAGCCGTGTTAAGCTGAACTGAAAACGATCATGTCCTCAACTTTCAACTGCTCCAGTTGGCTAGATCAGACTGGGTCACAGCTTAAGGCTGTAAATGTGTGTAACTGTGAGAGTCAACAGGGCGTTGCTTTCAGTTACGCTTTTGTGTTTACTTTAACATACATGAAAAAATGGCTCAAACTAACATTACAGACTGTTGTTACAGTTTGTAAATTGTTTTAATTATTTTCCTTGCCCCACACTGATGCATAAATAGGTTACATTTGCTAGTGATTTATCCTGATTATCTTAACTGCATATTACTCCAGTGATGAAATAAATCAATGTCATAACCACTTAAGTTTCAAGTTAAGTATTAAAGTAAAAATACTGATTCTTAAGTTCACACATATATGATTAAATTAAAACACTGTTTTGCACCAAACCTTGAATTTGAGGTTCAGTGTTTTTTCTGGTCTGGCTGTTTGATCGGTCAGTGATGTAGACATTATTAATTATGAAATATGCCACTATCATCATTATTCATATTATTCCAATGGGCTTTAAGTATATTGAGATAAGTGAATAACGTATTTAAACATTAACAAAACAACTTTTGACATTTAGTAAATTCACTTGGTAAATTCATTGTTAAAATAATTGACTTGATTAGGTGAACCCTTTTTGGGAAGCAATGTTGGATTATGGGAGTTGTTTTCTTCATTGTTAAACAACCATGATGCTGATGAACAAATATCGGATGTGACTCAGGGAAAGATCTACGAGGTAATGTGTTAAAGTCTCTTACACATTACGTTTAGTCATGTTTGCTGACTCTTACATATGCACGTATTCCATGTTTACCTGGAAGTTATAGCAACTAGAGACAAGCAAGGAAACTTATCTTTACATGAATAATTATGTTTTTTTTTTTCCAAATTAAAGTTAAATTTTAGCCAATGACCAGTGGTTTAATTCAACAGGTTAACATAACTTCCTATAAGCCGTGTCAATAGTAATGGTTATAGTCTGTTCCTACAAATATTAGACTGGTTATTCTCGTCATAATCTCATTTCACACATCACGTTTCATATTACCGAAACAGTAAAGGTTTAAATAATTGATATTACTCTGTTTTTCTTCCAAAGCTGATCAGTGGTATTTATTAGAAAAAGATAAAAAAAAAAAAAAACAATATTCAGTACATGTTTTTCATTGACCAAAACTATTTGATGTAATAATTGAAAAACAACAAAAAAAAAAACGTTTTGAATGAGAATACTGAAACTTGAATATGCAGCACTGAATATTAGTTACACCGTCAGTTGAAATGTACGTATAAAGCTTAGAACTGTGAAACCTGAGACCAGGGTCCTATCTATTAGGTTTGGTTTTTCAGTATCCTTAACCGTGACATCTGTAATTCTTAAGCACCAGTATGCAAAAAACCACAATATGTATAGATATGTAGTATAAATAGTGCCTACATCCAACAAGGAAGAAAGTGGTGGTAGATTAATTAGTTAAGCACAGGCCAAGCGCCTTGGAAGAGAGCACGAAAAGGACTTAAGAAAGGTCCTTGCGATCCTATACATCTACTTATTCACGTCTACACAACTAATTATAGTTTCTATTGCCTGCAATAACTTCTCCACATTCTGTTCCATTTGTTCCAAGTGTTTCTTTTTTTCATCGAGTTTCCATTTGTCATCTAATAGGTTTTCTTTTTCTTTTAATAATCCAGATTTTTCATCCGTCTTTTCTCTCTCACTGTTGGTTATTTTCTCCTCCACTGACAGAAGCGTCTTCTTGTTCTTGTTCTTCTCTTGCTCCACCTCTTCAAGCTGTGATTTCAGTTGACGGCTCTGCAACTCAAGTTCCTTCTTTTGTTCTTCCAGTTGATGTCTCTTCAACTCAAGTTCTGTCTTTTGTTCTTCCAGTTGACGTTTCTGCAACTCAAGTTCCTTCTTTTGTTCTTCCAGTGAATCAATGTTGGGGCCATGATTCCCTAAATCTGTAATAGATCTGCATTAGAAGCAGTTTTGGTATGACAAGAAGGCATGTAAAATTTAACATGCAATGCTCCTTTTTTTAACGCTCCCCATTTTAATAATATATACACAATTTTTGTTTTCTAAATCTGTCTTTTAGTTCTATATTCACAAGAAATTACACAAATTTGCATCAAGTAACCATAAACACACTGACATGACCGTTGTGTAGAAAGATGTTTACGTCCTGCAGTCCAGAACTTGCATCTATTCTGAATATATTGCTTCTTATTTATTTATTAAAGCCGTAACATCAATTCAACAGGTTATAAAAAGCTGTTACTTACATCTCCATGCACAAAAAGAAAGGGTCACTAAACCCACCCCAGTCAAGACAAAAGTTTTATTTTGAAAAAACACAGAGAGAACTGGCATGTCAGTGATGATTCTGAAAGTAGAGCTGGATGGGGCCATATCAGCTGAAATGATAGAGCACAGAAAACATTTCAAGTACGTTTTTTCTTCACCTCTCAGTCCTGTTTTTTTTAGATCTTAGAATCTTATTATCAATCTTGGCAAACACCAAGGTATCAAGGTCATTATTACAGGGTTGTGCAATGAAATTAAAGTTGTAGTCCCTTCATGCTACACACACGTGTCATACAAACATATAAATAATTAAAACACTAAAATGTACCTATCCAAAAAACCTGCTGTTATTTTTGACAGTGACAGTTAGGGCCAATGTTATTATGATAATATGATTATTATGAATGGTGAATGAACATTATCTCTTTAGGTAACGCATCATACCCCATCCTGCAGCACTCTGCATAGACATAGACGTTAACTATTTATAGATTTATAGAAGTATAATTCTCATTCAGCTTTCCACATAGACAGATTGTTCTACAGAAATGTGAATATCAAACAAACCGTCTGGCTGTGGCCATTTACAGTTGGGCAAAATATGATCAGTACAATAATTCAAAGCATGTTCTTTCACTCTCAACTCAACTTATACACGTAATCATCAGTTTATAAAATGAAAAAAAGGATCCAAATAAGCTTTGCTAAAAACCAGAACTTACCAAATTGTGTGTGTGCCACAGCCGTCTCCTTCTCTCCTCAGTGAGCAGTGGACTTTAACCACGTAAAAAACATTGATTAACTTGTGTTTTGATAAGGTGTGCAGTTTGACTTATCAACAGTCTCCTACACACTTGACTGCTACTTACGCTGTATACACACACATTATGGCATAATGGAATTATTGAATGAATATATGGAACATAAGTCTAAATATACTGAATGCAATCAGACATCATGAAGGCACAGGTGCCATCTTATGTTTTAATGTGTAATATTATACCGTACAGATGTTGCTTCAAGACAGTTGAGTCATGCCCATTCAAGCTGGAAGGGCACATGCCCCACCAGATTTTTGATATCTTTATTTTATTTTTTATTTCATTGCTATTATTTTTGCAAAAGGTGCAAAAGCATGCATTACACCCTGAGTTTAATAATTTTCATGAAAAGCAGAATATCGTTATATGCGACCAGTGTAATGTTTGTAGAGGTCTGTATGGTCATATTGTTGCAGCCTGCTGTCGTTTTCAGGCGATTAAATTTAGGCAAACTTATTATTTATTTAAAGTTAAAGACACTTTGCAAACACACTTGTGGGCATCAGGTCAGTGTCTTGCGATCTTTTCAACATTGCTTTCTGCACACAGTGGTCCACTGTTTTGAGGGGCAGGGTGAAAAAACTAAAAAGGGCACAGGCGCACAGAAAGTTGTGAAGCATTTACGGTGAACCATGTTAGGATTAGTACCTTAAAGGGCACTTTACATATTTTTTTTTTTTTTCACAGGAAGGAAACACTAGTGGGTACTTTATCATTCACCAGTCTCCTGAGGCAGCATTGTGATACTCATGCTCCAATTTGTTTCAAAATTATTATTATATATCACAAAAATAAAGTGCTACTTTACAGTGAACCTCACATACAGCTTTTAACCCGTGACAATAAATGTAAATAAACTTGGTAACACTTTATAATGAGTAGACACTATTAAGCATTAGTTAAGCATGAATAAATACTGAATTCATCATTTATAACGCAAGAATACACATTAGTATGTAGTTTATAAACACAGTTAAAAATGTTTTATTCATCATTGATAAGCACATTAGTTATGGATTAGTAAATACTGAATTCATCATTTATAAAGCATGATTCTGCTGTAAATAGTCATTACTATGTGGTTTATAATCACAGTTATAAATGTTTTACTCTTCATTGAACTGTACATTTCTGCATGCACTTGCACATCCACTATTCAGACATAAATGATTAGTGACTAGTTAGTGACTAAACTTTTCTGCTTTACTTATAGTATAAGTCCCCTTTTGACTAAACCCCTGGCTAAATGACATATTTTATAGATATTTGATATTATAATAAATGCAGAAGAATAACAGCAATGATCAGCTGATAAACTGTACCATTAAAACAAACAGTGAAGACTAACTGCAGGACATTTGTGTAAAACAAGTGATTTGGATGCATTTTAAGCAGGTTATTTCCTGTGAATATTGATCAGAGATGAGTTTCATGATATTTTAGGAAGCTTTTATACAATTATCTATCTGTATTTTGTACATACATAAAATACTTTTTACAAATTCAGTGTTTTCTTCATGGTGCTTGTCATAGCTCTTTGGTTGTTATAACCATGTATTATAACAACGGCCCTGCATGCTGATACCCAACAACAATCTTAGACATTAAGACTGTTTTTGCGTGTAGTCATTGGTATATTTACAGTATCTATTGTTTGCAGTAGTTTGTCTGTTTGCAGTATGACTTTCTCCTGTTCTGTTTTCATCTGATCCAGTTTCCATTTAGACTCTAAGAGACGTTCTTTTTCTATTAACAATCCATGTAGTTTGCCAACTGTCTTTTCTGTCTCACTCTTTGTCATTTTTTCCTCCAACAATTGAAGCTGCTCCTTGTTCTTCTCCTTCTCTCTTTCCACATCCTCTAGTTGGAGAATATATTCATCTCTTTGGGTCTCCAGTTCGGCCTTCTGCTCCATCAATGCAGTGAACCTGCCCTTATTCTTCTTTAAGTCCTTTTCAAGCTGTGCATTTGTTGAGTTCAAATCCTTTACTTTCTTGCCTTTTGGAAAGAAATAGTATACAATTGATCCGTAAATGGCACTAAGATGCAAAAATATGATATTAGTTGTACAAAAGTTACATACAACAGGAAGTTATTAAAGCATATGCTTTTTAGAATCATACAAACATACACACATAACAAAAATTATAAACCACGGGTATTTCAGAATAATTATCACTGGATTTTTATTAATGATTGATGAGTTAAGCAGTATGTGCAGTATATAAAAGAGGACCATTAAAAACATGTGACTTACTTGTATGTTTGTAACAAACAAACAAGATAATTACAATAATCATGATGACGGCAGTCAAGGTATCAGGGGTGAAACAGAGAGACATGTTTGGTATCAAATAAGCTGAAATGATAAATGAGAGAACAACTTGGCACGTAGATATGTGTAGTGAAGATAAGATGATGTCCTCCCCCCACCATGCACACCCATATATTTTTAAATGAACTTGTATTCACTTCTATTCTTCCCCATATCATCTTATCATATCATATTATGAAATGGTGCTAGGCTGATTTCTATAGTTTTATTTAGTAATTAAAGCCTTAACATCACTGTAACAGGTTAAAAATCTCTGTTACTTACCTCTCAACACATAACAAAAAAGGGTCACTACAAGAACACCAGCCAAGACAGGTGTCCTAACATCTCTCAAACACACAGAGAGAGCCATTCCACTGTTGGCAAAAGTAGACCTGGATGGGCTGGATGCAAACCAGTTAATTAATACACATACGACTACCTTTTCCTCTTACAAATATAGATGCAGTCTGAATGACTACATACGTGGTACGTTCAGATTTGTTTGTGTAATTGTTGAGAAATTAATAAATGCAGTGTTAAAAAATATATATATATATTTTGGAGAACCAATATTTTCCCCAAAGCATAATTCTATATAAATACTTTACGTATTAGGCATTTGAAAGAACTTAAGTAAATGAAACACATGACAATATAGATAATAAACAAACCTGCTGTTATTTCAGAAATTGCTCATTTATCGTAATGAAAACACATACGTACCTTCTGCGTGCATCATGCCTGAGCAAAGAGATAAAGTGGAAAGTACTCTCATAAAATGATTTGGACTTTCACCCTTGGTATCTGCAATCAGATAGTGACAATTCATCTGTATGTGAATTAGGTTTTAGTCCACATGAGCAACACTGTGACAAATAATGGTGGTGTGGTATTTGCATGTGATCTAACAGTGTGCATACATGTTATTTATAATAGGGTGAAACTAGCTGGAAAATTAGCTCTTCATTTTTGGGCAGAGGGCTCATAAATTTGCTCATTACAACCGACGAAGACAACCAGAATCATAAACCAGACACCAATTGTGTAACCATGTGAAGCCTGACACATCAAATAATAGCCAGAAAATACAAATTATTATTTTATAATTATTATTATTATTGGACCTATTGACAAAAAAGCCATTCAGACAAATCAGACAAAAACAAACTGCAATTGGAACATTTTAATTTATTCCCTTCAAAAGGGATTCTTGAAATCATCTTTTTATTTTGCCTTATGGCAAAAAACAAAACAAAAAAAAAATATTTGGTCAATATATAATTGGTGAATGAAACATAAACATTCATATAATAAATCAATGAATTGTTATAGTTGAATTTGAAAACAAATGACAAAGACATTCTAGTGATTATTGGGAGAGCAGGTTGCATATCTAAAAAACAAACATAGCTCTAAATAAAAAAAATCAGTATTTAAATATTTAATTAGTTTAAACATGGTTTAAGTAGCACTCCAGCAGGCATATATATACAGGCTATACCTCTTATAGCTGCAGATCATATTTGATACACACATTTTTACAATTAAATAATAAAATTAAAATAATTTTCAAGATGATCATTTCAGTTACTGCCAGCAGTGGTTGGTTCATTCCCATAAAGCAGCAACATAACTGTTCTATGAGATGGTGACAATGATCATCTTGCATGTTTTTCTGCTAATGTTTGTTGCTAGGCGATACAGCCAGTAATCCATCCTGAGCACATGAACTGCTTAAACACTTACCTGCAAATGTCAAGAGCTGCCAGTTTAGATACTCATTGTGTGGTTTTGAACCAGCCTGACACTTCTTATTGTTCCATAGCTACTGTATACACTGTTTGTCTGCGACTTGTAAGCAGTGTAAGATTGTTGACTTTGTGCCTTAGTGGCACGGCCAGCTCGGTTGTCAACCAAATACATACATCATCCCATCAGCTGAGTGGCTTATTATCAATATCCTTTTTTCCCCTTTCAGTAATAAGAGAAAACAAGTGATCACCAAGAAATGAGAAAATCCCTTTGACTTGTTTTTAACTGTAAAAGCAAATGTTGAAGTTGGACTTTAAAACCCTGATGATGGATAATAATGTTGATGCACTGTGCACTTTGTTGTAAATCTATAAACCGGTGTTTGCAATTGTATGTCATATTAGTGATAAAGTTCTGTGTAAAATGTTTCATTATCAGTTTGTATGCTGACCAAATTACATCTACAGCATCTTTGTGAGGCTGCACTGCAGTACAGGTACAACAGTGCACTGAGCTAAATGCTTACTGAGACTTATAGAATAATAGAAATAAAGTTCGAACTCACACTGTGACACAGGTTTTTATTTCTATAACTGCAAAAAGAAACTGTTGAGCATCGGTCTTACACACAACCCAAATCACCCAAGTCACATAAAAATTGCACAGAATATAAATCAGATTCATTTAAATCAGCATTTTTATAAAAATCTCAGATGCTAGGTTTCGACTTCAATTATTATTAGGAAAATGTACAAAAGATTCAGGTAGCAGCGTTTTTTTTTTTCTTTTTTCAAATTTAGTAGCTTTAGAACAGCTGTTGCATCTCTAATTGTTACAGTAATTTTAGAAAATAGTATAATCCTGTCCCACTTACTAAACTATCACCAAACCTAAAATTGGTTTTGTTATATTTAACCCTTATTCTTATTTACTTATTATTAACTCACTTGCAGATGTAATGACTTGAGTAACTGTAAATGGATCAGGGCCCTGTTCTAATAACGGTCAACCTGAGACACTAGACTGTTTTTCGTCCCTTCATTTTGTTAATCGCAGCATGATTGAAGCTTCTCCCTGTGCTCCACCTTTTCTCTGTTGACTTCTGTTCCCTGTGATTGGAGATTATCCAACTGTCTGCAGCAGCACCTTCTCCTTGTCTGTCTTCTTCTCTTCAAGTTTCAATTTGGACTTCTTTTTCCCTTAATCTCTCCTGTCTATTGTGGACTGTCTCATTCTCAAGTTCATTCTCCACTAACTGAAGCTTCTCCTTGTTCTCCACCTTTTAACTGTCGACTTCCAAACATGGTGAGTGGAGTTCATTCTTTGGTTTCACAATGTCTTTCTTCTGTTCCATCAGTTTAGAAACAATGTAGTGATCCTCTTCTCCAGTCGCAGCATCTATAGTCTGCAGTAGTTCCGTCGCCACTGATTGAAGCTTCTCCCTGTGCTCCACCTTTTCTCTGTCAACTTCCACCCCGTGACTGGAGTTTATCCTCTTCTCCAGTCGCATCATCTATTGCCTGCAGTAGTCTCTCTGTCTGCAGCAGCACCTTCTCCTTGTTTGTCTTCTTCTCTTCAAGTTTCCATTTGGACTTTAAAAGATTTTCTTTTTCTTTTAATAACTCCTGTCTGTTGTGGACTGTCTCATTCTCGAGTTCCTTCTCCACTAACTGAAGCTTCTTCTTGTTCTCCATGTTTTCTCTGTCGACTTCCAAACATTGTGACTGGAGTTCCTTCATTAGATTTACAATGTCTTTCTTCTGTTCCAACAGTTTAGAAACAATGTAGTGATCCTCTTCTCCAGTCACATCATCTATTATCTGCAGTAGTTTCTCTGTCTGCAGCAGCACCTTCTCCTTGTTTGTCTTCTTCTCTTCAAGTTTCCATTTGGACTCTAAAAGATTTTCTTTTTCCCTTAATAACTCCTGTCTGTTGTCGACTGTCTCATTCTCGAGTTCCTTCTCCACTAACTGAAGCTTCTCCTTGTTCTCCACCTTTTCTCTGTCTACTTCCAAACACTGTGACTGGAGATCCTCCATTAGTTTCACAACGTCTTTCTTCTGTTCCATCAGTTTAGAAACAATCTTCTTTTTCTCTTTTTTTGAAGAATGTACTAATACTGAATGAGAAAGAGAAGCATAACAGAAATGTCATTGTGAAACTCTTAAAATAGTTATTTCTCCTTTAACTGCATCCATACCCAGAATGTACCAATAGGTCTGTATTCTTGTAACTACATTTACAGTTAAAATTACACCAGACAATTAGTTAATAGTAAAAGGCAAATCAATAAAACAAAGTTCCAGTTCATCTGTCAGAAACTCTTTACATCCCTCTCTTGGTTCCCTTCTTTTTTTCTCTAGTCCTTACCATGTTCTTTTCACCTCTATTACATTTTCTTACTCAATCTCTGGCCCAATAATATCATACAAGTCTTTTACATTTGTCAAACTGTATAATGCTTTATAGGCTTTATTGAAACAGAGTATGTAATTGTAGTATTCTCCTTTCAGTGGAAACTGCTATAAAAAGCAGTCTGAAATCACTTGTAGAAAGCACTCTGTGTACTCACCTTCTGTCGGACTATCAAGAGGAGATTGTTGGGATTCTGCTGATGGATTCTCTGTGACTCCTGAAACAGAGGGTGTGCAGCTTAATTTATCAGCAACTCAACTATTATATTGTTACCCAGTGGTTCAGGCTGAATAACATTTGAACTACTAAGAGTTATCATCATTTAATTTCATAAAATTGACACAGTTCACAACACTGTAACTATCAAACAGTTGTCTCTTACCTGTACTCTTGTTACAAAAGGAACATATTGTTAGAAGGATTGCAAAAACTGCAAGCACACCAAAACCCAACAGGATGGGATGTTCAGAAAGATAACTGGGTAGAGGAGCTGAAATAATAAAATACAGAACAACATTAAGAACACCAGGAGGACCGAGGTCCATCATATTTGCTGTCCCCTCAGAAGGTCAGGAAAGGTACTTTCGGGCAGCTAGTGGTAGCCTCTACCACCCCTTTCGTGTTACATACAACATTGGTGGCAATTTGGTGGCTGCCACACTTACATATTGTTCTGAAAGCACCTTTACAATTATATAAAGTATCAGCAAGACTGAGGATGAATTCAATTGATGTTTTTGAAGCTTCACAATTTATATTTTAATTTTAAAATATTGTTTTTTAAGACTATATATTTTTTGTTGAAATATTCTAAATTGAATGTAAATTTCTAAAGTTACTTTTTAGAAAGTAAATTTGTGAAGTAATTAGTTGGAATATAGTTCATATACAATATTGAAATATTGAATATACATTTTGAAAATGTTTTTACGGTATACACACAAATACTCTCACACACTGACTTTTTGGAATTAAGAAATTAATATATGTACATGTTTATAGAGTAATGTGTGGATGATGATTAACTCAGTGGGCCTAAGCTCTGCTCCACACACTGCAGGTTAAGAAAACATACAGAGACAAAACACAAGCAGACTAAGAAAACATCTTTATCAGTTTTCAGAAAGGCTTACTGTTTAATTTTTCTTTGTTTTGTCTATTGGATGTGTTTTCTCAAGTTGTTGTTGAGCTTGAAAGCCGGCTCTTCTGGTGACTTTATAGTCATATCAAATGTATGGTGGGAGTTGTGGGAGCTTTACTAACACTTCTGTAATTGGTTACTTCAGTGTATAACTCATAAACAGTACCTCATAATGAGCTCATGTACAGCTGATCGGTTGATAATGTGTGCACTATAAAAGCATTTTTAAATTTGACTAGAGATTTTCCTGTTTACAATGGCAGATAAATAAATACAACAGCAGTGTGCTTTTATCACTAACTTAATATACTTGAATATTGTGGAGTATTGTGGATTTTGGAATTAGGGTCCAAATAGAATTACTGTTAGCCGACCTGTACTCATTTACCTTTTGGTTCTGTGTCAACCTTCATATATGGCCATTCATGGGAAGTCTCCTCAGCCCCTTTAAAGCAGCAGACAGAATAAAAGGAAGCAGCGTGACGTACATGTTTCAGTAAAAACAGAAATTCAATACACTTATTGTGCAGTGTGAGAACAAATACAGTAATGTGAATACAACGGGCACCAAAATAATATTTATATACAGATAATTAATTGTAGAATTGCTAGAAATATATTTTACATTCATGTCAATATGCAGCTGTGTTAAAAAAAAAAAAACAGTTTGTAATAAAATAGTTATTTCTACCAGACATAAGCCTGGAGGAGATCATGCATTTGCTCGTGCATGTGTCTGTGTGTGTATACTAGTTAACGCATCAGCCTCATATTTTTTGGGTCCACTTGGACTGTATGTGTAAGGACCTCTTTGATGTTATGCAGCTATTGACTGCTAACTCACTCGTTTTAATCTAATTTCAACAATAACATTTGCTGCAATATTTTCTCCCCTTCAGTGAACTACTCTCATGTTTACACGCTGGGGCTCAGACATAGGCAGCAGAGACCTGCACTCTGCTGAGTGCACTCTTCTGCTATATGTACTCTACTGCTGCGGTTCTCAAAGTGTGGGGCGCGCCCCACTGGTGGGCAATAGAGAAGTGACAGGTGGGGCGCGTCAAACGGAAGGAAATTTTCCTTTTTATGCCTTTATATCTTTATCCAGACATCCCAACTTTCCCGGAAGTTCCGAGAGTCTCCCTCATATTGTTAGCGGCTCCTTGACGCCCGCAAATGAGATCCAATCTCCCGGAATCTGGGGCAAGACAGCGCACTAGACTAGAGAGTGACTGCGTGTGTGTGTGTGTGTGTGTGTGTGTGTGTGTGTGTGTTTGTGTGTTTGTGTGATTATAAATGCAGCGCGTGTGAGAGCAAACCGTCCTTATAGCTGTGTGTTGCCGCTTATTAGACCGATCACCCCCGGGGACGACACCAAGTGTAACAGGAATTCCCCACCCCCCGGAGAACGAACATCCCTGAAATGACTTTTTGCAGATTGGGATGTCTGCTTTATCAACGCCTTTCTTTAATGACAACAAAGATCATACATTAAAAACAAAACACCCACAAACAAAGTAATCATTACTAGCCTACATGCAGTCTAAATTAAAAGAACATTAGATATGAGACCCCGAGAAAAATGTAACCTGGAACCGAAGTGCCAAAATAAGGATTGACGTGACGTCGGCATATTAATTGTAGTGGAACAAACTCTTTTTTTTAACAGATTGCAAAGTGGCACTTTTATTTCTTTTCTATTTTTGAACTTGATACAAATTTTGACACAGCTGCACTTTTATTTTCTTTATTTTTGAACTTGCTGTTATTTGATGTAGATAGTTTGTATTTAGATACAACTTGTTACTATACTGATACTACTTGTTACTTCAATAAATTGGAACATTTTAAGCTTGTTGCGTATTTCATTAGCATTGTGTTGGGGCGATGGGGGCAGGTGGGGCTTGAAAATTCCCCCTTGTCCAAAGTGGGGAATGACCGAAAAAGTTTGAGAACCACTGCGCTCCTCTCTACTGCATGCTATCTAATGAGGGAGAAGACAAGCACACGCAAAGTTGTAACTGGTCTATTTGTGTGTAACTTACCTCCACAAGTCTGTATAAGAAGAAACATGGTGAGGATGACGAGAGTGCGTGGGGGAAAGGATCCACTGACGGCACTGAGTACAGTAGGTGATAATCCATCCTTTACATACATCCTGGAGGTCTGAAAAATAAAACTAGCTGAAAAATCTAAAAAAACAGACAAATGAACAGATATGGTGTCTTTTGAGCTAAATATGTAGTTATATGTGACCTATATATAAAACCACATATAATCGTGTGTGTGTGTGTTGTCTTTCCCTTTTCCTACCTTCTCCAGTTGCAGGTTTTGACCCTTTTGTTTCTTCAGATCATTTGTTTGAGGCTGTATCACTGTCATGTTGTACTCTCCTTTTTGGAGGAAAAATTTACAAGTTACAGGCACTGCGTAGACCATACAAAACTATTACTTCTAAAGGACCAATAAAAAAAGAAAGAAAGAAATAAAAGAAAATGTTTTGAACAGTTCAATCACATTAAAGTAAACCTAAATTAGTTCCATTACAATACCACCATAATTTAATAGAGTAATCTTAAGGATTTTTTAATGTAACCATGATCAAAATACTGACTCACCATTATGTGTTAACAGAGCCATTAAACATGTCAATGTAAAACCCACACTTCGAACTTCCATGGTGGAGATTCAACAGATAGGAGTGAATGAGACCGAATCACCTGGAAGGAAAACCCAGAGAACAACATTGCTACAATGTCCTGGTACAGTAGAGCCACATTTTAATGCTTTTAACAATTATCGCAGTTATATTAGTTTTTAAGTCCTTTATGTGAGCGCGATACATCAGACAATATGTTACCATTTGGGACTGTAATGCACATCTGGTAGATATAAATTCAATCAAGAGAAAGTATCAAATTCACTCTTTGCTTCATTTTATTATTTGATAATGAAACATATATACAAGGCATTGTGTGAATACGTGCTTTATATAGTCTGTAATGACTCATTAAAAATACATCATTACTAATGTCAGAAAACTAAATCCATAAAAATGTGTTACTATTTTTTTATAAAAGAGAAAATACAGAATACAGAAATACAGGAAGCATTACAAGGCCACCCCTCTCACTCTTATCTTTATTTAAACAGAGAGAATGAGAGTCTAGTTGTGGACTAAAAACATGAACATAAGGCACTAAAAACAAGATGTCTTGTACCTGAGTGTGTTCTGTGTTGCAGTAATAGCAGTTTAAGAAGTACTTCTACTTAAAAGTTAGAACTGCAGCCAGGGATTGCTGTTCAATCTCTTTAAATCCTTTCACAAGTTACCTTTACATTTTGTAATAATAATCCACACATTCCACAGAGAAATGTTAAAATAAGAGAACAATTTCTGTACCTGTTAGGTGGTGTCAAAGCTTCAGATCACCTCAGGGTGCAGCAAAGTCCTCAAATAAAACATATGGTACATGCTCAACGGTAATCAAATAAGGTCCTTCATTTACACCCAGACTAAACAGTTAGTAGTAGAAATAGTAGACTGTAGGAAAAGTTATGATTAACAAAAAACAATAAATTAAAGAAGTTAAAGATAACACAAAGAAGTGCATTTGGTGTACAGACTGGACAGGTAAATTAGCAGTTGTATGTAGACTTGAACTTTGCACATGTGAGCTGTAATAGTGGTAATAGATGATGAATTGATGCAGTAACTGCAACTCCCTCCCCCTGTTGTATCAGAGGTATATGTTTTTTAGGTCAATAAACAGTTAGGGGTCACATCAGGTGACTTCCTTGTCAGACTGGCCACCTGGGAATAAAAGTCTTTGTGTTCTGATTGACTGCAGAGGGCAGACTGGGACCATTTTGACTTGATCATGAGAGAGAGAGAGAGAGAGAAGTGGCTGAGTGTATGAGATAAGAGAGGTGAGGCATAAAGAAAATAGTTTGCATGTTTATTATCAATGCAGAAACAATTCCACAAATTCAAATGCCCCACAACAGTTGTATACAGTCAGCTTTCCTTCTTGATCCTTGAGTTAGCATTTTCTTTCAAAACCAGTTATTTCAGCTATTCAATGAATCTACAATCCGTACTTATAGTTTACATTGTTAGTGGCAGGGTCCACCATTCCCATACTGGATTCACATTGCCATCTCACCACCGCTGGACTGGGCGATGGTGATTTTGGGCCGGGCCTTTTTTTTTTTTTTTTACTAATGGTACTTGTATTAGTAATAGTATTAGTCATGATACCTATTGGTACACAAAGCTGGTAGATCGGCCCATTAGTTATGATTGATTCTGGGCTGGACCGATTACAGCCGAGGGCCGATGCCCCCTCCCTCTTGGGCCTCAACTGTCAATCAATCAATCATACAGAGAGAGAGGAGATCACGAAAATGGAGAACAGCAAGAAGCGGAAAAGATTAGAGCTAAAAAGAGACAAGCCCTTCAGGCAGATGCTGACAAATGTGTTAAAATGTTTGCTGGTGGCTATGACGGAGCTTCATCTTCAGCAGCAGCAGTATCTTCAGCAGCCGCAGGTAATGATGGCAGAGGTGGCTGTCAGGTGGATGAGGGAAAGGGGAGGCAGGAAGAGGAGAGACCCACGGCGGCCACCGGTAGGAGTGGAGGGGAATCTGAACTTCAGGTAAGAAGTGATGAACAGCAGTCTACCTGGGTCAGATATGAATCAAGTTTTGGTGTAGTTTTTTGCATTGTGCTTGCTAACTTGCTAAGGTAAAAATAGAATTATCAAAACACTCATTATAATGTATCAGATAAGATTTGATTAAACTTTATTGTCATTGCACAAAGTACAGTCCAAAGGAAAAGTTTTGCATCTAACTTGAGTGCAAACAAGTAAAGTGTTCAGAAAATGCTTGTCTTAGAATTAATTAGAATTAGTGCATCTTAATAGGTCTTAACTCATAAGACACTAGGTGGAATAAATATAAGAATGAGGTATTGTATATACAAACAGCTGTTTTCTTCCAGCCTTAACCTCTCACTGTCTCTTATAGGATGCTGTCACTCATTTTTGGAAGCCTGCCGTGGTTTTGTTATTTTCTCTAAGTAAGTACTGTATAGAATACATGATTCAACTATTTTTCTAGAGTGAAGATACCAGTACTGTGGTCATCTGAGCAAGTCCATCAGGTGTCATTCTTTCTCACCTTTCTTTCTCACCTTTCTCTGTTTTTCTCCTTTCACTTTTTAAAGGTTGCCATGTTTGAGGAAATCTTCTGTGTTGCTGTGCTGTGTTGTTTATTGATGTGGTGAATAAATAGTCTATGAAAATATCACTAAATCTGTCATTTATTTATTTTAATATTCATCAGTGATCATGTCTCATCTCTATTCCTCTCTGTCCTAATTTCAGGATCCCATAATACGTTGTACATTGTTCAGGAGGTTAACTAGACCAAGCAGCCTTTTGGTTTCCGTTAAGTACTGTATAGAATAACGGGACTGGGAGGATGGTGTAGGTTTAAGTTTATTAGACAAGTACATATACACCAACAAGACAGTGTACAGGATTGTCACAAAAAAGTTTGTTTTCATTCACAGGCTTCATTGTCTTTCCAATACCTGGTGGGCCGGTCTCGGTTCAAAATGCATGGGCCAATTTTTTGTCCCAGTCCAGCCCTGCATCTCACCAGTAGGGGATTCACAGGAAACGATTCAGCATCTAATGCAACATTTCTTACTGCTGCTGATTCACATTAAAAACATTCTGATGGAAAAGCATGAGGTGGCTTCTGTAGTCACAGGAAACATATTGAACCACACTTACTATTGTCACGGTTACAACAGGTTTTCAATCATTTGTTTTAACTTAACATTATAAAAAACTGCAATAAGAACAGTTTTATTACTGTTTCCATCTGAATAAATCTTTTAATGCCCAGAGACGGAGATGGACCAGAGTTATTTTAAAGGAACCCTCCATGTTTTAAGACTGAGCAAAAACCTTTGAATAATGTGTCTGATGAGATATTGTCCATAAATAGTTCCTGTCAGTCCTTAAGAGAAATCTAGACTGGGAAAATGTTTAACTACTGGACACAAGATGTTTCCTACTTTTAATAAAAAGGTCATGGTTTGGTTTAAGGTTAAAGGACGTTCATCACCATGGCTACAATAATCAGCATGTGGTTAAGGTTAGGGAACAGTCATTGTAACAAGAAACCAACATTGACTGTATGTAGGAAACAGGAAGTAAACAGTGATCTCTCATGTCTTGTGTCACGTATTGTGGACCCATCCAACCCCCCCCAACCCCCCCAACCTCCTCCAGCTGCAGACTTTGTGGCTATTTGATAACTCTCTACTTCCTCATTTACTCCTGACGGACAAGAGTCATAGTTACTACAGCCACTAGAGGGCTTTGTTGTATGACTGTAAACATGTCATTTTTTGGGCATTTGCTGAAAGAACTGATACTGTCAGTTTCCAGATTTAATATGAGCACAGAGAAAAAAAATAACCTAACCCTATCCATAACCGTTCAGTGTTATGTGTTACAATAAGATTTACACATACATCATTCTGCATAATGAAGGTCAACCATCCAAGTGAAGTAACAAAACGGGGACTTGAAGACATTGCAAGTAAATTTTTCAGTTTTTTTAAGTAAGCACTATTGGTAAGGACACCACAGTCTCTACAAACCTGCTTCCAGCAAGGGTGTGATGAGATGCAGGTCTTGCTACTTCCCTTACGCTCAGGTTTTACCTCTGCACTGAAAGAATGTGTGGTTTTTTTTTACCTGTCTCTGCTTCACACATATATTCATAGAAGTAACTGAAACCTACTATTGTATCAACACCAAAAATAAGCTGCACAGGAAGAGGAGGTTCACACCTACATTTCACTATACTTTACTCTAGTCTGATGTTCAGACAGTCGGCAGCAAGACAACATGGCGGTCACAGCTCTCTGCAGCAGACTGAGTGAGTACTGACTCTGTCTCTCCATTCCAGAATAAGATTTGAAAACAAGGAAATACATAAGCTGAATTTGGCACGATCTAAGCAATGTGTTTTATCAAACCCAGCTTTATAAAAAAAAATCAATTCTGCAACTTACATGAGTGATTGTGTTGTCTGTATGTGTAAAGGTAGATCACTATCATCTAATCATTGTGTATTTTCTAACTGAGGCTGTCACATACACACACTGACAGCATATACTTAGGTGGTGCACATATTTATAGATTTTCAACGCATACATTCTCATGTAAAACCATCTGTCTGACACACAGCTCTCTTCCTATTTCTCTCCAGTGATCAGTGTCGTGGTTCTGGTTGCACATGTTCAGAACAGCTATTGTGCTCAAAAAGATGGTAAGCTGCTGTTAGTTAAATGAAAGGATTTGCTCTTAAAGTCAATACCACTGTTTAAAAACATGGTTAAAAATGTAAATGTAAAATGCAACAAAGTGCACAATGATATCTGAAATATATGTACAGCAAATCAATCGTTATAAAGCTGTAGCAGTTTTTGCTCTGTGTTAAAATAAAATTGATCAAGCTGTCAAGACAAGGAATTCATTCAACTTCTGTTTCTCACTAGAAACTATGTATGTGTGAAACAGTGAGTGTTGCTGGGAAAAATGTAACCTCTTGTGTTCTGTGTCTCAGGTGCAGCTTTTCCTCGTATTCTTCCAAACAGACTGCAGTTTTTTGAATATGATTCTATCACTTTTAACTGTGAGTTTGATGACTCAGCTGAATGGAGAGTGATGAGGACACTCAAAGAAACCCCCACAAACATTTCCAATTGGGTGACATCAGCAGGATCTGGGACCATTAAACCTGCATTTTCATCAGACAGTGGAGAATACTGGTGTGAAGATGGAGATGGACTGAAGAGCAATGCTGTCAACATCACCGTCACTGGTATGTTTAGCTGATAACTCAAGATATATTCCAATGTATTTTAAGATTTGAGACAAGGATGTTAGTATGGACAGTTTAGAAATCTGAACAATAAACTCAACATGGTCGACCCACAGCTACAGGCAACATAAATGCTTACAGTATAATATCTGTTATCATTGTTCAGCTGGTTCAGTATTCTTGGAGAGCCCTGTCCTGCCTGTGGAGGAGGGAGACAATGTGACTCTGCACTGTCAAAAGAAGAAAAGTTCCTCTGACCTCATAGCTGATTTCTATAAAGATGGCCTCTGCATCAAGACTGGCTATAAAGGAAGCATGACCCTCTACAATGTTTCTACATCAGAAGAAGGACTTTACAAGTGTAACATCTCTGGAGCTGGACAATCACCAGAGAGCCGACTGCTTGTCAGAGGTCAGACATAACAGAGTTTCAAACTTAAATATAGGCTATGAATGGATTTGTGCATCATAGACAATGGCCTCAACTGTGTAAATGCCCATCCAGTCCTGCAGTTCAGTACTTGGTAGGAAGATCAAGTGTCATTGAACAATTGTGTGTTTTGTTACTGATTTGTGATTTCAAATGGATATATAGTGGAAGGATAATGGCAAAATGTGTCTGAAATATACTAAATAAATGCTGTATATTGTTCTCAACTGCATCAGAACCTGATGAAGGGACTCGTCCTTCCCCCAGTCCCTCCCCTGATCCACTCACTAGTCCCTCCCCTGATCCACTCACCCCACTGTGGATTGCTGGCACTTCTTTACTGGTGGCCCTCCTGCTGTTGGTGTTGGGACTAGGACTACTGAAATGCAGGACACACAGAAGTACTGAGGACAAAGCTGAAGGAAGCACCACCAGAGGTACATTTCTGAATGTAGAGTTCAAGAGGGGATAGTTCTACACCTCAGAACATTTTATTGATTTATGTATGGTATGTAGGCAACAATATCATTGATTATTGATTAATTTAATGTTGTGTAGTTATAGTTAAAGGTCCAGGGTGTAAAATTTAGGAGGTTGTATTGTCCGAAATGGAATATAATATTAATAGGTATGTTTTCATTAGTGCATAATCACCAGAATAAAGGAATCGTGGTGGTTTTTTTTTTTTTTTTTACCTTAGAATGAGATGTTTTTATCTATAGACGCCACGGATTGCCTTCTACAGGGTCCCTCGCGTTTTTTGCGTTATTCAGTTTCTCCTCCTCATTTGGAAGGGGAGGGTGAAACGAAGGAGTTGCAATCTGCAACTACACTAGTAAATCCTACATACTGGAACTATAAGCGCACAGATACACACTATGTGTATACCCCTTTCTTCCTGTTTTGGTCAAATATACTGCTTGAATTTGTGTTATTTTTATTTTATTTTATTTTTTTAAATACAGCCTGGAAGCAAATTCTGTGTTTTCCTTTTTTTCTATGTTGTAGTATCAGGAGGTGACAGCGTACTTCATCCACAGGATGCAACATATGCTGTAGTCAAAAAACCAAGAAGGGGGAAAGGTATGTGGTATTCTTCTATAACTTCACATTACCACAGCAAGTCACACAAACAATATTAAAAAATCAAAACAAAACAAGAACAAAACTACAGCATCGACTGCAAATAATTGCTTTTGGTTTGGTTTTCCTATTTTTCAGACAGCGGTGGTGATTTGGATACTCAACACAATGTAACATATGCATCTGTGAAAAGAAAGGAGCGAGGTATGTATTCAATGGCACAGGTATTAAAGTTCTGTCTGAACAAAACCACAGCAAGTTCACAGGGGAAGATCTTTTGTGCGACTAAACACAACGTGATGTTTGTCTCTGTTCTATTTCAATGGGAGCACTGTGTCAGATTCCAAATGATCCAGAACTATAGACTATAGGCACAAACAGGCAGAATCGTAGTTTGGAAAGTCTTCGCTTTGTACAAATGAAAAAACAACAAAAAATGTTATGTGGTGGTGGGACAAGAAGTTTAGTCTTTACATGCTTCCAATTAGCATTTAGCTCAAAGCACTGATGTGTTTAGGGTGCTTACATGGCTGTATATTCATTTACATGCTTGTGTGCACTGACAGGCACAGAGCAGGTGGAAAGGTGGATGCAAAGTTTAGTGTGGTTGGCCAGCGTGGCTTCACTAATTTTACTTTTTATTACAGTGCTACCTCTGTCGAAAACAATACAATCAATGCATTTAATTCAAAAGATAAAAGATGAGGTAATAAAAAATAAATAAATTCAAATTCACCAGTTTCTCATGGCAACAATGGGATGAAAGAATAGATGTGGCATTATGTTAAAAAGGGAAGTGATGGAGTACTTATATGCAAGGGATAATTTGATCATCTCAGTTATAAACCACACGAGAAAACCACAGAAAGAGAAGAAGGGCCCCTCAGTAGGTTTATTTAGCCGTCTACATATAAGACAGTTGACAGAGGGACTATGAGATGTAAGGCTTTGACGGTTTGCAGCAGGGGAGTGGGAACCCTAAATACAAAGTACAAAAATACAACAAAGTAAACATTTCCATTACTATTACTGAAGAAAGCAATCTGTTTCAGTAGTACTGATCAACTGCAATGAGGGGCTTTTACTGACTTTTATTGACATATTCCATATATTCCATTAAGGTAAATTAACAATTTTTTAGCAATAAATGATAACATAAGAGATAATTTCATGTGTTTCCAAAACAGAACCATCAGTGTCCAAAGCAGCAACCAAGCCTTGTCTACCAGAAGACAGAGTTGTTTATTCTTCACTGAACTTTATGGAAGGTAAGCCTGATGCAGCATCTGTTTCCTCATTAGAAAGTACTGTTTTTATGGCCTTCGTGCACCAACTTTCACTTCCCATTTGACCACCAAAAGGTCAGCATAACAGTTGCTGTACCTCTGCCACTGTGGAGATTGGAGACATGACAGCAGAGTGCAATACAGTAATATCAAGGAAAGATAAGGCTTTATACACCATCAATGGCTGTTTAAACAAAGCTGAACATTAAAAGTACTTTGTTTGATTAAGATTTAAAACTTTTACTAAAAATTAGTTGGGTTTTTTTGTATTTCCGTCCAGGAAACATATCAGACCACTGAGAGCAGACATCCAACTGAAGGGAAGAGGAACACGATCACACTCAGACATGTTACAGTGATTTGTATCTGTTCAAACTGTTATTTTGCATCCCTTTAAAGCATCAATCGTGTCTCCATTTATATTAGTATTTTTAATAAATTGAGTACTGATTATTGTATTTTTCACTCCCATAAAGCCATGTGCAGTATGATGAGAGCTCATTTTGACCATTTAATACTTAACTCAGCTACAGTGATGTTGTAATTTGTTTCCATCTCATTGTTTGATCATGTGTTGACAGGAAATCACATCCAGACTTTTTTTTATTTTTTTTTATATTTGTGTCAGTTCCTCCAAGTCAAAGAATACAGTTCTTCTTTCTACACCCACACATGATTGTTACGACCTTGTGGGAAATGTAAAAAAACAAAACAAGTTTTCTTTATTTATTTTCTTATTTTTTTACCTAACCAAAGAAGAACTAGATCAGACAGGCTGAGAAAAGGTGACTAAATTAACACACTGTGTTTGCAGATTGTGTATAAGAGCATCATTTGGACTTTGTGTAACTAGAATCAAACACAGCAGAGCTTGGTATATGCTAAACATAATCAAAAAAAGTTATAGACATTCGTGGCTATAAAATTCAAGCTTTTCAGATATTTCTGTTTTGTTTTTCTTTCTTTTGTTGCATCTGAATAGAAACACACTTACTGGCAGTCAACATGCATTGACAACCTAAATTAGTCAAGCTTTTTATAAACATCTTGTCCATCGTCCCCCTCAGTCTGTACCTGGGGTCTTTGTCTCAGTCACGTCATCAGTGTATTTTTAACAGCGAGAGTGTGACTGTTAAACCACATTGTTCCATCTGCTCTGTTCTCACGTCTGCAGAAGCTTTTTATTAGAACAGCTGCAGCTTCTAAACACTCGCTGTGGTCATCGGTTTGATCTGAGGCAGAGCCACCTAGCTTAGAGACACATTTATAATAAGTTCCTATTACTAAACCACTGACACAGTTACACAGTGCTCTCGGCTCAAGTTCAACTCAAGGTAAGTGTGACACGTTAGCTCACTATAACTTCAGGCTACATTTGTCTCCTTTTGCCCTAATGCCTCACTCTAACCCTTTTGGTGCTCTCAGACTACACTTTGCAAAGATAAAATTAAGCTTTAGCTAAGATAATAAACCTACCTGACACTGCATTGATTGATTGTCATGTGGAGGGTAAAGTGATCACATAGCTGCATAAATAATAACAGGCAACATTTCTTCAGGGCAGGAAGTGCTACCTTTGTGAATTGCACAGAAATTGTACAGATGTGACTGGGGTAGATGGTTGGCTGTTTAAGGTGCAGGACTACACTGCCAGAAGTTTGCATCCTCAGTTGTGTTTAGAATTAGTGAAGCACTTTGGTTAACCCATTAATGTCCAATGTGGAATTTCTGAATTTCATTTGCAGCACTGTAAGTACTAGCTGAGTTAAGCACAAATCCATTGATTCTGAAAATCTCTCAAAGTATGAGGCCACAGCTTCTGGCAGACAACCACAACGCTGACGCAGGCACAAAGGGGATATAACGCCATCGTCAGGTGACCAGTGAAACACAGATTTACCTGAATAAAATGATAGATAATATGATAAATGATAGACTGAGTTGGAACATTGTTGGAAACATTTGGGATAATCTAATAACTAATGTAACATAACTACATATAGAACAAAGGTTTAGAGTTAATAGACATTTTAATGCAGAAATGTTACATATTATTTGTTTAAATTTAACTAATAGTCTAATATAAAAATGGGACAAGCACATTGGACTTTAATACCTGCACGTAAGTGCTGCAAAGTGAACACACCTCCTCTGGTCATGATAAAAGTACAAATCATTCTTTTCTGAGCACTTTGACCATGAAGTTTCCTGAGAGGTGAGAAGCAACACATGCAACAGGTATGTGACATTTTCAAATTTTAATTCTATTTTTTATGATACTTTAAAGTTTATTATAGCACCTTAATTATCATTATGCCTATACTAGATCGTAGACTTATACCGCATTCAGACTGGATTCTATAGAGGACATACCGTACGTACCCTGGTCAGTGATTTTAATCCTGTCTGCAACGCATCCGTGGGTAATTTGTCACCCTCTCTCTAGTAACAATTACTACCACATTTACCTACTATTTTTGGTAATTTCAATTACATACATCCATTTTAAAGGTTTCTAACATAAAGGTCTATTTGAGAACATAAGGACATCAAAAATTAAAGCAATCAGGAGAGCAGGACCCAGTAAAAGCTTATCAAATGGGCTGTTGTAATGTCAGTTTACAGGTCGGCACAGGTGTCTTTTGCCTATAATTCAAAATGGTGTTATTTAAGGTAATTCCAAATTAACTATTAGCAGTTCTTGCAACTATCACTGGATGCAAATAATTATAAATTTGCTCTTTATTCCCCACATCTCTGTGTAATGTTAATCTGGTCTGAATGGGGCTTAAATGAATCTTGTGACAAAGATGTAAAAATGTTCTGTGCTAAAACAGGATCTGTCTCTGGAATAAAGAAATAAACCTCCTTTATTAAAATTTGTTTTTGTTTGTTTTTTATGTTCTTAATATTTAGTAACTGTGTATGCAGCACTCCAGGATGGTTAACATTAAGGATGGATTCCTCAGAACCATCTTCGTTTTGGCTGTCTTCATTCTCTTAACACTTTGTGGAGGTAACACACACACACACACCTACACACACACACACACACACACACACACACACACACACACACACACACATAAACACAGGTGACTAGCAGTTTTGCCACAAAAGGAAAAAGGTTAAGAATACGACTACTTTATTCATAATACCATATAACCTATACTTTTTTCCAGGTCAGTCGCAGCAGATTGATCCACTACAGCCAGTCGTAGTGATGGTCGGTGGTGACATTGTTTTGCCGTGTCAGCTGGAACCTCCTGTTAATGCTGTTTCCATGACGATGGAGTGGGGGAGACCTGACCTGGAGCCCAGATTTGTCTATGTGTGGCATGATGGTCAAGAACTTTTGGTTACCCAGAACCAGGCATATAAGGGAAGTGCGTCATTGTCCATTGATAGACTGAAGCTTGGAGACCTTTCACTGAACCTCTACAGAGTGACCATCTCTGATAACGGGAGATACAGATGCTTCATTCCAAAACTGGATGAAGAATATTTTGTTGAACTTGTTGTTGGTAAGTACATTCACTGTGCAATGTTTCTACTTTGGTGAACAAAGTGCTTCAAATATCTCGGAATATTTATAATATCAGGGGCAATTTGGGGTTCACCGTCTTGAGAAGATGTTGCATCATTCAACATTCACATAATTTGTGTTTCCATTGTTTCCTCTCTCATCATCAGGTGCTGTCTCTTTGCCTGGCATCAGCTTAGCAGGGATCGATAAGGCCAACAGTGGGGTGATGTTAGATTGCCAGTCTAATGGCTGGCACCCAAAACCTGAGGTGGTCTGGCTGGACGGTGAGGGAAACCTCCTCTCTGCTGGACCTACAGAGACAGTCAGAGGTCCTGATGACCTCTATACTGTCAGCAGCAGAGTGACTGTGGAGAAGAGACACAGCAACATCTTCACCTGTAGAGTCCAACAGAAAGACATCAACCAGACCAGAGAGACACACATCTATGTTCCAGGTAGAAATCATTTCTCAAACCAGAAGTTTCAGCTTCATTGAAACATGCACAGACCTTCGGTTTTCTGTCAAACATGTTGTCTAGCTATAATTTGTTGTTGTCTTCTAATATTTCAGAGGATTTCTTCATGGCCCAATCTAATTGTGCTGCTTCTATTACCTTCAGTGTGTTGTTTGGCTTCATGTTTGTTCTTGCAGTCGCTCTTTTTCTTTGGAAAAGGAGACAAAATGAAATCGGTGAGACAAGAATGTATTTGACTTTTTTAAACAATGCATTTTCAAACTCTTATGCTGTGGTCATGATAGCATTAAGCCAGTCATCACAAAACAGTATAAAAGTAAACCCAGTTTTAATTTATCAATATTCATTTATCAATATAAATACAAATTCTGACTTTTTCTTCATAATGTAGTTTCAAAACTTGCCATGTAGAGTAAAATGAAATGATGCTTCCTGTTTGAAATGGTTTGTGTCTTTTTTAAAAATGTTTCTCGAAAGAGTAAGTTAAAAAAAAAGTAAAATGACATGAATGCACCAATACTTCTTCTTTTAACATTTATGTTTTGCTTTTTTGTCTCATGTAGTTCCACATGTTTTTCTAAAAAAACTACACTGCCTCTGTTCACAGAGAGAAGCAGAGAGGAGCTCATGAGAGAGAGCAAGAAAAAAGAATTTGGAAAAGATGAAGTCAAAACTTACTGTGGAGTTGCAGAGCAGAGAGGAAGAACAGAAATGTATGGCACAGGTTATTGAGACACTGAAGGAACTGAACGAGGGACTGAAGAAGCAGAAAGAGGAACTCATGGTCCAATCACAGGAGACAGGGACACTGGTGGAGGAGAATGAAAGCAAGGTTAAATCAGTGGAGAAAGAAGTAACAGAGAAGGAGGGAGATAAAACAGCTAACAAAGCACAGGGATACTTAAAAATCAAAGAAATCATTACACAGGCCAACTGGAACCTGGAGGAGAGAAAGCGAGAACATCAACAACTGGACATTAACACAGAGAAACTGATGAAGAACACACACGATGAGATTAAAAGAATAACAGAAAGGAAGAAAGAAGTAGAGAAACAAATGGAGGATATAGAGAAACAGAGAGAGGAGATTGAGAGCAAATTTCAGTCAAAGAGAGGAGGGAGATTATTGTAACACTGTTATCCCTGTAAACATTTGTCAGTTTTTTATCTTAGTTATTTTTCAATATTGTGGTTCTGTGTGGTGTTCTTTCCCTTCTTTTGAACATATATCTTTTTTCTGCACCTCTTTAGCCAGAGGATACTTCTCTGATGGGTATTTGACTTTCCTGTGTGAGCCCTTTTTGTACGTGGCATTCTGTATATATTGTTAATATTTCCACTTCATTGCAATATTGTTGGACATAATTCAGGCGTAGGCGGATTATTCATTAAAATTGTGAGAGGCTGCACCTGTTGTATTAAGAACATGCAAGAAGTGTTTGTTGCGCTAAACCAATCAATGCATGCATGCAAAATACCTTTAACCCAATCTACTGTAGTGTAACAGATGTACTGTATAAATAAACTTTGCTGGTCATATTGACTTTTTTTAAATCATGTTACAGTTTAACCATCATGAATATATTCAAATAATAAACTGGGGGGCAGCCCCAGAGGGGTATTGCACAAAACCAGGATAAGGGATTAAGCCGGGATATGTTGGTTATCCTGGCTTAATTTAGCCTCAAGTCTGTTGCATGAAAGCAGGTTAAACTTATCCCGGCCAAGTTACTATGGTGATTTATTCTCTGCAGCTAGCCTGCTCCAGACCAGACTAACAGCCGGGCTAACATTAATCCTAGTGATTCACCTGTATTTCCACCGTCAGTCCTGTGAGGAATTAATGTGTTTTACAGCATGTCCATGGTCTTTCTAAGTATGTTGCATCATTTTAATTATCCTGCATTCAAATATTACATATATATTGTAATTTCTTATTTCATTTAAATCTGTTGGCTGTTTGTAATTGCAACAGTCTTTTTATATTAATTCAAGTGGAAATATTATTACTCAGGACAAGTGTTATATTGCTATGCTAATGAAGACTGCTTGTCAAATTGCATAAATATGTGTTTATTGCAGTAATTGAGATTACAAAACACAGCTGATGAAGTTGCAAAGGTGTTTTCAATGAAATCTGTGACAAGGGAAATATAGTATATATATTATGGCATACCTTTTAAGAGATTAATCTTTGAATATATAAAATTTATCTTTGAATATATAAAATGAATCTTTGAATATATAAAATTAATCTTTGAATATATAAAATTAATCTTTGAATATATGGAATGAAACTTGACTCGTCATCAAGGCACTGTCATCTTGTAGAAGTGAGAATGAGTCAGTCAGGAACCTTGTGGCAGCAATACTGAGCAATGAGGACATTATTAACTCATTGGTAAGTGCTTGTACGGGCCACAATCCTTCCCATAGTACCCGTGCCCAATACTGTTCTCCTGACGAAGAAGTTCACTCCCTTTTTAATGGTGGCAGGCCGACTACAACAGGCCTCAGGCTAAATCCTGACAGAAAAAGCAAAAAAGTTTTCCAGTTTAAGAAAGTATTGTAATATTTCAACTGATGCCATTTTGTAAAACCAGCTAATTCAGAAGGCTATCACTTTGATGAAAAGGATACAACTAGGTTTTGAATTTCATTCAGTATTCTCACAGTTTTATCAGTATATCCAAGCTTCATTCCATATATTCAAAGATTCATTTTATATATTCAAAGTTTCATTTCCTAAACGGCATGCCATATATATATATATATATATATATATATATATATATACATTATTCACACCTGTTCCCTCTTCATAATGGCTTGCCCTTTTTTGGAGGATGTACTGGATGAGGAAGCCCTAATCGTCAGACAAGCATTTAGTCATGAAAGAGTCTTCTGGGACAGGTCAGACCCATTGGTCGTTGGAGATGACTATCTCATTGAGAGATACAGATTCTCAGGTGATGGACTAAGATATTTATGTAGGCTGCTGGGTCCAAAAATACAGCACCAGACGGCAGGAAGCCATGTTCTCACTGTACCACAGATGGTCTGTGTTACATTGAGATGTTTTGCAAGTTGGAGCTTCCTTTATTCTGTTGGGGATGCAGAGAACCTCAATAAAGGAACCATTTGCAGCACATATCCTGGCTTGGTGGGCCGCCCCCTGTGCCAGTTCTATGGGCTTTTTTTTAACTGCTACAATCATACAGACATTCAACATGTCAGCAGACACCTAATCTATTCACCTCATTTGTTCACTGTTACTACTTTAAAGTCACTTACCAGCCTGCAAAATGTTCTTGTATTTAACTTTAACTTGCTGTCAGGTCCTTTTATGGCCAGACAAGTTTGTTCTTTATGAAGGATAGAAAGATAAAATAGATAAAAAATAGATTAAATTACACACATTGTGGATAATTGTTTGCACTTAATCATACTTTACATTTAAGTAACATGAACCTGTACTTGCCACATTTAAAGCAAAGTGCCAGGCTTTCTCTCTTTCTTTAATTATGGCATTGGTATTGCCTTTTTTTCTTCTATCTTCCACCTCTTCATAGAACTCCATCAGGAGCTGTTGTTCAGCGGCAGTGAAATATGAAGCGTGACTCTTATCCATGTTCCCATCGGTGATTCTGTGTGCGATCGCGAGGTCTATTTAAGTATGCCGTGAACACACACTTATCCCGACTATCTACACCTGGCTTAACATAGCCGCACCTTTTCATCCTGGCTCGGCAAACGTGCAACCAATTAAGCCAGGATGCGCCGAGCAGGCTAAGTCAAGCTGCGCTTGCTCAATTATCCTGGATTTCTTTATTCTACTTTTGTGCAATACCCCTCTGGTGTCACTGAGTGTTGGTGTTTGTTTGTGCCAGGTCAGATTGTGGTGTTGACTGGGGGTTAATTGGTGCCAACTGGGAACACCTGGGCCCGGTGCTCCTAGGCTATATAATCAAGGCCCTGTTGCCCATTCTAGCTCTCTGCTGCTTCTGGTTTGTATTGTTTGAGTTGTCCTAACTTGTTGTTTGATTTGTACTAATTTGTTACTCTCTTCTTTGCAGACACTCTGACAGTGGTGTGAGGACTGCAGCGTGGCCTCGTCTTATGTTTAGTTTTGTACACTTTACAACATACACACACATTATCCCTCATGCACACCTTACACTACTGACTACACTGTTATTCACACTCTATATTCAAAGTATTTAGTTGTTCATTTCATAATTTGACTTTTGTTCAATAAATTACTTTTTGTTATTCCTTCCAAATGGTGTATCTCACACATTTGTCATGCCTTAAGAGCCAGGGTGTGACAACCAAACATCAGATCATTACATAAAGTGATGTCCATGAGGGGGCTGCAGAGTCCAGAGGATACTAAAAGACAGCACTGACCCCAATCTGGCAAATCACCTATTTTATGACTGCAAAAGATGGTGGTGAATTCTTCCTTTAATGTCATCGGACTGCTGCTTTAAAAGTGATTAAAGATAAGGAAATATGTTGGAATTTAGACTCCTTGACTGATGGTTTCAATTCTGCTGCAATTTGTCACGTTACTTTTTTTAAAAAAGTGTGAATTCTTTTGAATTAAGTTTAAATAAAAGGGAACTGAATGTGGCTCAGCAGCTTATTCCTTATCCCTCGGTTCACAAAAGAAAATGTGTCTGTTCAACTGGTTTGGATTCTTCTACAAGAAATAAATAGCCTACACAAAGTATAAAATTTAACTACCTACAAAATAAAATGTGTAAACAAGTGATAAAATAAAGGAGGATCACTTGATGCTGTTGAAGCAGTGATGACTGTAGATGTTCCAGGATTTGCAGGAGGTGGATTTAGATATTTCAACAGCGCATCTGAAGAGAGAAGAGGAGTAAGTGACACCGTTGGGTGTTACAGTCTAACAATAAAAGAAATGATTCCAAGAATAAAATGAAATAATAAAATGAAAAACCTAAGAGATGCATTACTTTCACTGTACTGTACATGAATGATATACAGTGCAATTTCTTCTGATATATAAATTAGATTAGATTTAATCTTATTGTCATTACAGTGAAATGCTGATTAGCAGAATGCAAAGAAGCAGTAAACTACAGTATAATATAACATATGGGAATGTATTAACATTAATGATGTGCACTTTAACATGGATGTAAAGTTTAACACTATAAACACACTTTAGACAATACTGAACTGTAACACAACAAACAACAAGGCTTACAACTCTAATATATAAAGGTGTGTGAAAGGAAAAAAGCATCTGACTGACTGTTACAAGCAGAGCAAACGTTAGCTAACCAACAATAAATACAAATAATGTAAGCAGCTGCTGAATAGATCTAATCTTTACAAATGTCCCTGAGAAATAGAAGGTGGGAGTATTATATATATTATAGACCCCTCCATAACATGAACTGATGTTAAAACGAGCTAACACTATGTTAGTGTGTTATTGTTTAATAGGCTTTGCTATGCAGTTAGTTTTCATACTAAGAAATAATGGCACCAACTAGTTTTAGTATAAAAATATTGAAAGTTGCACCTTTTTTTTCTTTTTCTTCCCCCATCATGGCACCCCCTAGATGGACGGCGCCCTTAGCATTTGCTTATACTGCCTCTGCGACTGGCCGGCACTGCCTGTGACTCAAATTTCCATCTATTTGCAACCAACTTTGTTTCCTCTCCTTTGTGTAGCGCCAATTCATAACAGAAGTTATCTCAGGACACTTTTCAAATAGAGCAGGTCTAGACCGAACTCTTTAAAACATTAATTACAGAGACCCAACAGTACCACCATGAGCAAGACCTTGGAGACAAGGGCAAGGAAAAACTGCCTGTTAAAAGGCAGAAACCTAGGACAGATCCTCCGGCTCTAGGTGGGTGGTCGTCTGTCTCGACCAGTTGGAGTGAGAGAGAGACAGAGACAGAGAGAGAGAGAGAGAGAGACAGACAGACAGACAGACAGGTGCACAGCAACAACAGTATTGGCAATAGCATCTAGCAGGACCATGGCAGGAGGCTCCACCAGGATCAATAAGAACTTGCGAGACGAGAAAGCACCAATTAATGCTGGTGTTATACTATTTCTCTTGGTTTAAAAGCCACTTAATGTAGGATATGTAGAGAGTCTTTCAAATTATTCTGATTACATTTTTGGTTGTAAAAAAATGGAACAATCTCTCAACAAATTGGTGTATGTATTCCTTTCAGTCTATTTATAGCAGTGTCCATAAGTCAGATCTGTGGGGCCCCTGTGTCTTTTACTTACTGACTAAGAGTAGAAAATGTTAGAAATTTAAAGAAGGATTAACCTCAACATGCTTTTGGTGTCAAAAAAAGAAAAGAAAGAAAAGAAGACTGAAAATCAGTGCTCGTGTTTTGTAAGGCCTGAACCAGATATTCAATGTCAAGATGATGACAGTGAGATTATTACCACCTCAACAATGTAACAACTGGGACTATGAATATGAGCTACAGGTAATAATCAAAAATATGGTATAATCAACCACGTTGGATAATCAAAAATGGTTACTATAATCACTAACCTGACAAACATGCTAGCCATAACCCAAAGCTAAAATGACTTGAGGCATTCAATGTCAAGGTGCACATCCCTGACTGATTCAATAGTGGAGTAGCCTATTAATAGATCGAGTATTAAATTGTGGGGCAAAAAAGCAGGGGGTCAAGCCCCCTTAATGTCTGTCTGTGCATGTGCCAGTATCTAACGAACATGCTTGTTTCACTTTGATTCACTCAAAATAATTATTAACAATAGCAGTGATCTTAATCATGGACACACTCAGAAGGTAATCAAAAATGTCTGCAAGGTGCACATCCCTGACTGTGTAACTGGGTGAACTTCATGAACATGACTTGACAATTCTCATGAACAGTGTGCACAAATATTCCTGCCTGGAATGTGTTGATCGATACTGTCTTGTACTTCTCTCCTTACAACTGCAGGTTTGAAGTACAAATATGTTGGTACGCTGCTCTGGTGAAAGATATTATTTCATTGGATTAGATTGTGCCAAAGACCTGCAAACTTAAAATCCTGACCAAATAAATAAATGTGACAACAACTTGTTGTTGTTGTTTCCATTCACTGGTGTCTGGAGAAAGTTTTGCTTCTGGAGCCACCACATCTGCTATCAGTGAAATTCTCTGGTATGTAAAACAAAAGCAAAACATTTCCTGCAGTTGAAAAAGGGTTAACTGAGAGGGGGAACTCAATCTGTGTGTGGGGGTTGTACTAGAGACTAAAAACCAGCCTTTGAGCAGCTGCATTCTGTTTCCATCTGTGCAAAGACAACAAAGAAACAGCTTTCTTTTAGGGTAAGCCAACATATACTTACTTTATTATACAGATCTCGTAGTCTCTGCAATGGTCGGGGAAAAGTTGAGGCAAAGTAGAAATACAAAAGCTGCTAAAGCTGGTAGAGCATCTACAACCTTTGTTCAGTATGCTAATGACATAATAAAGGAATAGTGGAGTAGCCTATTAATAGATCGAGTATTAAATTGTGGGGCAAAAGAGCAGGGGGTCAAGCCCCCTTAATGTCTGTCTGTGCATGTGCCAGTATCTAACGAACATGCTTGTTTCACTTTGATTCACAGAGGGGAAAATGCGTTTGTGCAGCTGCTTTGGCGTCTGCCTGTTTATCCTCCACTGCATCCCAGTTTCCGCAGGTAAACAAGAGTCATGAATGGTTGAAAGATGTATCTAAACAATATCCAACAAGTCTGTATATTTAAAGGACAAATATGTTGTTTGATCAGGAACAAAGCAGATTGTATTTAATTTGCAGTTTCCATAAGAGCGAGCTGACGTACCACCAGTGGTATGTGTTTGAGAGGTGGTGCACATAATTGTTTCAATATGCTACGCCAAAGTTTTGTATGTGTAATATAAAAAAGCACATGTACTGAAAAAGGTTCCTTTACTGTAACCTATGTACCAAACTGCACTCTGTGTTCCTTCTCAGCTCCAATTGAAGCCCCTGTAATCATTGATGGCCAAGCTCTCTCTGCCACAGAAGCCATGGTGTGGTGGCGTCCTCTCTCACAGAGCAATGTAGAGGGGTACAAGGTGAGTACCGTAACTGTTTGCTGTTTCACACCATTCTCCTCTTTCTTTTTGCAATAAATAAGTTCTACAGTGCTATAAAACAAGGCTTGTACGTCGAGTACATTTTGGATCCTGTGTGTCCCAGGTGAAGTACTGGAGGGATAATGAAGACCGGGATGTGTTGGTCCACCTGGTAGAAGTACGTGGCTTGCAGAACCAAACCAGGCTGGAAGGTATGAAGGCCAACTCCCGCTACTTTATTGAGGTTCAGGGCTTCAGCTCTGAGGGATATGGGCCGTCCAGCGAGCGCCTCCAGATCCACACCAAGAAAGCCCGTAGGTTGTGCTTGAGAGCAATTTAGTATAAACCAGCATGTCATTTTAAAATAGTTGTTATTCATTATTGTTTTTTGTATCTTTTACCAGCTCCAAGCCAACCCCCCATAATAACTCGTCATGAATTAAAAGCCAATACAGTATACATTGCCTGGGAAATTGAGGAACCACTGGCTGACGAAGCAAACATAAATGGTTTCAAAGTGAGTACAGGTCTACATTGACTTTTATACAGATTAAAATCTCTAAGCCTTACATTTCTTATACCTTATCCGTATATGTAGGTGTTGTACAGGCAGCAGGACCTCTCCTTAGGCACTCTGTTCACAACTAGTAAACGGTACATAGAACTTCCCCTGATAGAAAATGGGAGCTATGTGGTGGAGATCTCGGCACACACAGACGAGGGAGACGGGCCTAAAGCACAAATCCATGCAGGTAACAGACACACTCAAGCATTTACTTTTCCCCTTCATTCACAATCCTTGTTTCTTGCCATGTAACATCAAGAAAGCCCTGGATTTCAATGGATTTTAAACTAGTTTCTCTTGTTGTGTACTATTCTGAGAAAAAAAGACATCTTATTTATACTTTTGGTTGAAAGTGTTGAATATATATTAATTGCAGAGTACAGACAGTGGCCGACACAGAAACCTGAGAAAAACATCTCTCTGAATGAAGTGAGCATGCTCTATTCAAATGCTGATGTAATTTGATGACATGCTGAATACTTCTTCCAGGAAAATGACTTATTTCACTAGAAACTGCAAAACATGTCTATTATAAGCCACAACATACACTGAATGCCTTCATCGTCAACAACAAGAAAGAGTGCAGGCGTTACCTGAAAGACTGGTGAGCTCGCCTTCTGTGAGGTTGATGTTGGTTTTTGGTTCATTTAAATGGACAGAAAAAATAAAGACAGAAACTAAACCAAAATACTTCAGGGGTGAAGGTCATCATTTATTGTTCGAATCTATCAATAAAATGTTATTTATATAGGACATTTCCTAAAAGGTTTAACAATACAATTAAGATATAATAAGAAAAATACAACACTACAGTGGAAATAGAAAAATACAATACAACAAAATACTGAAAATGAACAAAGGCAAGTGGTAGAAAGGAACTGGTAAAACACAGAGCACACTGCACTGCTGTAGGAGACAGTGGATTAAAAAAGGATGGATAGTATGTTTAAAGATTTATTTTAAAGCTGTTTACAGACTATTAAACCCTCAGCTCCTCTGGCAGGTTGTCCAGGAGGCGAGCTCCATGCTGCCCTTTTCTGCCAAAAAAAAGATCTTACACAAGAGTTGTTTTGACTGCTGAGCAAAAAGAAAGGGACATCTTTTGTGTTACACAATTTCCTCTTCTCTTCTAATTTATAATGAGCTCCTGATGCTAGTATAGCTAGACCACATGGAATGTCATATAAAAGAAAAACATCTTAGCAGATTCAACAAATCAACTATTTTTAAAAATGTAAGAGACATAATACTTTATTGAAATAGTCACGTACTCCTTTATTTAAACACAATGTTCAAGCTTTTACGCTCTCATTGACTGAAATACAGTGAAAACCAAAGAAAAGAGGAATGACAGATCCAGATGAGCTCAAATGAACTGCACAGATGAATGTAGGATTGTCATTAGAGCTAGAAACATAACAGAAAAATAAAAATGATAACATATGATGGTGTTAGTGTGTAGTATTGTGATGACTGACTGTCTTATTTTTAAAAGTATCAGTTAGATAAAAACCAAGAACAGCTATGCTTGGAATTATTATTTTTTTATGCCGTTATCTTAAAATTGTGAATTCATTCAGTGTCATTTATTAACCTTGTTTATTTGCACTGGCCTTACTAATGCCATTAGAAAATGTGAATCCAAAAAAGGACAAAGACATTAAAACAAGCATGGGTGGAGCTGGAAGTGTGACTCAAAGCAGCCATGCCCTTAATTATGCATACCTTTAAGCCTTGATATAATTTAAGCAGGTGAGTTATATGGAAATTAGCTATAGAGACCAAAACCAATTTGGTTTATAGTCAGGTACTGAGTCCATTAGCGTGTTTGATGCACAAGTTGATATCAACCTAAATGTATTCATACATATAAAATATGCTACGTTAGTATTTTGTGTGTGCAATATAAAAATAATCTCTGAAAAAGGTTCCCTTACTGTAACCTATGTACCAAACTGCACTCTGTGTTCCTTCTCAGCTCCAATTGAAGCCCCTGTAATCATTGATGGCCAAGCTCTCTCTGCCACAGAAGCCATGGTGTGGTGGCGTCCTCTCTCACAGAGCAATGTAGAGGGGTACAAGGTTGGTGTTTTTATAGCAGCATGCTGTGTGTATGTGTGAAAGACCTACAATGGGTGTTTACACAACAACAGTTTTGGTGAAAATCATCCTTTCTGAAAATTACCTCCACACACACAGCTGTGCAAAAATTGTAACCGTTTTGGCAGGTGATGGTGACAGTGGCGATTTCAAAAGATTGCATTTTCTGCAAGAAAACATTTGCTTCCTGTTGTCATATTGACAAAAGGCCAAACCACAACAAAAGTTTACTGTTTCATGCAAAAAAAAAACACTTTAATTGAAAAGGCCTTAAATTATATTTAGATTTAAAATCTAAATAAAGTAACTTAAATGTCTAAATATTCATCTTTGAAATCGTATTCTTTCAAAGCAAACAGACATGGTGTTTTATATATCACTAATGGTATAGCCAATGTAGAAACCCAATGAGAAAATTCACACATACTTATGAATTAGTTTTGTGTCTCGATCTTGATTCTACTGATTTACATTGCTGTTTCACACCATTCTCTTTCTTTTTTCAATAAATAAGTTCTACAGTGCTACAAAGCAAGGCTTGTACATCAAGTTCATTTTGGATCCTGTGTGTCCCAGGTGAAGTATTGGAGGGACAATGAAGACCGGGATGGGTTGTTCCAGCTGGTAGAGGTACGTGGCATGCAGAACCAAACCAAGCTGGACGGTCTGAAGGCCAACTCCCGCTACTTCATCGAGGTTCAGGGCTTCAGCTCTGAAGGATATGGGCCGTCCAGCGAGCGCCTCCAGATCCACACCAAGAAAGCCCGTAGGTTGTGCTTGAGAGCAATTTAGAATAAACCAGCATGTCATTTTAATATATTTGTTATTCATTATTGTTTTTTGTATCTTTTACCAGCTCCAAGCCAACCCCCCATAATAACACGTCATGAATTAAAAGCCAATACAGTATACATTGCCTGGGAAACTGAGGAACCACTGGCTGACGAGGCAAACATAAATGGTTTCAAAGTGAGTACAGCTCTACATTGACTTTTATACAGATTAAAATCACTAAGCCTTACATTTCTTATACCTTATCTGTATATGTAGGTGTTGTACAGGCAGCACGGCCACTCCTCAGGCACTCTGTATACAACCAGTAAACGGTACATAGAACTTCCCCTGATAGAAAATGAGAGCTATATGGTGGAGATCTTGGCACACACAGACGAGGGAGACGGGCCTAAAGCACAAATCCAATCCACAGGTAACAGACACACTCAAGCATTTACTTTTCCCCTTCATTCACAGTCTTTCTTGCCATGTAACATCAATAAAGTCAAGATATATAATGGAGCCTTTCAGCTGTACTAGCTATTAAAAGTCACACATACACTGAATGCCTTCATGGTCAACAACAAGAAAGAGTGCAGGCTTTACCTGAAAGACTGATGAGCTCGCCTTCTGTGATCGCGCAGGTTGACGTTGGTTTTCAGTTCATTTAAATGGACAGATAAATAAAGACAGAAACTAAACCAAAATACTTCAGGGGTGAAGGTCATCATTTATTGTTCGAATCTATCAATAAAATGTTATTTATATAGGACATCTCCTAAAAAGATTAACAATAAAATTAAGATATAATAAGATAAAAATACAACACTACAGTGGAAATAGAAAAATGCAATACAACAAAATACTGAAAATGAACAAAGGCAAGTGATAATATACAGTAGTTAAGCACGTAGAAAGGAACTGGTAAAACAGAGCACACTGCACTGCTGTAGACAGTGGATTAAAAAAGGATGGATGGTATGTTTAAAGATTTATTTTAAAGCTGTTTACAGACTATTAAACCCTTACACTAGAGTTGTTTTGACTGTTGAGCAAAAAGAAAGGGACATCTTTTGTGTTGCACAATTTCCTCTTCTCTTCTAATTTATAATGAGCTCCTGATGCTAGTATAGCTAGACCACATGGAATGTCATATAAAAGAAAAACATCAGATTCAACAAATCAACTATTATAAAAAAGTAAGAGACATAATACTTCATTGAAATAGTCACGTACTCCTTTATTTAAACACAATGTTCAAGCTTTTACGCTCTCAGTGACTGAAATACAGTGAAAACCAAAGAAAAGAGGTATGACAGATCCAAATGAGCTCAAATGAACTGCACAGATGAATGTAGGATTGTCATTAGAGCTAGAAACATAACAGAAAAATAAAAATGATAACATATGATGGTGTTAGTGTGTAGTATTGTGATGACTGACTGTCTTATTTTCAAAAGTATCAGTTAGATAAACCAAAAACAGCTATGCTTGGAATTATTATTGTTTTAATGCCGAATGCCACCTGTTGTGTTGCATAGCTCGCTCCAAGCCACTTTAGTTTCCTAGTTCCCATAGTGTTGGTATGTGACCACCTGGGAATGAGACTGAACAGTCAACTATCTCTAATCCAGAATTATCCAGAAAGATTAAGTTCTTTCCTTATCAGTAAACATGTATCCTCGTTCTAATAAGGTGTTAAACATTGGGAAGCAGAAAAGTTTCTGTTATCTAATCACATTTAGTGCTGAAGTGAAACGTTGTGCTCTTATTTTACAGACCTAGGGATTTAGGCCCCAGGGGATATCAGATCCAAGACACCATGGAGGGGGCTTTCAAGGTGATCTCCTCTCCATGATCACATGCATTTTTTTCCTTCAAATCAACAGCACATTTGACTGTCAGTCCAGTTATTCTTCAAGCAAAAACTGATATACCTTCATCTCTGTGTGTCTTCCAGGTGCAGGCGTCATGGCCACCCAATCTTTCAGCATACTCTCTCTGCTTCTGTTGGCTCTCCTCTGCCTTAACCTCCAAATGTAGTGCTTTGTCTTTGGCTTTTTTCCCATGAAGGAGGCTATTTGGTTGACACCTATGAGGACTTTGGGACTCTTTCCACAAACACTTGATTCCACTCTATAACCTGGGACATCATATTCAAGCTTTTCCCATCTGTAATATGTTTGTGAAGGAAATTGACAAAGACATCCCTTAATTATCCACAAAAGCCTCTTTGGAGGAGTGTCAAATGAGTTCTGTCAACAATTGTTCTGATGCTTACCTTTCTCAGTAACCTTTTTAAATCAATCACAGAAGTCTGAACAATACACTTTGCTTAGGTTGACTTTTAAGTCTTTCTACATCATGAAGTCAGACTTTCTGAGATGCTGTGTGTTCAGAAATGTAGGCTTCATCTGATCTACGATATTTTGGAAAATCCATCCTACAGTGTGTTCCATAGTATACGGGAAACAAGTGGCTGTAAAGGATAAGTGTATGAGTTTATAAAAAAATGTCTTTATCTTTCTTTATCTGCAGTTCAGTGGCATTGTTTTCTATTTTCTTCTTTAAATGAAGCACACCCTTTTTTTTTATAAATATGCAGTGAAAACAACTCTCACAAGCATCTCACCTTCATGTTTTTAATTTTATGTAAAACTACATCATAAAGGAAAGAGTGATTCATGCCGTTACATTTGTTTCTCTGTTTAATAAACTCTGGATGTTTTTTGAAGAAAATAATTAACTTATAATCAGTGCTTGATTCAAAATCACAACATGAGTTTAATTTTAAAGAAACAAGACATTGTTACATTCGTACACATTTGAAATGGTTCAAAAGAAGGAAAAAAATAATTATTATTATATATAACATGAGAGGCACGTTTCTTAACATACCACAACATGACAGATATCAATCATACCTGGTCTGATTGTAAAATACAGTTCAGACTTTTCTGTTTCCAGAAATAATTTTACAATGATGAACTGGCTTGCAACCAAATTTGGGAATGTTGTCGGACATATATATATTGGACTTCACTAACCATAAACAAAGTACAATAATATAAATATAAACAATAATATAAACAATATTATAATTGTTACTATTATTTATTCATACTTAAAGTATGATTTAACCTTGAGGTTCCCAGTGGAATTGACCTCTAGTATACCATGGAGCTGTGTTTCTATACGTGCTCATGTTGCTCTCCACAGAGCAGCTTTAAGTTCACATATTTTTCAACATATAAAGTCATGATCATCTTTAATCTGTGATGAAAAGTTATTTGGGAAGAACATCACTCTTTCCTGATCACTGACACAAACCACAAATATTACTGCAAATATTCAGATGTTTTTCGTTAATGTAGAACCTCTTTGTTGTTGGACTCCAGATCCTCCGTCAGGGTCCGCAGGGTGGTCTCCATCCTCTGAACCTCATCCCGGAGCTGCTGGACTTCAGCTTGTTTGTGTTCAACCTAGGAGACAAGAGAAGATGAGAGACTATATGAGACATGTTTTATTATTAATACACTTCTGAATGAATATTCTGCAACATGACAACAGTAACAGAGGAACAGTAATGTCTGTTGGTTGGTAATAAAATGATTTGTATGTTTAATTGAAGCTGCTGCCAACAGACACACATTTCTTATAATGTTTGTCTTATGATAACCTCAGGGCCTTCATTTATGAGGAAAACTGCAACAACCAGTGTAACGCAGACACTGTCCTCACAGCAACAGATGTGCCTCAAAACAAAATACATTATCTGTATGTTGAGGTGGAATAAAGATCAGACGGGTGATTTACTTTAGTTGACTTGGTTTTAGAAGTGACCTGGATGCAGACAACAAACAAGCAGGTGGCTGTAAACAAAATGTTTCGAGGAAAAGATAAAAAAAAATAGAAACCTCTTTGATTTTTGTGTCTAATTCCTTCTGATGAATCTCTATCTTCTTCTTCAGTGTCTCCACTTCCTGCTCAGCTTTATTCTTCTGCTCTTCTTCGTTTCTGTGACTCTGATCATTAAAGCATGTGACAGAACATATTATACAGTGACCCATATAGTAAAGAAATGAATCCTCAGCTCTGCATGACGCTAGGTAGCTCAGTCCCCCTGGACACTGCTACTGCACCTGAGCAAGGCACCAAACCCCTAACTGCTCCCAGGGTGCCTATATATGGCAGCCCATGTCTATAAGCCCTGTGTGTGATTGTCTTTTTGGGCCTATGTATGTAAAACATTGAGTGAAGAAAGAAATCTTTAAAAAATGGCATTTCAAGATCAATGTTTTATTTCAGGCCAGTGGGTGGTAACGTGTGGTTTCCTCTCTGTATTTAGTTGCACAAATTCAGATCCTTTCTTCTGCTCCTCTGCTTTGATAAAGTAGTTCAGGGCTGCATAATGCGACTGTTAATGAAGTTGACCAATAATTAATCAATAACCAGTAAAGAATCTAGTCCAGCATTACTCTCATTCACAAATTAGTGATAGAAGGGATGCAAGTGGAAAAGTAATGGCTCTATTACAGCAGACTTGGTTCTTAATTTTTGGTGAGGACACCTCAGAGTGTATTATTGCATGCAAACCATGAGCACTTACCCAAGGCCACCAGGAAGACTGGGATAGGGTGGCTTGGATTGTCTTCAACTGGGACGAAGTGATAGAGACATTAGCACCACATTCAAGCTTGACACAGTTAAACTTAGCACAGTATGAAAAAGTCACTAACTGTTAAGTAGATTGTATATGCTACATTACTGTGTAGAAGTGTCTTCAATAAGATAAACATGGTATAGTGGATCCTCAATCAGCAGAGATGATGACACATCTTAGTAAATGAAGATGAAGACATGAACCTCTTTGTTTTTGTTCTCCAGATCTTTCTTCAGGGTCTGCAGGTTGTTCTGGATCCTCTGCCTCTCTTCACGGAGCTGCTGCAGCTCAGCTTGTTTGAGTTTGACCTGGAAGGACAGGGAGACAATGAGAGACATTTAAAAGTTTACAAACTGTCAGTTTGACCTTACACTATGGATGACATAAAGAGTCTTAAATCAGTATATTATATTATTAAAGTGAATATGAACCTCATTCAGCTTCTCTTTCACTCTATTCTGAGCTTTCTCCCTCCTCTGCTGCTCCTCTTGCTCACATTTCTGCTTCTTCAACTGAAAGAGAGGACAGAGATGGTCAGAGACAAGATGTGAGACATGATTTTATTCAGGCTAAAAAAGGTGAAAAGATACCACACTGACACACACCCATGCATCAAGTGGGATTTCTGCAGCATTTGAATTGTTGAAAGGTTGAAAATGTTCAGCTTGTAACAGAAATATTTACCACAATTACTTAAGTTGGATTTTGAGTTTCAGTTTGATAATATCCTTTCTTGTTCCTAATTTTTTCTCCCTCTACCGAAAAGAATGTCCTTTCTTTACTTACATGTTTCTTTTTCTCTTTTCCCTTGTTCAAAACCTCCATTTGCACAGTTTCATGTGTCATCAGCTGCTCTCTCTCTCTTTCATCTTCAGTGATGAACTGATCTTCAGTGTTGTTACTTTTAGAACAGTTCTTTCCATAATCAGTTTCATCCCTGCGGCTTATCTTTTTCTCTGTGTAATAATAAAGCCAGTAATATTAACATACAAAAGACATTGATGCTTTACAGCACATGAGATATTTCAGTCAAAAAACTGGTATAAATGGATTATAACAATAAGACACCTGACAATTTGACTGATTTGACGAAATATTATTCTTCATAAAACAACAATAACTTGCCATTTATGAAGCCCTGTTAATTAATTTGTTACTTACTAATTGCATTTCGTCTCAATTTCAGCAGAAAAGAGACAATAATAAACAGGATACAAACAGCCAAACTAACAGCCAAACCAACTGTGGTAGAAGAACTGCACAGGACCGCAAAGAAATCATCTGAAATGATAAAACAAGCAAATATATGTATATATAAAACTAGATATCAGCTATTGAAACTAAAACAATGAACACATTGTACAATTTGAAAATACTTTCTACCTGGAACATAGATGTGTGTCTCTCTGGTCTGGTTGATGTCCTTCTGTTGGACTCTACAGGTGAAGTTGTTGCTGTGTCTCTTCTCCACAGTCACTCTGCTGCTGACAGTATAGAGGTCATCAGGACCTCTGACTGTCTCTGTAGGTCCAGCAGAGAGGAGGTTTCCCTCACCGTCCAGCCAGACCACCTCAGGCTCTGGATACCAGCTGTTAGAGTCACAGTTTAAGATCACTGCACCTCTGTTTCTGTCGATCCCCAGTAAACTGATGACAGGCGAGGAGGCAGTATCTGATGCTGAACAAAAGGAAAAGTTTAAAACAGTGATGTCAGTGGAAGAACAATATTTATGGTTTGGACAAATTATCCAAATAGGAAAGAGTGAATGAATGAGTTTCAACATGTGAAATAAATTTGAATGAAGAAAATTCACATTTCCTAATTGTCATTGGACTCTAAATCTCCTGTTTGAGCCACTGAAAAGCTTTACCAGAGAGAAGAGGAGAAGTGTAATGCCCAACACCCACGTTAAATAGCACACAGGTGGGATGTTTGTCATTATTAATGACCTTTAAAGATATTTGTGTGTGACTTACCTCTATAACATTGTGTCAGGAGGAAATAGACAACCAAAACCTTGAGGAGCCTGGGTGGAGATTGAAGAGACAGCTCCTCCATCTGTGTGAGTATAGTTAGTGGTTCTGAAAGTTAAGCACACACAGTTTATTAAAAAGTGTATCTATTTATCATTAATTTGTTTATTCATTAATTTGACCTGACTTGAATATAATAATTACAACAAAAACTTTGTAGTAGGAGGACGAGCCATTCGTTATACATATTAAATTACACTGTTTTCTTTTTAGATTCAAACAAAGGTGTCTGTGAGAATGCCTGTAATGGAGTTATGCTTTCATCTTTGTCAGTGCAAACGAAAGAAAGGTGGTTTGCTATCTATGTATTGTGCAATAATGATAGTGTTATACTTCCTCTTTTGTTGCAAACAACAGACTTAAAACTACTTTGTTTAATAGTCCAGCTTACACATCAGTATACACCCTCAATAAACTGTTAAAAGTAAGAATACAGTTTTGGGTCAAAGAAAATACCCGCTATGACCGAATGAAGTTAAACTAAGCATGTAGAAGAGGCAAAAACGAATCAGACGTACCTGCTGCACTTCATCAGACTGCATGGTCTAAGTCTGTAAATCATTGATAGGCTCAGCTCATGATTTTCTTCATGCAATCTTCCAGGTAGACATTCAGTTTCATAAAGGAATTTACAACGACTAAATAAATAAGCTTAAATAAATTAACCTAGAGTTCCTTGGCTGAACGTCTGAACTTTGAGCCTTTTGCCATTAAGGTAACTAATAATAATAACATATGTCTTTGTTGTCATAGCAATTAATGAAATATCTGGTTTCATTACTAAATTATACCATCAGTCAGCAGAGGGCGCTCTGAGCTTAGTTGTGTCACTGTGCATGGCTCTTGCTGCATTACGGCCCAGTTCACAGCCAACAGCAGTATTAGAGCTGATCATATGAAAAATGTAGCTGATCATCATTAATATGCTTCTGCAAAGCTACTCTTAGTATATTGTTACCTTAACTGATTTTCTTAAGTTACATTAATGTTACTGATATACAAATAATTCACATTAATAGGCATTGTTGCACATTTGGATAAAAATGTCTTTAAAAAAATGCTTTTTGACTTGTAATCAGCAATGCTTGGAAAGAGTAAAAAGACAAAATCACAAATTGCTTTTATTTAACAAAGATCATATACAAGAGACAAATACAATACAATACAATATATTAACCAAAAAAACATTTTTTTTGCTAATGTTTATAAAAAAGAAACATTATTGTGACATGTGACTGTGATTATTTTCATAAAGCATTGGTAAAGGTCAGTGGAGAGCTCGCCAGAGGAAGAGAAAAGAAAAGAAAAAGTTTTTCTTCATTTAAAAAAGAAATGTTTTATTGTCTTTAGTCATATCAGAAAATACATAAATCATCTTTTTTAATATTTGAATAATGCATAGTTTCTGTTCACAAATAATTTAACAAAATAAAAGACTGTACAAATATTCCTTAATAGATAAAAAACTTTTATTTAAAAATTGCAATGTATTTTTTACAGGACATGTACGGGTCAAAAAAGTTTTAAAGTTGATATTTCTCAAAGCAAATATTCAGAAAATATACATCAGCATCTGGAGCTCTGCTGTATCTACATAGTTTTTATATATTTTTTCCAGTAAAAAAATTCTTCTTTTTTCTCAATTGACAATAAAGTGAAAGTTTGCAATACAACATAAAATAACAAAAGCTATATATATTTAAATCTGGGGATTTATAAAAGAACATGTTTTAGAAACTCAATCAGACAAACTCAGACAACAGTGACATAACTTCTGTAAATGTACATTTTGCACTTTAAGTTACAATAAATGAGTGGAGCTCTTTGTGTAGATCTAATTCTAATATAAATAATAAATCCAGTAAAAGTACAGAAAAGGTTCCTAAAGAGTTACATTAGCTCACATTTAAGAATTTTGAGTTCAATTTACTTTACCCTTTGTCTTAATGATAATGATATTTCAGAATGACATTTTGCCTTAACAATGTCAGCAACAATAAAACAGATGAACATTTACAAATAAAATAAAAACTGGACAAAAGCACCGATTTTTTAAGCACGTTCTAAACAAAGCGTTACTTATTCTGTTGATACAATATGGATGCAGGACGCTCTGAGTCATGTTGGTCCTGAAGTTTAGGTTTGTGTGTTACAGCATTATGATGTTCTGGGTGGTTTTCCTCATTGCCTTTGAATGTCAGTTCAATCAGGAGAGACTTTTGAATGAACAGATAGATTTCATTGATATGTGCACAATGAAGATGAGACATGAACCCCACCGTGATGTCATCGTATTTGAAGGGGTTGGTGAAGCCGTGATTAGTGTAGGAGTATGGAGTCTACACTCTGCTGCTGGTGGTGAAGAGATGAAGAGGAAGATCTGGATGTGAGGAGGAGTGGACTTCTGATGAGCTCAACCTGGGCACTCGACAGTGTGAGAACTGTTCAGCTTTTCTGACTGTAAGATATGTTCAGACAGGTAGATTATAGATGTTTAGTCAATACAAATATGAAAGAGGGAACAATTAGACATTAATAGTTATACTGAGTACTGAAAATAGGGCCATTAAACAACTAAACTAAATAAACAGAATGTCTCAAAGAAAGCACTGTCAACAGGATTCAACAAGAATGTTTCACTTAAAAAAGTACATAATCTGATCATTCACTCTCACACTTCTCTGTGTTTCAGTAAACTTAAGTCCAGTTTTGTAATCCGTTACTTATAATGACACCCCAAATAAACATCTTGGACAGGTTAGTGGTTGATCACAGGCTGGAACATAGAGAGAAACAACAGTTCAGACTCACTAACGCTCAATAACCTCTGTGTCTTTGGACTGTTGGTTGAAGCTGGAGCACCCAGAGTTGCTCTTGTTCCTTGTTCTCTGAAAGCAATGTCCTGTTTATTTACTTACATCTTTGTTTCCCTCGTTCAAAACCTCTGTTTGCGCTATCATGAGCATCTCTATTTCTTCTTCAGTGGCAAACTGATCTTCAGTTTCGTTCCTTTCAGAGCGTTTCTTGTTTTCTCCTTTATCCGTTTCATCCCTGTGGTTTCTCTTGTTCTCTGTGTAAAATAGACTTCAGTTGCATTTCAAGAAAGTGTCACAGCATATAAACCATTTCAGTCTGAAACCAGGTATACAATGGAGTAGAACAATAAGACACTTGACTAGACAAACCAGCACTTACTGACTATGGTCACTATTCCTCAGAAACCCTTTGAGAATAACTTGACATTTACAAAGCACAGCAATTAGTTTGTGACTTACTGTTCACTATTTTTCTCCATTTCCACACAAAACAGACAAGTAACAGAATTAGCAGGCTGCAAACAGTCCAACTAACAATGATGGGAACAGAGGAACTGCACTGGAAATCAAAGAAATCATCTGAAATGATAAAAAACAAAATAACATGATATGTATGTAAGTAGATCTTAGCTACTGAAAACTAAAATAGTCATCACATAATGGGAAAGGTTTACCTGGAACATAGATGTGTGTCTCTCTGGTCTGGTGGATGTCCTTCTGTTGGACTCTACAGGCGAAGATGTTGCTGTGTCTCTTCTCCACAGTCACTCTGCTGCTGACAGTATAGAGGTCATCAGGACCTCTGACTGTCTCTCTCCAATAAACTGATGTCCGGCGAGGAGGCAGTTTGTGATACTGAGCAAAAAAAGAAGTTGCTATCAGTGGATACCTTGGACGACAATTACCAATCTCCAAACTATTTAAATTAAGACAATGATCTGATTAAAGCTCCCTGTTTATCAACAATCAAGACTTTTAGGAGCTTTACATGAAGGTCTGATGTAAAACCTCAATCCTTTAGTCTAAACCGCACTATGAACACTCACTGTGTGTGTACTTACAAACAACAAGCCTCACAGAAGATTGTTTTTGAAGCAGTGGAAGGTCGCATTCATATGTTCCCTGATCAGAGCGTTGTACTTTGGAGAGTTTCAGTGAAATGTTTCCGTGCTTCACTTCATTGATGAACAGTGATGTTCTTCCTTTGTAGGATGGATTCATTACATTTACAAGGTCCTGACCAACACGCCACACATGGATATATCTCGGGTTTATGTCAGATCTCGTCCACTCCAACGTCTCTGCAGTAACATCCAGCGCCGGTTGCAGGTGACATGGCAAAATGATGTCATCACCAGCTCCTGCCACTATTGACTGAGGTGGACCAAATAACTGAGACTGACCTGGAACATATTATATGTGTTTAGTGGGAAGCAGCTGTCAATAACACAGCTGTTTCCAAACATTTATACAAAAGTGAAAGGTGGAGATGTTTGCTGTGACTGAACCACTAGGAAGATAATAGTTTTTACAGTTTTTCATCAAAATGTTACAAACAGTGACGAGTTGTTCATTTCAATGCCAGTTTAATGAACACATGCATGCATCCAACCCTATCTCCCAGAGCAACACATCCTCGCTCTCTCACACTCTGTGCTTCATGTAGACACCTTCTAGCATCAGTTTTGCATGTGCAGGGCTCTGCAGTCAAGTTAGAATTAATATGCAACGTCTAGTTACACTTTCAAAATAAACATTTCACATTTATGAGTTGAAATACTAAACTACTTAGGTGTAGGAAAAGATTGTGGATTGTGTTAAAATAAGAACGTAAGGTAATGTAATGCACGTACCTTATGTAACTTAAGTTACATTATACAAAATAAAAAGAACCTGACTTCAACTGTCCATGAAAAGATTATGCCAGTGGGCAGATCAAGAAATTATGAAAGGCCAGGCAGTTAAAATTTACATTATATTACATTGTAAATGTGCAAACCACATGCTGTTAATGCATTGTCAATGTGTTGTCAACCTCATAGTTTATGGTTCTATTCAGGCTCAAAATACTTCAATTTAGGCCTAAATGTAACTACAGTGAACTCCAATCTCTGTTGTAAAGATCATGCCCGTCATCAAGTTGATCTGGGCTGGAAAAAACCATACTGTAAATACTGTGATAAATGTTTTAGCACATTAAAAATAATGTGTGTGTGCAAGAACATGCCT